CGCCGAGGTACCGCACGATGGTGTCGCCCCACGTCGCCTGGCTGCGGTAGCCGTAGCCCGGCGTGTCGACGAGGACGAGGCCGTGCTGCGGCGGCTGCGTGCCTCGGGGCAGCGACACCGGCAGCACCGGCGGCCCGAGCCCAAAGGCGTTCATCAGCGTCGTGTGCCCCGGCTTGGCGCTGGTGCGCGCGACGCCGCGCTGGCCGACGAGGGCGTTGAGAAACGTCGACTTGCCCACGTTGGAGGCCCCGAGGATCACCACCTCGGGCACGTGCTCGTTGAACGGGTGGTCGCGGTACTGCGCGGCAGAGTAGAGGAAGCGCACGTCCTTTTCGAAAAAAGCGGCGGCGCGGCCGAGACGCGCCGGGTCCGTGGCGGTCAGCGCCGTGGTGAGCGCGCCGGCCGAGGCGCCGTGGGAGACAATGCTGGCGTAGGCGGCCGGTGAGTCGAGCGGAGAAACGCCGCCTTCGGCGGGAGCTTTGTGTGGGGTTTGCGGGTGAGATGAGTTGGGCGGTTTGGATGCGTAGGCTCTTTGGCTTTGGCAGATGAAGCGACGTGTGATGGGGCGGATTCTATGCGCTGCCAGGGGCGTTTGCAAGAAGAGCGAAGATGTGCGTCGAGACATTGTAGGATGTCGAGGTGTGAGACTAAGGAATCGCTAAGAGCATCGTCGTGATAATTCAGTATCCTTTTATGAGATGATACGCAGAACCACGAATAATATGAGAAGAGATGGCAGCGTTGTGGGTTCGTGACTGGATGGTCCGAGGAAGTTTGTTCGAGTGAAGTCAGACATCTCAGGCCAGAAGTATAGCTCGGGGTTTTGCGCCTCCACGCCATCCACCCTGCACCACACAGAAAAAAAAAATCTTAACGATGCTGGTTCCAGGTAAATGGTCAATATTACAAATGGTAACTAGTTGAAGTAGAAGTCAGGCTTCATCAATTTTATTGAAGCGTGCAAATACTACCAAAAAGTGTTGTTGAGCGTAGGGCTCACTTCCTCATCGTACAGTTAGTTGTAGCACCTACGACGGACATTGCGCTAAGCTCTCAACAGAGTAATAACGCAACCTTGCGCCTAACAACGAATGATGCCATAGTCAATCAATATCATCGTGCTCATTTTATCTCATAGTTACCTTCAATCGTAATTCAGCAGCTGAAAGTGCGATCGAGGTAATAAGATGAGCGATGAGAATGAAGGTATTATAAAGACAAAGGAAGATCATAATAAGCAGAAACAATCAAGGAAGATCAGAGCGTGTATGACTAACCTGCGGCTTATTTTGTCTCTCTGGTGCGTTTCGCTATTTCAATAATCTCCCACAAACACAAGCACAGGTATCACACAGGCGCATCGCAAACATGCACATCTCCATCTCTACCTGGAATGCCATCGGCCTAGGGGTCGCCGCAACCTTTGCTGGCCTCAGCGCCCTGGCTGCCGTCACCCGCAGCAGGTTGATGATCTGTTTGGTGTCACCGGCAAGCACCCTGTGAGCGGCGATGGCGCAAACGAAGCCGCCGCCGCCGCGTCCGCCAAAGTCGACCATACGACCATTGGAGTACTTGTTGGTGGACGAGATTTGGCTCTCGCCGTCTCAATTTATTTTCTCGGTAGATCTGGCAGAAACAAGGAAATGGGTACCGTGATACTGAGTACCATGTGCCTTGCGATTCCAGACATTTGGCTTGCGTGGAGGAATAAGAAATACCCAGAGTAAGCCTCTACATAATGAAACGCGGAGAGAATGAATATCTGATAGTATTGCTAACACGGACCTGCGATGACCAGAACAGTGCTGCTTTCGTTGGTCACGGTAGCGGTTGCCGTTACTGGGGCTGGTTTACGAGGGCTGTTGAATTAAATTACGCTTCCAGAATATCCCCGCACTGGAACTATGTTCAATATTGAAGAGCCTGAAATCTGTGTTTGTTATCTTGTAAAACGTCATAATCACTGCTCATTGTATTTAGATAGTAAATCCATTAACCCAGACTCTCTCTCAAGAGCAAAGACATCGGGTAATGTAAGAAAAATCGGAATAAATGATTTGATTGAGTGCATGAAAGAAATCATAAAATCCATCATTTACCTTCAACAAGAACAGTTGGTATCTGTTGTAAGACAGCGGGAAGGCAGCTGCGGTTTGTTAGTGTTTTGGCGACATTTATATGCCAACACTAGCTTGAAGCTCTGGTGGCTCAAGCCCCTCTAGCACCCACCACGACGGTGGGTGTGTGGCACATTCATTTTCTTGGAATTCTGCTTCAAAGAAGACACCTCACTGAGGAATATCCATTATTCTACCTATTTGTGCTTGAGGCTCTTCAGTGGCCCGAGCTACCTGCTGGCAGTTCATCACAGCACCGCCGGCGTGTCATAATGGCCGCCATCACAGAAATCGACGCTCATGAGCAGCCCTCGGATGAGATGAGGGCAAAGTGGAAATCATGGGCTAGAATGGATGCAAAAGATGTCAAAGACCACCCCCGAATCGACGACCCCCGCAAAGCGCCGGAAGAGAGCGGCTTCATCCAGACGAGTAGCATCACCAAAGCGCAAAGGCGAAAGGCGTTTTCGCAGTTTGGCCAAGAGTACGCCGACGAGGCCGACGAGGATATCCCCATCCTACACCACCCGCTTCTACCAGGTAACTCGCACTGCTCACCTACCAGCTCACACCGTCGTCTAACGGTGCGCTCCCAGGCCTCTTAATAGCACCATCCCTCGTGCCCCCTGCTGTGCAGGTGGCCGCGCTCGACAAGATGCTGCACCGGGACCTCAGCAACCCCGAGCACCAGACCAACATGCACCTCCACTACGACCTGCCCTACCCGGCCGGTGCCACCGTCGCCACGCGCTCCTTCTTCTCCCTCGCGCCCGAGTCCGCCGCTCGCTTCACGCCCAAGGACCCGTCGGTGCACAAGCCGCTGACCGCGAAGCAGGTGCTGTCGCGGCGCCTGCACTGGGTCACGCTCGGCGGGCAGTACGACTGGACGAATCGTGTGTACCCCGAGGGCCAGGACGCGGCGGCATTCCCGGTGGACATTGCGCGCTTCCTGGCCGCCCTGTTCCCCGCGACGGACGCGCAGGCCGCCATTGTCAACCTCTACAGCCCTGGCGATACCATGATGCTGCACCGCGACGTCAGCGAGTTCACCGACAAGGGCCTGGTCAGTCTGAGCTTTGGCTGTGACGGGCTGTTTATGATTGCGCCCAATACGCCGGCGGGCGGGGGAGAGGGGGCAGAGGCGCAGGCGCAGGCGCCGCCGTCGGACAAGGACTATCTGCTGCTGCGTCTGCGGTCGGGCGATGCCATTTACATGACGCAGGAGTCGAGGGTGGCATGGCATGGCGTGCCCAAGATTGTGCCGGACACCTGCCCCGAGTATCTCGAGAACTGGCCGGCGCAGGCTGACGGCCACGGTCAGTTTGGAGCGTGGGAGGGCTGGATGAGGAGTAAGCGGATAAATTTGAATGTTAGACAAGTGCGAGACTAGATATGTCAACCAAATATAAAGAAATACGTTGAAATGGTCACAAAAGTCAGGTGCTGGTCATGGTGGTACTCGTGTCGATTAAATATGTCGCGTCAATCTAGGCTACGAGGCCGAAATAAACAAAAGCTCGCTCATGGAGGAACAATATGACTCCCATGGATCAAGGTTCCACTATACACTTTGGGCAGGATAATTTCCCGTCAACATAAAAACACCCTCCTCTTCTCTCCACAGCTATGCAAAGCCAAAGCCCTGCGCATTCTCCAGCGCCATGCCCAGCCGCTCCCGCAGCACCTCCTTATCGCGGTACTCGGGCAGCAGGAGCGTGCCGTAGCAGGTGTACGCTGTCGGTAAGTGGCCGCCCTCGTTCTCCTCACCATTCTTCTGAATGACGAACTGAACATTTTTGAGACCGCTGACGGGAACGCGGTCCGAGGCCGTGACAAACTCAAGCAGCTTGCGCTTCATCCGGTCGTCGTAGCGCTTCACAATGGACCAAAAGTCGCGGACCGTGTGGTGCGATGTGTCCCAGCCAACGTAGCGCGCGTAGCGGCGCAGCTCCGAAATGTCAATCTCCTGCACGCCTTCCACGACGGACTGTAGGATGGACGGCGTGAGGAGCGTCAGTGACTGTTCCGGGAGACAGGCCACAAAGCCGCGGCGGAAGCTGTCAAACTGCCGGCGGACAGAGTAGTCGGTGAGGTAGCGAATGTAGTCATTGACGTACTCGTCGCGATTTTCGTTGGTGACGTACGGCGCTTCGGGCACATCCGTGTCTGCGCTGACGGGGGAGCCTGGTTGCTCCTTGTGCTTATCCTCGAGCATGTGAATAGTCACATCTTTACCGACTCCCGGCACAGAAAATTCGTAGGTTCGCGCAAATATGTCCTCGATGAGGCCATCCTTTTCATCCCACTCCAAGAGCTTCGTCAAACCATTTGTAAGCTCCGGCCAGCCATCGGCAATGTGGTAAAGTTGGTCAACCGGTTGCTTGAGAAGCTTCCGGTAAAAGGCCTTGGGAAAGTTGACAGGTAGTGTCAAGCCGTTGTACACCGCGAGGGATAGGAGCAAGCCCATTAGCTCAAACTTCCAGTCCTCGACGGCGGGTTGAGGCTTGAACCATGCCATATGATTCCTCTCATCCACCGTGAAAGCCCCGTACACGGGATCCAGGCACTGGGCAACGGCAAGACGGAAGAATTCTTGCTGCACACCACCAGAATCAAAGCCCTCTTCGCCAGCATCTTCGCCGAGGTGAATCTTGAGCGGGCGGAGTAACTCTCGCTTTTGACGTCTCCAAAGCTGGTCAAAGGCGTCGCGAAGAACCGTGGTTCGGCCGATATCCAAAACTAGATACTTGGACGCAGCTGTTCGAAGCATGTCTTTCAAAACAACTTTGTGATGAGGATTTGTGATCAAACTCCCAGGATCAACAATAGCGCTCATGCGGCGTTTCAGCGAGCTGGCTTCCTCGAACGTGCGACTCATGCATGCAAAGTTGATGGATCGGAAATAGGTGACGAGCGTTTCAGATTGGAAAAGATAGGGATAATCAAGAATGTTTCCCACGTGGTCTGTTGAGTTTGTCGTCGTCCATTGTACTGGTACACGCATGGCATCGAGGCGTTCGGAGAAGTACTCTACTCGAAACTGCATCTCTCCTAGTAGAAGAACATTTCTGTTTTTATCTGATCACAATTAGCATATTCAGCTCTGTTCTCGCGCATTATCCAAGACTTACAAAGGGTGTCCATAAAGGATAGTGCCCCGTGAAATGTACCATCCTTGTAGAACTGAGCCTTGCCATCCCACTCATGCAACAAGACTGCCCTGGCCCAGTCAAGTAGCAGAGTCGGTACTCTGGTTTCGTGCAAGAGACGCTCTTCCTGGGTGAATTTCAGCATCCGCTCCAATGAAGTGTTTCGTAAGTCAAGTTGTTCCAACAATGAGCTCAATGGCGCGTTGCCGTGCTTTTGGCGAATTGTGATGGCCAGGAAAAGTCGACGTGCCAAACGCAGAGCTAGGCTATTTGAAAATGCATCGTCATATTTCAGGCAGAGGCCCGACGGGCGTCTGTAGGATGCGCTGGGATTTGACAGCGCGAGACCATGGGAACGTATACGGGATAAGTCGTACAGCAGTCTTGAGTCTGGGACCACCGGGACCAATGCGACAAGTGCGTGGAGGCATATTGACATGACGCTCTCAACTTGATGCGGTGAAAGACAACGTGATTTGCCTTTTTCTTTCCGTACGTTGGCCTCTGGCAACGAAAACAAGCTAGCAGCCGACAGCCAGAGGCTGTGAAGGACGAGACTTGGTGATGCCCTCATCAGACGGACCATGCAGTACCACAAACTGTGCGAGTCGTATAGTATCCCATCCTTGGAAAATGATAAAATCAGTGCGGCTGGGTCACTGAGAACGCTAAAGAGGGTTTGCTCGTGAAAATCTTTCCACAATTTCTTGCACGCAGCATCTCTTGGTTGGGGTGTGCGTACAAGATGCCCCTGTCGCTCCTGTGGTTCGGGATAGTTGTGGCCAACGTCTATATTGCCATGAAGTTGGTCTTCTGATGTGTGATCGTCGACATACACGTCGCAGATGAAGTCGATAATTTGAATATTGAGCTGTGACAATGTTTGCGGCAATGGGTACTCCATAGCTGTGGCATGGTCCAGGTCCTCGTCGTGTACTTCCTCGGCCGAGTGTTGCTTTTGCCTGTGTTCGTGGTTGCCACCCGGTCGCGGTGGCTCAGTCATTTCTTCCTTGGTACTCTCCTCTCCGTCTGATGAAGTGACAGTTACTTCGTCTGCAACGGCAGGAGGGATAGGTACATTTTCGAAAAAGGCCGGCTTGAACGTTATGGTAGTTGGGGATTTTGTTCTTCGCGACAGCTTATCGGGGTGGTATCCGTTCATGCGTGTTGGCCGGTGAAGCGTAGCATTGTCAGCCTCGGCTGTGACGCAGACAGGCTCGATAGATTTGCGTCGCGTCGTTTCGACCGTCGGCTTGGAGCGCAAAGCTGGTTTGGAGTTGCGCTTAGGAGCAGGCTGATCTCTTTTGCTGCGAGACTCTGCAATGCTATGCGGGTCGATATGCGGTGACGACTTGTGGGGAGAGGATGAAGCGTCGCGAGTGTCATCGTGGTCGCGGTCGCGTGCTTCTTTCCCCGTGATCGGCTGAGGATCGGGCGACGGAACAGGCGTCGGTTTCGGGTTCGATGGTGATGAGGAACGAATATCACATATTTTTCGAGATAGAGCATCCAGAGAGCTCGGAGTCAGCCATTCGATCATCTTGAATGCGATGGTACCAAATGTCGTAGCAGCGAAAGACCGGTAGTCTCGAGCGACGGGCCGTTCCGAGATGCAGATCTCTGTCGAGTCTCGCAGGGATTCCGGTTGCAGGGTCGTATCAATAGTTTCTTTCCCTTGCACCTGTGCATCCTCAGACTCGGAGGGAGAACGGCTCTTCGACTGTGACTTGCTGGCCGTCCTCCTGACAGTACGTTGGGCATCGCCGTCGGATGGGTTCTGACTGGCAGATTTCGGAACACTGCATTTTGAGAAAACTAGGTTGTTGACTGCCGGGGTTACATCCTTTGGTCGTCTTAGCGATGGGCATATGCCCCTTTCCGGGTTGTCCTGGCTGGCGAGATATATAGCCAAGGTTCTGGCGCTGGTGGGATTATATCGTCGAATTGGCGCTTTGCCAGCAAGTCGCTTCCGGCAACTGAAGCAGGTTGATGTGTGGCAGGTGTCGCTACCGCATCCATCGCGTAGCTGATGAATGAGGAGTTGTACAAGGAGCTGAAAGTCGTGGCGACGGCTGGCACGATGGATTGCGTAGACGCGGCGAGGGTTTTCGATCTCGCGGACAAAGGGAGTCAGCTGGGGAGGTGCATCAGGTGGAAGCCTAGCAAAGAGCGCCTCTTGCCATAAGCTGTCGAAAACGTCGTATCGGTCGTTGCCGTCGTCCGGGCCATCATGGTGGCCATTCGAGTCGCTGGGCCTGCGCTGAGGCAGCCGAAGTGCCTGGGCACTCATCGCGGTGACGGGGGGCGGCTCATCGGAGAGGATTAGGCAAGCTTGTATTGCTCAGTAGAGGTTACCGAGGCGGTCGTGCAACAGGGTAGAGGCCGACGCTGTTGATGGGGAGTTTGTATGATGGATGGTAATTTGTAGAATGGTAGGATTCTGGGCGAGGCGACGTTGATCACCAACGCGGCTCCCGTTGGCACAGTGCTTGGTTGGAGTCAGGCGGCGGAGTGGCTTAATAAATGGGGACTCAGCGCCCGGTTTAGCGGGCTGAGTATGTTGGGCAGACAGACTACAGACTTCCCAGCGGCCACAGTTAGTGCCTTGCTATGCTGGCAATAGCGCATAGGGAATGACGCCGTTAATAAGTCAATTTAAATATTGAAAATACGTATCGCTATTAGAGCAAAAATAACACAGCAGCATATGCATGAAGGTAGGCCGGAGCGGAGTGCCAGGTAGGCCACCTATCCTTCCTACTGGCCTTTAGTGGACAATGGGGAATGTCCTGGTATCATTGGAATATAATGCAATCAAATCGTAGAAAGTCCCTGGAATCTTCCGCTGGGGATTTATTGATATGATTTGTTCTTTTTCTGGTGCACATTCGTCATAACCAACTTATAATTGGTGCTTTCATCTTGAGCCCCATTTATTTGGCCCTCCTTGCCTCCCAAATTCTCACGTAGGCAAGCGGTGACAAAGCAACAAATAGCAACCCCGCCAGCGCTGCCACCAAAAAAACTATCGCCACAACCGGCATAATAATTCTGCCCCGCCAAGACACATCTTTTTTCTCTTGTTCTCGGTGCGGGAAGCCCGGATCTTCTACCCATTTTGTAACTTGCACCGTCCCCGTCTCTAAAGAGAATCTCCAAGACTCTACATCCAGCTCCCCGAGTCCCGTTCTCTGGTGTCAATATGGCGAGTACTCAGCCTGCGGCCGGCGCCGGGGCTGCGCCGTCGTCTCACCCATACACGTGCAATACCTGCCAAGTTGCGTACAGAAATATCGACCTCCAAAAAGCACATATGAAGAGTGACTGGCAGTAAGCACACTTTTGCGCAGCATACAAGCATGAGATCGCATTTCTGACCAATAGTAGCCGATACAACCTCAAGCGCCGTGTCGCTACCCTACCACCCATCTCAGCCGAAGTCTTTACAGAAAAAGTTCTCCAAGCAAAAGCCGCGACTACCGCCGAGACCGACAAGGCTTACTTCGAAAAATCGTGCGAAGCCTGCAGCAAGACGTACTATAGCGAAAATGCCTACCAGAACCACATTCTGAGCCAAAAGCACAAGCAAAACGAAGCTGTTGCAGGACCCCGCAATGAGGAGGAGACCAAGTCCGTTGTCAGCTCTACCTTTTCTCTGGGCGAGTCCGTTCCCGCTGCTAAGAATGGCGGCGTCGACTCAGACGCCGAGGACGAGTTCAATGAGGTAATCAAGGGTCTTCAAAAGGCCAAACTTTCTCAGCAGCGCCCCTCCCCCGTGAAGCGCCCCAACAACCCTCGCCCAGCTGTCGATGAAGCCAGCGAAGATGCCGAAGACGCTGCGACCGAGAAAGGAACTGCCACCGGCAATGCCCAGGAGCCTGTGTGGACCCTCAACTCTTGCCTCTTCTGTAACTACGAGTCACCCAGTGTACCCCTCAATGCCCAACATATGGAAAAGTTCCATGGCATGTTTATTCCTGAAAAGCCATATCTGACAGATCTGGATGGCCTGCTGCAGCAGCTTCAGTCCAAGGTTGGACAAGGTCACGCCTGTCTGTTCTGCGACAAGGTTAGGACTTCAGTATACGCCGTACAGACGCATATGCGTGACACCGGTCATTGCAAGATTCCCTATAGCACTGAGGAGGAGCAGCTTGATATTGGTGACTATTACGACTTCCGCGCGACATATTCTGATGCGGAGGGCTCGGACAGTGATGAGGAGATGGCCGAAGACGATGCTGGCGGCGCTCGTGTGTCCAAGGCAAAAGCGAACGGAACGGATGAGAAGGAGGGTAAGGAGGGCGAGGAGGGTGATGGCTGGGAAACAGACAGTTCTGCATCGTCGCTGGACTCGGAAGACCTCACAGCTGTACCGGCAGAGGGTCACTACCACCAATATGACAGACTCAGCAAGCACCCGCACCACAAACACGATGACCCGCGACCAAGGCACCAAGCAGATGGCTGGCACTCGCACGCGCACAAGCATACGCACGCCGTCTTTCATGACGACTACGAGCTTCACCTGCCATCTGGCAAGTCGGTTGGGCACCGTTCGCTTAACAAGTACTTCCGCCAGAACCTCACTCACTACCCCACTCCCGAAGAGCGGGCGGAGCGTTTGGCGATTGAGGGCTCTGAGCGTCCCGGGTCAGACGACGAAACTGAAGGTCGCGTGGTCCGCCGTAACCGTAGCCGTGGCCGTGCGGTGGTCCCGAGAGGAGCTGTCGGTATGATGGGAGCTTCTGACGATGTGAAGAAGGCCGTCCGCAAGGAAGAAAAGCGCGCGCGCAAGTTGGAGAACTCGGACACGAAGAAGCGAAACCTCCGCTTAGGAGAGATCAACAACAACCAGAAAACATACTACTACCGCTACGACGGTGGTGGTTAGACGATGCATGAAAGAGATGATTATGGATTCGGGGAGGCGTTTTTCGTGTTACTTGCTGATATAAAAAAAGGGGTTATATTACTTATTACTTCTTTCCTTACATGTTGGCGTCCAAAACGTGATGCAACGAATAACATGTGCATAGACCTTGGTTGCTGCACTCTTTTGCTAATGGCTTATAGGTTACAAGGTAGCAATAAGATGCGACGGCTGGCCCGGGTCTTTGTTCACCAACCACGTACCACACAGCGCCTAGTGCCAGAATTGCACACGCGAAATTGCTGCCTGGATCCTGGTGACCAACAAGACATAATGGCTTTTCTGGTTTGTGCTGTGCTGCAGTCTACCATGTGACGTGAGACGATTGTCGGTATTCGCTTAGGGGCGAATGAGCAGCCATGGCACAAATTTACTACATTCGGCCCGACAATGAACAAAGAAGCTAGTTAGGCACCGGACGCAGACTGTATGAGGAAGGTGGCAGATGGCCCCAGTGTGCATATTTTTTTGATGTACAGCTAAGCAAGCGAGTGATACCTAACTTGTATGAGTATGCATTCCGGAGATGAGAAGGCGTTTTGAGATTTGGCCCAAGACGATGGTGAGGGGCGGGTGTGTGGCTTGGCGAGCATCGGATTTCGGGAGCGTAATGAGAGAAAGGAATGGATTGTTGATTTAATCAAGTCAAAAATGGAAGAGCCATGTATTTGTAATTTGGTTAGTCGTTGAAAGTAATGTGATAACTACTGTGATGGGTGAGGGATGGAGGCAGTACTTGGCCAAAATTGTACGACTTATACAGGCGCTAGACCACACCTCTTCTCTGCCAAGACGAGGAAAGAGACATGCTTTGGTTCTTTTGCTTCCTCGTCGTATTTGCAGGATTTCATTGACCAGTCGTGGAGGGCTACTCTTCTTGTCTATTAGTCCGTGTCTCTCCCCCGCAACTCCACACCAAGACCACGGAGGAAAGTGGGAGACGGAGGAGCGGGGAACAAAAAGGAAGAAGAAAGAGAAGGTGTGTGCCGCCTCCTTTCCACCGTTCACCGTCGGGGATCAGATCGAGCAGGGGTCTCGGAGGCGTTTTGGCGCTCACGGCAACCTCGTGGCACTCCCGCGTAGGGCGACGCCGAACCGGGCATAACCGGACACGACTCAGACGAACAAGACAGGGACCAATTGAATCGTTCCCAACCCAACGTTGGACAATTTGACAAGGGAGAACCATGGCCCAAAAAAAGTGGCGGCGGGGGATGACGCTAAAACTTGAACGGCGAAACGGGTATCAAGTCAACCGGAGGGGGGGCTTTTCGTCTCACGAGACTTCATGCGCCAAGGTATTCTGACGCTGCGACCTCTTTTCTTCTGGCTGTTGGTACGCACGGAACTGAGCAAACGTCATTTGGTGACATGGTGCATTCGAATCCCTGCTTCCTTGTGCTGCCTCTTTGATTCCCCCGGTCTCCCTACCCCGCCTCCAAGAACGCGTCGTTGTAGATTCGTTGCGGGCGCAGTCTTTCTGCTCCGTGGTGGTGGTAGTGCGCCTTCGTACCTCTCATTTGCCTCGGGCGTCTCTCTTCCCACCGCTCGACGGGATCAATATCATGTGGTTTGAAGATAAAAGTAAGGTGTCTCGTCGGTGTTATGCTCCTGCCGTTCTTTGCTGTGAACCCACCCCCCCCTGCATGTGTGGTACATGCCTCGTCTGTCAATCTTCTCAGGACGACGCAACGCATATATATTGCCTTTTTTTCCTGCACTTTTTCTGTCTATCCCTCTTAAAACTTGTCACGCCATATTGCTTCCTAAACATTATGAAGCTAACACAGGCCGCGATAGTTGCGCAGACAGTGCTGGGTCTGTCCTCGGCTGCCGATACACGTATGTTGGACAAGACCCAATCCCAATTGAGCATTGTATGCATGAGCTGCAGCTAATCGTCGCAACCAATACAGTTCAGCCATGGACCTTCACACCACTTCCCGTTGGCGCCATCAAACCTGCCGGCTGGCTGCTGGGCGAGATGCAAGCCATGGCCACGGGGCTGCCCGGCCATCAGCACGACTTTTATATATTTGTGAACCAGTCGTCGTGGCTCAGCACACCTGGCAGCGGTGGCTCTGAGTACAGCAGTCTGAACGAGGCTCTGCCGTATTGGTTCAATGGTCTTGTTCCCACGGCCTATATTCTGGACGATGCGAGGCTAAAGGGCCAGGTGCATGACGTTGCTGACAAGGTGCTCAAGTTCCAGACCGATGATGGCTGGATTGGCCCTGAGACGGGCGACAAGCGCAACTTTTGGGCCCGTACGCCCTTTTTCCTCGGCCTGATCCAGCTTGCCGAAGCAGACAAGCAGTGGGAGGAGCGCATTGTCACGGCGTTGCATACATTCTTCCAGCTCGGAAACAAGATGCTTCACAACGACAGCCAGGGCTTCACCCGCTGTGCCAGTGATATTGATTGTACCTGGGGACAGGTGCGCGTAGCTGACATGATCATCGTCATCCAGTGGCTGCTGGACAATCATCCATTGGACAACAAAGCTCAGCTCTGGGAGACCATGGACATGTTCTACGATCAAACAACGTACAAGTGGGATAAATGGTACGACCCTGCCACATATCACAAGGTTGTCGACCCCAATGACAAGAACATCACCCAGTATATTCACGGTGTTAATGTGGGCCAAGGCAAGTTCATCTCGCGTGTAACTGCACAGCCATCACTAACAGAATGTCACAGGCCTCAAGGCATCGAGTGTCGTGTGGCGATTCAAGGGCGGTGACTACTTCCGCCAGCGAAGCCAAGATGCCGTCGATTTGACATTTACCTACCACGGCAGTGCCTCCGGTTCCGTTCTCGCGGATGAGTGGCAGCGTGACGACTCGCAGTATATCGGCAGTGAGCTTTGCACGGCTGTCGAGACGTCATATTCACTGGCCTACATGTATCAAGTTCTCGGAAACAACAGCTTTGCAGACCGTGCCGAGACCACGTTGTTCAACGCCATGACTGTTATGTTGACTGGTGACAAATGGGCTCATCAGTACATGGCGGCGCCCAACATGCCCTTTGCCCTCAGCACTATTCAGGCCGATGGCAGCGTGCCACCTGTCTTCACAACAGCCAACAGCGGCGTCGCAACAACCTATGGCATGGAGCCTTTGTACCCATGCTGCACAGTCAACCACCCTCAAGGCTACCCCAAATTCATCACCAACAGCTGGGTATTGGTAGGCTCCACGGGCCTTGGTCACGCTCTTCTCGGCCCTACAAATGTCACGACAAAGGTCAACGGTGGTGATGTGTCCATTGAATGCACTACCAACTATCCATTCACCAACTCACTCTCCTACCAAATCAGCGCCGAGGCAGATTTTGACTTGTATCTCCGCGTGCCCGAGTGGATGAACCTAAATTCTTCATCACTTACCACTACTATCACTGCCGGTGGCACGGCCTCGGCCAATGCTACCGTTGCTGTCAGCGCAAGCGACGACACAGGCATGCACAAAATTTCTGTTGCCAAGGGAGCCACGACGATCATCTACAGCCTTGGTATCAGTCCCCGGGTCGAGAATCTTGTTGACGATACAGTCGCCATCTTCTATGGCAACCTGCTTTATGCTCTCGATGTGGGTTACAACAAGACAACGACTCTTCCGCACTCGTACGGCGACCCCAAGGGTCCCGGACTCGGCGGCCTGGATTTTAAAGAGCTGCGCGACGAATTCATCAACAGCACCAAGGAGTGGAATGTGGCGATTGATCCAACGACCATCAAGTACAACGGTATCGGCGCGACCGACTCGATGGCCAACCCCATCTTTGAGCAAAATGCGCCGGCCAATTTTATGTCGGTCGACGGCTGCCAGATCAAGTGGGATTTAAAGATGGGTGTCACTCCTGACCGGGTGCCAAAAGACCCAACCTGCATCAGCGAGAAGAAGACGTACCGGCTGATTCCGTACGGCGCGGCCAAGGTACACATGTCGCAGATGCCGACTGTGAAACTGTAGATGCTGTGATTATCATGTGTTTTTATCATTATGCTGTATGTTAATAATGTATATACTCTTTTGGGGTGGGTGGCAGATGGATGCTGATGGTGTTGATGAATTGGAGATGAATACCAAGTACACTTTGCCTATTCTGTGCTGTTGATGTATGAGCTCGGCGCCTGGCGTGTAGCGATGAGTATGACGCTGACTCGCAATATCAGTCGTAACAATTGCATGCTGCTGGTGCTCCCATCTCCGTAGATAGACTCGGGTCCGGATCTGGAGGTTATGGTGGAGAAGAGGTCGATGTTGCGACACAAAGTGAGGGGAATACCGGCTTTCAGGTACCGAGTACGAATTGTAGGTCGGTTGTATGTATCTGCTTTGGCAGATGTTCGAAGCGACGAGGAAGAATTGATGCACGAGGCTGGCTGGTCTGTTTATAGTGATGATCGACAGACGTCCAATAATATGCGGGCAAGGCTCTGCTTTACGGACCGAGGAGTGGCAACCAGAAGTCAGCATGCATAATGGGGTATTGAAACGAATGCGTCGCCGTGTTGTCGGGTTGATGGGGTCTCTCTTTTTTGCTTCCTTGGCTCCTAGTTGATCAATACTCTACAACAGACGGATGATGCGAGTTCCGTGTTTTGGAACACTTGCCAAAAGATCAAAGATGATGTGCGTTGAGGCTGTCTCGCCACCCCCCCCTTGTCCCACAGGCCCGGCTGCGGGCGCAATTGGGAGAGGGGCTGCTTCTAATTTTGGCCCTATTGAGGCGCAGCGGGATCTTTCTGATTGTTTTAGCGTCGGGGCGCGCCGCGCGCGGGGGACAACGAGCGAATGCCAGCCTTAACACTGTTTGCTTGATCTCGGTCAGCTTAGTGATCGTCTTTGTTCCTTGGAGCAAAACGGAGATGAGAAGGAGTGCGGAGAGAGCGAAGAAGGGAGCGAATGGAGCAAAGAGAGCAAAGCCGACGGAGAAGAAAAAAAAAACATACGAGGCTGGGATCTTAAAATAGAGGACTGCATCAGGCGCGTAGCTACCCGAAGCGGCGGATGGCTGCGATATGCAAGTTGTTCGGGTCGGGATGGCTGGTGTGGGCGGTGGGTTTCCTTGAGGTCTATTATGAAGCATTATGAAGAGCGAATTCTAGTTATTCTGCAGCTCCACCACAAGTCAGCCAGACAGGTTCGCAGTTTACATAATAATGCTACAAAACCAGGCTGAGGCTCTCTCTCTCCTTTTCTCACACACCTTTTTTATAAATTCTCCCCTCTTTTCAAACTCATCTTGTCTTTTTTCTTGGCATCTTGGTTTCACTGCCGCTAAGTCGTTTGACGCGGCTATGCTGTGCACGGTCGTATTAGACCAACTGCGACGCCATTCACACGAGTCTGACTGAGTCCAACCTCTTGTCCGTTTGCACCTTTTTTTCTACCCATTGGCCAGTTTCCAAAACCTGGTTGTTGACGTAAATTACACCTGAAACCGTTGCTTCACATCTATCACGCCGTAGTCAGCTACATCCCCCTTTTCAGCTTCGACAAATCTACGCGCGACGTCCAACTTCACTTCACTTACACCCCCCTTCACCTCACCCAACCACAACCAAATCCATCACGAAACCAGCAACAAAGCTACACAACACCATGGCGAGAGCCCACGGCCCGACCAGCGCCTCTGGCGGCGGCGGCGACCTGCTACTGCTGCTCTCCCTCGTCATCCTGCTCGCCGCCCCGGCCGCGCGCGCCTTTGACCCCGACTTTGGATTCTACCCCAAGGACGCGCGGGACTGCCTCTACGCCGCGGCCAAGACGTCGCAGTGCCAGGGCAGCACGTCGGGCGTGCTCAACGCGTGCCTGTGCAGCAACGGCGGCGGCTTCGTCGACATCGCCGCCGAGTGCCTCGGCAAGAATGACAAGGAGGACGTCGGCAAGGTCTACGGCATCATGGTCGACGCCTGCGCCACGTCCAGCACGCCCCTGACCGTGGACAAGGACGCCTTTGAGGACGCCGCCAAAAAGGGCGCCACCGGGGACGCCAAGACGACTTCGAGTAAAAGCAGCACCGCTTCCTCGACCACCTCTGCAACAAACACGGCAGCAGCATCGCCGACGACAACGTCGCCGGCGGCGGCGGCGGACGACGGCAATCAACAGCCAAAGCTCTCCACCGCTGCCACCATTGGCATCGCGGCAGGCGTCTCCGTCGCCGGCGTCCTCGCCATTGCCGGCATAGCCTATGGCCTCGTTCGGCGACGCAAGCGCGGCACCGCCGCCGACGAGGCACACCCGATGCTCCCCCCAGAAAAGTACGGCGGCGGCGGCGGCGGCACCAACGTCGACAGTCCCACCACGTTCCTCTCCCACGGGCCGTCTCCAAGTCTCGGCAGCCCTGGCTTCGAGCAGCAGGGAGCAGCCAAGTCGCACTACTCGGTATCGACCTTTAGCGGCAGCATGCTACCGCAGCAGCAGCAGCAAAGTTACACACCTCTGCCCACGAATACGAGCCCGGCGGGCACGCCACAGCAGCAGCAGCAGCAAAACTTTCTGTCTGCGTGGGAGCCCCCGACGAACAACAACGGCAACAACAACACGGCGTACGACCCCAGCCCGAGAAACTCGCAGTACGTCGGGCCGTACGCCGCGCCGCAAGGCGGCCTGGCCGAGTTGCCCCCGCAGACGCAGCCGCCGCCGCAGCAGCAGCAGCAGAGGCCCGTGAGCAACGTGTTTGAGCTCGACTCGTGCGGCGTCGAGGCACAGTCAACCCAGCCAACCGTGCAACCACCGGCAGTGCAGTCGCCCGAGCCAGCTATGGAACCGCCCATCGCGGCGTCGCCGCCGCCGCCGCCGCCGCAGCAACAGCCTCCTCCTCCTCGGGAGTACAGGCCGTATGTACCACAGTGAGCAAGCTGGTGTAGCAGTGTTCGTTGCATCAGTCAGATTTTTTATGACCAGGGAGCTTTGCAATTTCTTTTTCTACTCGACATTCAGCCAACGGCTGCACATTGGAGTACGGGCTCATTTCCTTGCCTCTTCGTTTATCATTTGCGCACAGTGTTCAGAAGGTGTGACCTTGAGGCGTGCATGTCCGAAAGTAGTTATCATATATGCATAGACAAGTTAGCGAAGGACTTTCAACTGAATCTAAGTAATTGTTGTTTATTCACGCCATCTTGCGCAAGTTCTGAATTTTGGCCACGGCGCAATGGAGACATACGGGGCCATGATTCCTAAGGATGTTGGTATTATTGTACAAAAGTATAACAACTAGTGCTATTTCTACACCCAAGGAGACAAAAAGGCGCGAAATGCGGTCGCTTCCGACTCTTACTCCCAAGGTACCTCGAGCTACAACTTGGTGCCCAAACGCATAAACGGATGCGCTTCCGTGTTTAGCACCCACTCATCGAGACTAATCAGTGTCGGCTCGGAAAACACCAGGTAAAAGTATTTGAGCGTCTCGGCAAGCCAGAAGCTCTCCATCGAGTCCTCCTTTTTGGCCTCGTCAGAATCCACATTGTCCACGGCGCTGTTGGCCAGGTCCGTTTTCGTGAGGCCGTCAACCGCCTGCCACATGGTCCACGCCTTTTCCTGCCACTCTTTATCGCCTGTGACGCGGTACATGATGAAGACACTCTCAATGGCCTCGGGCCGCAAGATGTACTGTTTGGACTTGAGCTTGGCGATACCCTTGGGTGGCAGGTCCACGTCTGCGACGTCGTCGCCAACCGCTTCCCGCCACACTGTTTCGTTCCACGAGCAGCGCGCCTTGTTTTCACAGGGTACACCAACGAGTCGCTCAGCCATGACGCCCGACTTGGTGGCATTGTAAGCCCACACGCACCCATCTGTCAGCCGACGGGCTATGTCGACGTCAGAGTCATTGGACGTGAGCCGGCCGCCGAGTGCATACATGCCGCCCGCAAAACATGTCAGGTGCTCAGTGACGGCCGTCAGTGTTGGTTTTCCTTTAGGGGCGTCCCTGGAGCTTGCGACTCCCGTCATCAGGATGTCAGCGTCGCCAGGCACCATGGGACGGTAGACGAGATGCTCCTGTGTGGCAGCAATACTGCGCTTGTATAGCCGTTCGTACATGGGGTCGAGGTTATTGAGCAAGGCCATCATCTTGGGAAAGTACTCGTACGCGCTATCGGCACCGCCCCCCATTGAGTAGCCCGAGCCGGTGTCGAAGCGAGCAGCACTGGGGTCGACCGAGACGGACCAAAGCCCGGGTATTTTGGTCGTCATTTGTGAATCGTCGAGAAGGTCACTTATATGCTGCGTAACGTCGTGATATCGTGCGTCGCCCGTGATTAAGCTAAGTCTGGTGAGCTCAAGGACCATGGTTCCAATCTCAGCCAGGCTGGTCTCGTCCGGCGCCGTATTATTCTTGTTTTCGGCGGCTTCTTTGATATTCCAGCGGCCAATTGGCATGTGGTTTGGTGTATCAAAGGCCTTTAGTATCATGTCGCCGGCATCGGTTGCCTTTTTCCTCAGTCGATCATCGGCGCTCAGGTCGTAGGCAGAAAGCAGGCCGCCAAGATAGCGAATGTTGGTTTCGAACAAGCTGATGACATCGCCAGATGAAGAGGTAGCAAAAGAAACATGTTTGTCCACGGCGCCAACAGCCTCGTTAAATTCGTCGTGCATGCCCATGATCCACAGGGTGTCGAGGGCGTCAACCAACGTCGCGGCCCAGCCGCCAAAGGTATCCTTGGATCCGCCGCTGACAGGCTCGAGCTCGTCGTGGAGCCAAGCACGGTCTCTGTACGAGTTCCAGCATCGTCCAAACGCCTTCTTGACAGAATCGCGGCGACGGAGCCTGGCATTCTTGTCGTTGTCTGTCTCGGGTCCAAACTTGAACTGTACCGCAGGCAACGGCTTAGTGCCCTGCGTTGGCAGTGGCCGAGGCGCTCCCAGGGGATTGTTCCATGGCAGCGTTCGCCAAATGAGGTCGACGTCCTCTCGTCCTCCTGGGCCTCGGCTGTCTGACGATGCTGCGCCCTCGTTGAGCCGTCGGCGGGAATCATCCAAATTGCTAAAATGCCAGGCAAGTGACCCAACAATAGCAAAGCAGACGATAGTCGTGATAATGACACCCCAGATCCGCACCCGTACCAGAGCCGGCCCCTTAGGGCATATAGCCAGAGGCATGGCGGGGCGGTGAGATCAACGTAGCTTTTCGCAGCTGGGAGCGACAATTTTCAGAGAAGGGAAGCTGCAGCACAAGCCTAGTAGCTCTCCGGGGTAGATGAATGTGATGATAGTGATGATAGTGATGTTTACAAGTAAGTGTACCTCTTGTCTCAGAAGTCGTCGGGTCAGCTGAGAAAACCATCACCAGGTGGGAACCTGTAGGAACAGGCAGGAACAGGCAGGATGATGACTGAGCCTCCCCAAACGTCAATGATCAGGACTCAACGTCTCAATCTTCTTCTTCTTCTTCCTTCCTCCTCGTCCTGCTAGCCTTTCGTATCTACGTCAAGGCCATGACTGCTGCAGGTTGTTGTTGTTGATACATAGGTAGGTAGGAACGGATCTGTTTGCTGTCACCCTGGTGAGGTACTGGTACTTGATGGTTACACAGCAAGAAGCCACATCCGATATTTCACCGTGCACAAAATATGCAACGTCCAACGTCATGGAACATGCTTACGGAGTCATGCTTGATATTCATCATGGGCAGCTTTACACTATGTACCCGCCTGCAGAAGTTTGCAAGCTCAGTGCACCCAAGGTAATGGTAGAGCACGGTGCATTAAACTCGGATGGCTTGACAAGGGTCAACTCGGGACTGTTATCCTTTCCGTACACAACGAGGCTCGCATTTTGCTCGTCGTATTGCGGCCAGCCCATCGCATCGGTTAACCCATGCCAGGGATCGTTGCTGAACGCATACCAGGCCCGCTGCATGACCTCTGTCAGCTTCTGTTGGTCCACTGCCGGCTGAATGCCGCTGACATCGCCCGAGGCGCCGTACACCATGTGCAGGTCAGAGCCGTGATATGCGCCGCTCGTCGGATACAGCCTTGTGTTGTCCCAGTCGCCAAGGTAGCGCCAAACCCACGCTGGCACGCCGTGCTTCTTGCGCGCGTTTGCCTGGTGCGCAATCGGACACGTAAAAGATTCAAGGTGAAACGAGTCGACTTGTGCTTGCGTGGGCACGACGCCGTTGCTATATGCCGGGATCTTGTAGTAGCCGGCCTCGTTGTGGTTGTTCCCTGAGAAGAGAGGGATCCTCGCGAACTGGCCCGCGTTGGTGCGATGGACGTAGTCTGAAAATACAATCTCTTCGTCCGGGATGGGATAAAAAGGCGGCACAGAACGTAGGGGGCTGCTGCTCTTACCAGGCTTGACCGCAGCAGCAGCAGCTTCGACCTTTTGCCAGTCGGCCTTCTTCACACACTCGTACACATTCCTCGTACTGCAACATCCCAGCTGCTTGGCCACTTGCTTGAAGCTCTCCAACGGAACACCCTTGGGTTGTACTGGAAAACTAAACGCATTGCCAGAGGTAGCAATCACGCCGTTGACAAGGGGCCGGTCTTGGTACGCATACGTCCAGTAGTCAACTGAAACACCACCGGATGACTGGCCGGAAATGGTCATCTTGTTGGCGTCTCCGCCAAAAGCATAAATATTCTCATGAAGCCATTCAACCGCCGCACGTTGATCGCGCAATCCGGCATTCTGCGGTTTTCCGGGAAATCCTGGAAAGCCAAAGATGTTGACACGATAGTTTACTGTGATGAATATGGCGTCTTGCGCGTCCGCAAAGTACTTAGCATTGTAGAATGGGCTGTTTGTATTTCCAATGGCAAATCCTGTCATAAAAACTGTAAGTCTAACCGTACCGACGTTTTCAGTTGCGTTTTGCACCACTTACGACCACCATAGAAAAACACGATGACTGGCTTTCGACGCTTCAAGGATGCAGGTGTTGTCTTGGCCCAAATGTTGAGGGTTAGGCAATCTTCGCTCTTGTTGGCGCTCGCGCCAGAGGCAAAGTACGACAGAATTCGCGGGGCTTGCGGCGTGAAGCCAGGATAATCGACGGGTGGCGAGGACGTCAGCGGGCAGTCATGGCCAAAATAGGCAGCTTCATACGGCTTATTGTCTCTGAAGCGCACCGGAATCGCAAATCGTAGTTCTCCGACGGGAGGTTTGGCATAGGGGATGCCCAGGTACTCAATGACGCTCTGAGAGTTGCTCGCGGCATGACCCGTCACTAGGCCGTTGGTCGTGTTGACAGTCAGGAAGGATCGGGGATCAGCTCCGTCGCCGAGCACCACTTCGGCCGTGACAGCGCCGGCCAGGGCCAGGAGCGACGTCGCTATGAACTGCATTGTGATGAGGCTTGAGACACTTTGTGACACCAGATGGCCAGAGAGAAAACCACTCCACTCAAGCTCTAGAATGACTTCTTATTAGTCGCCCCTAGCCTGTGTTGCAACGGTTGAACATGCCAGTCCATGATACCTCCTGCTAAGTTGTCACTGCGCCGTCGCTAATGAACAAATAAATAATGTAGATGCTGGAGTCCCCGACCCCGCATCGGTGAGAAGCCACTGTAGCTAGTTACTATTATTAATAACGAAAGAGGACTCGGGAGGCATACCAGGCTGCAGGGGTAGTGACGGCAAGGAAATTAGCATATTTGTATAGTTACTTGTCAGCCCGTCGGTTCCGTTATTAGTAGGGTTCATTTCGACGACGGTGGCGCATCAAGGCTGAGAATGAAGCCCAGATTCCAGATGAAGAAGGCGCGAATTAACCCAATGGAGGGGAGTGTCAGGTTTCTCAGTCTGTCCTGCTTTCTGCGCTGGTACGCCCCCTTATGCCATGCACGCCAAGACAGGCTCGATTAGCATGGAATTTCAGCCCGCAGGTTTGACAATTATGCCGTTCCTGGAGGTTGAATCTCCGAGATATGAATACGCATTCCCAAAATAATAGCATGTCCTCCTGGCATGCACGGAGATGCAGGGCGTCTGCCACGACACCGTTTTAGTGAGAGACTACTGAGACAGTCTGCTACGACCCTGACATGCTGGCACGCCTCTGAGCCCTTTCATAGAGCCCTTTCGAATTAAATAATAGCGGCCGGAGATGGGATGGGCCTTGATTCATGTGAGGGAGGATCAGACGAATAAGCAAGGGGGCAACCTGTTCCAGAAGAATAGAACAACAACAAAGCGACCAGCCTAGCGGCCTGACTTCCAGGTACCCAAGCAAGCCTCTACGCGAGCACCGTCCAGCTAGCTTCTCACGCTTATTTGTCCAGCTCAGTGATGAGTGGCGCACGCCACGGGGTAAAAGCGACGGAGACAGGGCTCGACGAGGAAGATAGCGGGCACCAGTACCGCGTCAGGATCTTGACTCTTGGGTTTGGCAACAGGTGAGTGGCCACGGTGTTGCACCCGGACCAAGTCTAGTTTGACTACTAGTAAGTAGCATATCCATGCCCCTTTGAGAGACAAGTCTCTAGTTGTTAGGTCTCGAATCGAAAAAAAAAACTAAGCTAGTTGGGTGTTTGATACCTAACTAGGTCCTCCGAGCCTGCGTGCGGTGAGAAAGCTCGTGTTCGATCGGCTATCTTTGGGCCAGAACATTCTTTTCGTTCTTATAGCTCTACATCCCTCACAACACCTTTAGAGGGGGAAATCGAAGATGATAAAGCAACAGAGGCCGTCAAAACTCCTGGCTACTGGTCCTCACTCCTACCTCCAAGAGCATCAATATGACGGCACCAAGCAGTTATACTAGCAACAGCTCCTGAGACATTCACGGCAGCGCCGTCATTAGCTGTGCAATGTGTGTTGATAATGGCACAGCAGCATGCGCAAAACACGACAGTCGGAACCCGAGGGATGGGCTTCCCTACCAACGAGTACAACAATGATGGCTGGAAATTATATACAACGTCGCTAGTCATGGTGATTAGCGCTGGTATCTTTGTCATTTTGCGATGCTCAACACGGCTGTGGTTTGCAAAGCTCGGCTGGGATGATGCAGCAATTGTAGCTTCCTTGGTATGCTCACTCGTGTCTGCACATCCAACTATGATAATGATGCTAATCTCACTCGCCTTCTAGTGCTTCTCAATCGTGGTTTCGGTGGCCATACAACTGGCAATATCACACGGATACGGCATGCACAAGACGGACTTGTCCCAGGATGAGTTACACATGGCTTTGAAGCTCTTCTTCATAGCTCAGACGCCATACAAGGTCACTGTCTGTCTCAACAAAGTGGCGACCGTCTTGTTTTATTTGCGATTATTTTCGTCCCGACAGTTTCAAGTTGCAGCATTTACCACACTGGCCATCATCATAGCAGCGAGCATAGGGTCAATATGCGCTACCATCTTCCAATGCGTCCCTATCGCGGGCGCCTGGGATCACTCCATCGAAGCGCGGTGCATCCACTCTGGTCAATTCTGGGTAGCATATGCGGTCATGAACATTCTGACGGACATCATGGTGATCGTTTTACCAATTCCGATGATACGAAAGTTGAAATGCGACAAACGCGACAAGGCTATGCTGTATGGTCTGTTTCTTCTGGGAGGCTTGTAAGTCAGACGCGATTCCCGCCTGCGGTTGGCTACCCATACTGACTGCCACATTGTAGCGTAACATTAACTTCGATTCTCCGAACGACATCGGTCCAAAACTCGTTACAGAATCGAATGGATATTACCTTTAGCTTCATTACTCGCGGCATCTGGACGCTGGTTGAGGCAAATCTGGGCATCATCATTCCATGCCTGGTCGTGTTAAAGCAACCTCTGGGGATTTTATTACCGGGATTTTTCGGTCCGTCAAAAGCACATGCCGCATTTCAAAGGCGACGCGGCGATCTCGAGAAGGCCTATGCCCTCTCTACTCTCTCCAGCGGCCCGAGTGATGGCCTGTGGCAAGGCTCAAACCTGGCGCAGCAAAGCGTCATCATCAGTGGACCTGGAGCGCGGGCCGGCCGACGCAGTGATGAGAAGCACATTATTTCTGATGCATCCAGAGACAGCGACGGCGAGTTTGACGGCAGGACGCCTGTGGTGATGCAGGGCATCTCTAAAACTGTGGAAGTGGTGCGGACATCCGTTCACCAGGATCGAGAGTACCACCATACGAGCGGGTTCTCCTGTTCTTTGACGGTCTCTGAAGCTTCCTTTGGGTCAAAATCATGTTTGTTTAATGCAGAGAAGAGATAACAATAATACAACCCCTTACAAACAAGTATGTGATGAGCAGGGACACATCATTACAATATCCGGCACACCTTTATTATACTATTACTGCATATGCGCATAAAATACCCACTATATCCCTATTGACAGCATTGCTCTTGCACATGTTTCCTGGTTGCCGGGTACCTAGGTAACTATGGATGAGCTTCTGACAGCTGACAACCCCAATCAATGGTGATGCTGGTCTACTGTCAAATAATGTTTCCTCTCCTCAATATAAAAGCTTCCCACATAATCTGAACTTCAATGTACAGTTAGCCAGTTTTCACGAGTTCAACGCGCGACAGCCTTTGCACTCCAGACCATGTTGATCAGCATATACAAATCGATCGGTCGCTCGTTTCAAGCCGGGGTTCCGCCCAGAGAGTTATTAGCTTGACTGAACCCTGCAATCGATTTCCCCGGACTTTAGGGGATTACAGACTGAGCCACCTTGGATAAACTTTGCCACGTTGCTTCAAACTATCAACAACATTTGGCTGCATAGAGAACTTTTGAAAGCATGAGTGCAAGCAAAAAATACGTCCTTATTACCGGGTAAGCCGCGGCGTCCAGGGCTTAGCTGGATCTGGTGCTGATGATATGCGACAAAGGTGTTCGCCGGGCGGCATTGGCCACGCGATTGCCACTGAATTCCAGAGAAATGGTGAGCCCATCACCAGCCACTGCTGCACGCGATGCGATTCTCACGTCTATTTGGCAGGATATCATGTCATTGGTACAGCGCGCAGAACCGAAGTCCTTCAAGAGTTGCGCTCGACGGGCATGACCGTGGTCGCCCTCGACGTCTGCGACAAGGCCAGTATCGACAAGTGCAAACAAGAGGTCGCGCAGCTGACCGGCGGCACGCTCGACATTCTTGTGAATAACGCGTAAGAATCCGCGCGTCTTCCCTTGCTCGTTGGATTGCGCGCCGCTAACGGAGAAGCGCGACAGCGGTGTCAACCACACAATTCCGGCCACCGACATTGAGATTGACGACGTCAAGAGGACGTTTGACGCCAACGTCTTTGGGCCGATGCTCATGTGTCAGGCCTTTGTGCCGCTCTTGATCCCCGCCCGCGGCCTCATCATCAACATCTCCTCGGTGTCGTCCGTCACGCCGTACCTGTTCGCGTCCGTGTACTGCGCGACCAAGGCCGCGCTCGACGGCTACTCGCGCACCCTGCGCCTCGAGCTGAAGCCCTTCAACGTGCGCGTCATGGTGGCCATGACAGGCACCGTCAAGTCCAACATCACCTCCCACTTTGTGCGCGAGCTGCCGAGCGCATCGCTCTACCAGCCAGTCAGGGACATGTACGAGGACCGCATCCAGTTCAGCCAGCGAAACTCGCCCATGCCCGCCGACGCCTACGCCAAGAAGCTGGTCGCCGCGGCGCTCAAGGGCGAGGGCTGGCTCGGGGGCTTGTTTGGCAGGTCGCCGGATTGGTTCTGGGCCGGCGGGCTTGCGAATGTTGCCTGGTTTGGCCAGACGTTCTTCCCGCGCAGGGTCGCCGAGTTCATAGCGGCGATCACTTTCAAGACTTCCAAGATGGCCTTTAGGATTGCAGAGGCTAGGGCCAAGAGGGTATAAGCGCGGAGTTCGACGCCGTGGTTGACGCGAACCATTCATGAGTCTCTTGTATCAAATATCTTGCAAATCTAGCCTCCAATATTTGCGTGCCAATAGTTGCGTGAGTGAGCGAGGAAAATAGACTGGATGACTGATACAGCTGCAGCTTTCTATCTCATTTTATGGAAATAACATAGTGTCGCGCCACCTTGATTGCTGATCTCAATTGACGAGTTACTACGCATTGCCCTGCCTGCTCCTCGTGTGTATCCGGGCAGCCTGACCATCAATATTCTTGGGACCGGTGCCATTGCGAGTAATCCAGCCGTACGCGATGAGAATGAGAGATGCAACTAACTCTGGCACAAGGACGAGCAAAATGCGGACCGCAAGTGTGCCCGTGACCGGGCTTAGCGACTGCTTCTGGGAGAAGAAAGCAACCAGTGTGTACACCACGCGAATACCAATAAACAGTAACGCGAAGGCAACACCAACAAGAATCTACAAATCTATTAGCATTCAAAGCTGCGGCACATCGGGCTCAAGTTGCCTACCTTTCGCCCAGCGCGAGACGCCTCCGAATGTTGGGTACTGCGTCGGAACCACGATTGCAAAGACCACCCGACGAGAACAACCCAGCCTATCAGTAAAAGTGTGATACCAACCTTGACTTTTATCAGATCGGAGGGTAGAGGAGACGAGCTTTGCAAGGCCGAGGCGCCAACGGCGAGGATGGCTGTCGCACCAGCAACAAGGATGTGCAAGGCAAGCACAACGGCCCATTCGACTTTCGCATCACCGACTTTTCGCAGAGAGTTTCTGCAAAAACATGGTCAGGTTTTGCGTCAAGAAATTTGGACAGATAATTGGGGAGCTAAACTTACGACTCGTGAAGAATGCCAGAGGCGGCAAGGAGAAGTGGTGACAGTCCAATGTTGGCAATAATAGTGGCCGTCTTGCTTCCGCCGAGTGCGAGGGCGCCGCCCAGAATTCTCAGTACGCAGAAGGCCGCCAAGTAGAACCATCCTATGATGCCCACTTTGCCATGTCTGAAGAGCAAGTAGAGAACTGGGATGATCATCGCGGCATAGATTGCCATCTGGGCGGTTGTGACTGTGCTCATACTGGCAACGGTTGCTGTACGCCTTTTGCCAACCTAAGGTGACTGCAAGTAGAAATTATTGAAGCAACGAGGAGTTCTGAAGTCTAGTGAAACCAAGATGGCATAGACATTCCTCAATCTACCCTCTGGTACTTATACTCGAGCTTGGGAGTGAATCTACGAGAGTCAGCCCTCTTAATAAAGTGGGACTTAAACGATACCGAGAGCGAGCCCGAAATAAGCAGCCCTAGCAAAGAGCTTACATGGACAGAATGTGGATGTCGGTTGTAATGAACCTTATAGTGAACGTAAGGTTTGGTGGGTTCGTAGTATATGGATTGTCGGCTGAGTAGAGTTACGTGTCGCTGGCAATCCTCTCAACTATCAGGTGGCTTCACCACACTGAGAGGCCAGGCAAGCTCATGCTGGTACTGCGGCGCTAGAAATCCAGCCAAGGCTAGGATTTCCCTCTTGGGAATATCTCCGACCCAGGCAGATGTCCGACAGTGTGCTGCGACTGCAAAGAAATGTGCAAGAATCACCAGTGCACGCGGTCGGTGCTCGTCCAGTAATTCGACAAAGCGCTGCGGAAAAAGTACCGGATAAACAATCAGGCGGCGCGTGGTGGAATGGATATCCTCACCTGCCTTAATGGCACTTTGTATGGCGCCTATATAACTGACAGTCTCGATATAGGCCGCGTCGTCTTCGTTGGACTCTCCGGGTTGCCGCATGAGCAGGGCAGGAAATTGGTTCCGATTTGCCTCGCACATGATCTGGGATCGCTCGACAAACGGGCCGCTGGTTGCGACAATTTTATTGATGTTGGCTTCAGGATAGCCTTTGAGGAGCTTGAGCGTCACACGAAAAACCTGCATGACACCCTTGCATAGGTGTAGCCACTGCACCGGAGCTGCATAATCGCCGATATCACGGTCACGCAGACTCGCAAACGCATCCAGAGATAGGACGACCGACGTGAAGCTTGCCGCGTCTGCAACAGCGGGAGACAAGGTGCCGACGACGCTCTGGGATTTCTGCAATGTCGCTTCGAGATATTGCGCATGGTAACGTTTGACCTCGTCAAGCGGCGCGATATCCTGGCACCCACTGCAGAGCATATGCCGCAAAGCCAGCGTCATGATGGCGTTGAGGAGGGCGTCGTAGTTGGTTGCGAGCCTAGGAACGACAACGGTCCAAATATTGCGAGTTTCGGGGAAATAGGTCCCAGGCAGTGAAGAACATACGTCGAAACAAAAGTAATTCATCAGCTGCAGCTCCAATAGGCGTCGTTCTTTTGTCTCGAATGCCGGCTGTGCCAAAGGTGAGTCGGGGGCGGCGAGTGGCTTTGGCAAGGCCAAAGAATTCGTTGCGACTGTCTGTGCATTTTGGGGCGCTCGATCATATTGACACTCATGGTTATGGGCCTAGCATTTTCTCTATAGTTCATGTGAGCGAGCTGGATTCAGTGGCAGCAAGTATCTGTGGCCTTACGCAGACCGGGCGCGTTTCATCGCACTGGACATTGTTAGCCGTGCAACTGAGAGATGCCACGTACAAAGTTTACCTTGACGCGCCTCTGGCGACATAATTGACAACCTGTTCTAGATTTTTGATGGTATAACCTGGGAGGCATTTCGTTGCCGCTGCGTGACCAGGGCTATCGCTCGCGAGTGGAAGCAGCAGCGCCTGGAAGCGGCGACAAAGGTGGTGTCGCATGCATATAGTGCCCCAGAGATCTAATTGAGGAATTAATCAGTGCCCCGGAAAGTACCAACGGTGGCATCACGGTCAATCTTTGTAGCGAGTTGTTGGCCAAAGTAATCTGTACGGAGTATAGTTCACCGAGTACAGTAGCATTTACGGTGACGGTGACGGTGACGGGCACGTGACCAGTAGACCATTGAGCAGTACTCAGCGTCGGCTCGTTGCGAACAATTCGCGAAACCAAGTTGAATATTTACTCCCAAATCGGCCGACGATGGGAATGTTAGGCGAATTTTTAGCTGAGCCCCAGGACAGCCACCTCTGGTGTCGCATGCCGCGTACACCCCTGCCTGTACAGCCATCTTTGTAAGGCTGTGCTCGTACAAGGCGGCCCGGTGATTGGGCGGCGCTAGGGATGCTGCGAATCGCCCGAGAGAAGTGGCAGGAAATGAGAAATGGGGTCCCATTGATAATATTATTATATTATTGGCTCGTCTCATGCCGGCGTTCGGGTAGCCGGACCCTACCGGAATCCCGGTTGGGCACGAAGGCTGCTATTTTGACAACAAGAATTGATCAAATAACAATAAGCTAAACCTAATTAGTATAGACCCACATAGCCACTCTACTAAGTTTTATAGGGGATAGTACTAGCATTTATTCTTAATAAGTATTAATTACTAATTCTTAATAAGTATTAATTATATCTCTTAAGGCTACTATAATAGCTAGAATTAATAAATTTACTATAATAAAGCTAGTAACTAGAATTAGTAGTTAATAATTAATATTACTAGTAGTAGTAGTAATAGTAACTAGTAGTATTAATTATTAACTTATTAAGGCGTTATTCTAGCCCCTAAATTTAGAATAATAATACTTATTATATTACCTATATTGCCTATATTGCCTATATTGCCTATATTGCCTATATTGCCTATATTGCCTATATTACCTATATTGCCTATATTATTTATATTATCTAAAGTATTTATCTCTATATCGCTAGCTAAGAGGCTGCCTAGTGCCTACCTTACAGCGCTCTTAAGGCTATTAAGGGAGGTGTTAAGCGTGTTAATAGTAGGAAAATACTAGAAGAGGCTATTATAAGATTAAGCTACTAGTATTAATAGTAGTTATTAGGAGTCCTACGCTCTAATTAGCTAAAAATTTAACTAGTGTAATACTAGTTAGCGTTAGTATCCACTACGACCTATAAATATCTAATTAGGTTTAGCTTGTTGTTATTTAATTAATTCAAGCCTTCGTTAGGCACAGACAGGGGATAAGACACAAAGACGTACACATGAAGTGGAAGAAGAGGCGGGAAATAAAAATAGGAAAAATATCAGAACACTATCATGGAGAAAGGGAGTAGGTATTCGAGACGGCTAAACTCTAGTTAGAGTGCTGCGTATGGGAGAGCACGGACTGTCTTGTCTACCAAGTGGCAAGAACATACATCCTCTCATGAGTTACTTCGACGAGGCTGCGGGTTTGCCGACGCAGGGCTTACAAGTGGACATTAGTAGTCCGTCGGCATACTGAGTTCATGGAGCGTGCGTACGCGTCCTGACTTCCCGACCCTCCCGATCGAGCTAACTCATAAAACGCCTTGTACTGACACGCTTGGTGCTCCGCCAGTTTCAGGGTCTACATGCATGGCGCTTTTGAGTTCCCTTTTTCTGACTGCAGCAACAGACAGGCCCATCCGTGCATTCCGACACGAAACCTGTCACCGCCAACACCGACGTGTGCGACTGACTCCCTTGCGTGGATGGACGACGAGACAGGCTCAAGCTGCTACAAGTAAAGGCATGAGACCTCAAACATAAAGGCCAGTCAGCCAAGGATGGATGGTGTCATACCCGTCAAATGTCCCCGGGCAGTGTTTCCTGTTGGTGGCGCCAAACTCACCCCCGGAATCCTCGGCAACTTCTCTATTTAGGGCTGCCAACGTTTGACTGGAACAGTGGGCGACCACTAGTTAGCTGCTTACGGTTCTCGCAGTCTTACTTGTATATTACAGAGACGACCCATATCCCCTGTAACCGCTGCGGCCCTATTTGGCTTGGCTGGGCTGTGGAAGTAATCAGTTTGTCGTGAAAAGCCCGCATTTGGCCGCTATGGGGTGCAATTCGCATCTAATAACAAGCACAGCCCACCCCCCCATGCCTGCGTGGTAAGTCTGATCAAGTATAATATCCGTATTGTCCCCTTTTTGCGGCGTGCAAACCATAACTTCGCTAAGCAACTCGAGGTGGCAGATAGCCCTACCGGAATTGCTGTCGATCTCTCTTCGCTATCCGTATGCGCCAACCACAGTTTCTTGCCGCCGCTGCCGCTTTGGCATGCGTTGGCCCATCCCTTGCTGCTGTCGCGGATGCCAACGCATTAGGTAGGATGATTTCGCCTCAGGATTCTCATCACACCACCTAACAACACCTCTAGCGTTGCGAAATGTAGACTTGACCCCCGACGATGTCGAATTTCTTCGCCGAGCCACTGCGCAAGCTCCCGATGGATATGCGCCTTCTGAAGTTACTTGTCCCAGCACCAGACCCTTTATCCGTGACAGCTCCAAGTCAGTCCTGAGTCCAGAAGAGAAGGCATGGCTCCCAATACGCCGCACAGAAACCATCACACATATCAAGGATTTTCTGAAGCGTGCGTCCATCCCCAATTTTGACAGCGAAAAGTACTTGCAGAATGTCGACTCCAATTCGTCGGCTCTACCTAATATTGGCATTGCCGTCTCGGGTGGTGGCTATCGTGCCATGCTCAACGGCGCCGGTGCTATCAAGGCATTCGACAGCCGCTCAGCTGGCAGCACGGATAAGGGTAACCTCGGTGGTCTGCTGCAAAGTGCCACCTACCTTTCCGGCCTGTCAGGAGGCGGCTGGCTCGTGGGCAGCATTTTCACCAACAACTTCACGACCGTTCAAGATGCTGTCGCCTCGAATGATATCTGGCAGTTCGGTGAATCAATTTTGGAAGGTTAGTGTGCCGGATGAGGCCCATACAGACAGAATTTGTGCTAATGCAACGCTCGCTCGCCTAGGCCCAAAGAATATCGGAATTGTTGAATATTATGCCACTATTATCGATGAGCTGGATAAGAAGCACGACGCCGGTTTCAATCGCTCCATCACCGACATTTGGGGTCGTATGCTGTCGTTTCAGCTGGTCAAGGCAAAGCACGGCGGTCCCCAGTTTACCTTTTCCTCCATCGCCAATGATACCGAATTTGCTGCTGGAAGAACGCCCCTGCCCATTCTCGTCGCTGACAGCAGAGCCCCTGGCGAAAAGAACACCACGATTGAATCTGTCCTGTTCGAGTTCAGTCCCTGGGAGCTCGGTTCAACGGATCCTGGCATGACCGGCTTTGCTCCGCTCAAGTTCACTGGCTCGAAATTCGACAACGGGAAGCTACCGGACGACGCCAAATGCATCAACGGCTTTGACAATGTCGGCTATGTCATGGGCACATCCAGCAGTCTCTTCAACCAAATCATCCTTCGCATGGAAAGCAACCCCGACAAGTACCAACCGAAGAACATTCCGAAGACGGTTGTTGCTTTCATCAGCGACCTTCTGACCACATTGGGCGACCGCAGTGACGATGTGGCTGACTGGACTCCAAATCCGTTCAAGAACTGGAACTCGGGCAAGAACTATGTCGCTAGCTCCGACAGTTTGACTTTGGTTGATGGAGGTGAGGACGGCCAAAATGTCCCCTTTCATCCGCACACTGTCGATGAGCGAAAAGTCGACGTCGTCTTTGCCGTAGACTCGAGTGCGGACACGAGCAACTGGCCCGACGGCGCTGCCCCTTTTGCGACATATCAGCGAACCAAGAGCAATTCATCGGCCGGCACGTCTTTCCCTACCATCCCCGACAATAACACATTCATCAACCTTGGGTTAAATACCCGCCCAACATTCTTTGGCTGTAATGCCAGCAGCTCGAGCGGCCCCGTGCCCCCACTGGTCGTTTACCTGGCCAACTACCCTTACGTCTTCCACTCCAACTTATCTACCTTCACTATGAGCATCGAGAATAACGTGAGAGACGCTGTCATTTCAAACGGCTGGGCTGTTGTTACTCAAATGAACAGCACCCGCGATACCAACTGGCCAACATGTGTCAGCTGCGCCATGCTGTCTCGCAGCTTCGACCGTACCAAGACCGAGGTCCCGGCTGCCTGCAAGGACTGCTTCAGCAAGTACTGCTGGAACGGGACTGTTGACAGCAGACAACCTGCTGCCGCTTATTCGCCCCAGTTGTGGAGCAACACGACTATCGACATCGCTTCCAAGAAGGGAAGTGGTGGTGGTCGAACCATGAGTGGCTCTGCCACACTGGTTTCGGTGGCTGTGGTTATGGGCGCAATGTTGCTCATTTAGTAGCATCCGCTTTCTTTCTTGTATAAAACTGATCCTTTTCTGTTTGCATTCGAACTTAGAATACCCAAAAGAATATACTGTTCAAAGGTCTGCGAACTGGACTAGAGAGACTCCCGTGAGCCCGGAACAAGATTCCCACCGGTCAATAATCCACGTCATGCCCGAACGCGCAGCGCGGAGTGAAGTAGCCCGATGGATCAGAGAAGAAAATAATACCTAGGTAGGTATATAGCAATAATAATAACAGTAGCTGTCGTTGGGACAACTGACAAGGCAACGCAGGGGGGACCTTCCAGGGGACAGGCCAGTGATGACTAAGGCAGATGGGCGTGCCCTTTGAAACACTTAAATTCAGAAGGGACCTGGGGTCACTCTGTCTCCTTTGATTACTCCCAACTGTCCAAATTCGCACCCTTTCATCAATTTTTATCGACAATACAATCGCAAATTCGATCCAGTAGCTTTGGTTCCCATCAAATTGTATCGACGCAATGCCTCGACGATCGAGATATGATGACGACGAGGAGCGTCTGCCCGAAGGCATGACGCGTGTCGGGTATGATGCCGACACGGGCGTCTATACGTTCCAGGACTCTGATGGCTCTTACTGGGAGGGTCCTCCTGGCTCGCAGTATGGGCAGCTGACTCGAGTTGGCCATGAGCTCGCTGGCGAAGATGACGATGCGGAACCATTTCTGCCTGGCACTGGCCCAGCTATACGCAAGGTGTCTTGGAGGCACGAACTCATGCCACTGCTCAATTTCGGAGTTATTATAGGCGTCGCTTTGCTACTTCTATGGTGGTACCTTCATGTAGCCGCCGGTTCTGATGAAGGAAGCGCACTGGAGTGTCCCAGCGGCACCGGGTCATACACCATCCACAAAGGCGACACGTGCTGGGACATTGCGGAGGCTCATGGAGGCAGTGTTGACGATATTTTGCGGCTCAACCCCAAGCTTGACTGTGACAAGCTGTCTGTGGGGTCTCAGATATGCCTCGAGGATTGAGGAGGATTGAGAGATTGGAGAGGAAATCCCGACTTTTTGGTTGGTGGCTACTTCGCAAACCGGCGGCAAGACGCCCTCCATTCACCCCGAAACGCATGCTGATTGAGCTTGGTCAAGCCCATCGACATGACTGGCTTACGACCACCCGTCTCAAGACTGTCGCCGAGGCAGGGGAGCTTTCCTCAAAGACGTCTGTCGAGCTCCATACCTACTACCTAGGTAGTATCTAGGTACGACTCGTCGGTTTTTATCGAGGGCATAAAGGCGGGTCAAGAGCTCCAGCTTTTAGCCCAGCGAAGCTAAAAGCACAGCGGTCTCCAGCGGCTCAGTCCAGACAAGGATGTGGCAGCAAAGCCAGAGCCTGTCCAAGTACCACGCTGCAGACCGTGTGGGCAATGGGTACATCAGGCACACTGAAAATTTACTGATAAGTCCATTGGATGTGGGCCTGACCGCAAGACGCGCCTTTGTTTCTCATAATAAGGTACCGACCGACCAGCAAAGGCGGGGCAAATTTGTTGACCCCTCTAATTTTTTTTTGGCGACCCTGGCTCGTCTTGAAATTTTTTTCTCTTTCCTTCACACATCTTTTGAATTACCAAAAACTCACTTCTCTCGTAAAGGCCTTGCCAGCGGGTGAAGAGTGAAAATGGATAAGGATAAGCTTGTCCAGTTGCTGCAGGCCAGCCAAGTTCGTATGTTTGCTCCTTTCGCTACATGTTTGACGTATGTCTAACCTATGCTCTACAGCCGACACGGAACAGGTCAAGGCCGTCACAGCTGACCTCCAGAAGAACTACTACTCCAAGCCCGAGTCACTTCTGCTCCTCGTCGAGATTACCCTCACCCATGGCGATGCTCCCATCCGACAGCTCGCCTCGGTCCAGGCTGCCCGCATTGCTATCAAGCACTGGGACAGTGTACCCGACGACAAGAAGTCGCTGTGCCGCACCCACCTCCTCGAGGGCTCTCTCAAGGAGTCCTCTGCTGCCAACCGTCACTCGCTTGCTCGCTTGATTGCGGACCTTGTCACCCTGGACATGGAGAACCAGCAGGGCGAGGAATTCCTGCAGCAGATTATTCCCCTCACCAACCATGACAACGTTGTGGCCCGCGAGGTTGGCTCGTACCTCATTTATGCTATGCTCGAGAACGACCCTGTTCACTTCAGCGACCACACACACCAGCTGCTGCAGTTGTTCCACTCTCGTATCGAGGATCCGGACAGCAAGGAGGTCCGCATCAACATCGTCCGCGGTATCGGTGCTATCCTCAACAACATCGTTCCCGAAGAAGACCCCAAGGCTGTGGAGGCTGTCGCCAGCTTCCTACCCAGCATGGTCAACATTCTGAAGGCTACTGTTGAGGCTGAAGATGAAGAGAGCTACAAGGTTGTCTTCGAAGTCTTCCACAGCTTCATTGCTTACGACTCTGCTCTATTCGGCTCCCACCTCCAGGAGCTTCTCCAGTTTATGATGGACCTCGCCGGCAACAAGCAGGCCGAAGATGACGCTCGCTCACAGGCTGTTGCCTTCCTCATTCAAGCCGTCCACTTCCGCCCTCGCAAGCTACAGGCTATGAACGATATTCCGTCCCGAATGATGGTTGGCGCCATGCACATCATTGCCGAACTTGATGACGACGACGACGATGAGGACATGTCCCCAGCCAGATCTGCTATCGGTCTTGTTGATGAGTTGGCCAACTCTCTTCCGCCCCGCCAGGTCATTGTCCCTCTCCTGGAGCAGTTCCCCACCTTTGCAACCAGCCCAGACCCTACTTACAGAATGTCGGCTATGCTCTCTCTGGGCAACGCCGCTGCTGGTGCCCCCGACTTCATCTCAACCCAGCTCGAGCCACTCCTGCCTGCCATCGTCAACCTTCTCGTTGACAATGAGCTCAAGGTCCGCCACGCTGCCCTTGTTGGTCTCATCCACCTCGCTGAGGAGATGGTCGATGAGATGGCTTCTCACCACGAGCAGATTCTCTCCGCGGTGCTCAAGAACCTTGAGGCTGCTTCTCAGGCTGGCAATGACAAGAAGAATGTCGCCATCATTCGTTGCGCTTGTGGTGCCCTCGATACCTTCGGCGATGGTATTGAGAACAAGGTCATGGCCCAATACGGTCCGAACCTCATTGCGCCCATGGTCAAGCTTCTGGGTCACGAGGACTTTGGCGTTCGCGCGGGCGCTGCTTCTGCCCTTGGTGCCATTTCCTCGTCCATGGAGAGTGGCTTCAAGCCTTACTTTGACGAAGTTATGAAGGCACTCGGCAAGTTCGTCATGATCAAGGACAGCGAGGAGGAGATGAACCTTCGCAGTGCCACTTGTGACAGCTTAGGCCGCATTGCTACTGCTGTTGGCGCTGAAGCTTTCCAACCCTACGTCATGGATCTCATGAAGGCTAGCGAGGAGGCCCTTCACCTCGATAACCCCAGACTCAAGGAGACCAGCTTCATTCTCTGGTCCAGCCTTTCCAAGGTCTACCAGGACCAGTTCAGCCACTTCCTGGACGGCGTCTTCAGTGGCCTTTTTGCCTCGCTCGACCTTGAGGAAGAAGAGATTGATCTTCCCGGTATCGATGCGAGCCAGCTCGGCGACGGCTCGCTTGTCGTGGGTGGCAAGAAGATCAAAATCAAGGCCAACTCGAGTGAGGACGATGTTGCCATTGCTACTGGTGGTGCTGAGGAGGATGACTGGGCTGACCTGGAGGACTTTGAGGGTTTTGGGGCGGTTACTGCCGTTGCTCTGGAGCAGGAGATTGCTCTCGATGTGCTCGGTGACGTGATCGCCAACTCCTGCAACAGCAACAATCTCGAGACATACACTGAAAAGACGATCGAGAAGATCACGCCTTTCGCTGAACACACATACGAAGGCTGCCGAAAGTCTGCTATCTCTACGCTCTGGAGAATCTACACTCGTGTCTTCCAAGTTTGGGAGACCGGTGCCGGCATCAAGTGGGAACCTGGCATGCCTCCTAAGCACACACCACCTGCTTCCATTGTCAGCATCGGCCAAGCCCTCCAGCAGGCTACCAACAACCTCTGGTCTGAAGACAGCGAACGGTATGTAAACTCTTGTTATTATCCTTCCACTTTGCATGATGAATACCTTGCGTTACCCAGCTCACTCAGACGCATATTGCGGTTGCTGAGAACACGTCTAATCTACTCCTGATTTGCAATACCATACATGAAACTTTTCCTTTGCATCGCGCTTTTGGACGAATGCTAACGAGGTGAACTTCAGGAGCGTCATTACCGATATCAACCGCAACGTTGCTGCTGCTCTTAAGGCTTGTGGCCCCGCTGTTCTCGCCTCCAACTCAGAGATGCTTCAGGAGATGGTCTCTGTCATTACTCTGATCATTACTCGCTCGCACCCTTGCCAGCAGGATCTCGGTGACGAGGAAGGTGACCAGGATATCGATGCTGGTTCGTCAGAATATGACTGGCTTGTTGTTGATACTGCTCTTGATGTCGTTGTGGGCCTCGCTACTGCCCTCGGTCCCTCCTTCGCTGAGCTCTGGAAGATCTTTGAGAAGCCAATTTTCAAGCTTGCGAGCTCCACTGAGGACCTTCACCGCTCTACTGCCGTCGGCACTATTGCTGAGGTTCTCAAGCACGCTGGTGAGGCCATGACCCCCTTCACCGCATCACTCGGCCAGACTCTTGGCCGTCGTCTCACGGATCCTGATGCGCTCGCCAAGTCTAACGCTGCTTACGCTATTGGTCTTCTCATCTACACATCTGCCGACACATCCAAGACCTTCCCTCTGTACCCTCAGATCTGGGAGAAGCTTGAGCCCCTCATCGCTGTCAGTGAGATGCGTCTTACTGACAACGTTGCTGGTGCTCTCTGCCGCATGATGATGAAGAACCCCGATGCTGGTTTCGTCAGCGAGGCTTTGCCTGCTGTTGTCAACATCCTGCCCCTTGTGGAGGACTATGAGGAGAATGAGCCCATCTATAAGTGCATCTACAACTTGTACGAGCAGGCCAACCCCACTGTCGAGCGGCTTACCCCCCAGCTTCTTGCCATCTTTGAGAAGGTTCTGTCGCCTCCTGAAGAGCAGCTCGAGCCTAGCAGCCGTGAGATTCTGCAGCGCGTCGTTAGTATTCTTTACAAGGCTCAGCCCAACCTCCTTGCCAACCACGCCGGCTTGCTGAAGCTTGCTGGTCTGCAATAAGCGGACTACCAGATGTGGCAAGGGAATTCCGGGAATGGAAACAGGCCGGTAACGCATTGGATGAATTCAAGAATATACATGGCATTATAGGGAACTTGCTTTTGATGATTAGGACCATGAAGCGATGATTGCAATGCACATTTATTTGATGAGCTGGGGGGTTTAAAGGGATACCTAGGAATAAGAGTATAATAGCGTCACAGTGTTTAGCCTAGCAAGGCTCATAAATTGATTTGATTCAACATGATGCATTGTGTACCAGTGTGGTGGAGCTGAGGTGAAGGCATATCTAGGATCAAGGCTCAAGCCTTGCCTGGCCAGTTCGGAGATGCTTCGCTAGAGATGGGTAGAAGCCTGTATGTCGGCAAGGAAATCAACGCAAGTCTTCGCTGCCGACTTTGCATTACCCTGCCTTGGCAGTCCCTACAGAAGCCGAAGTGGCCTAGTTGCTGGTTCGCCTGCAGCTTGCAGTTGGACGCCATGAATGCTGGAGCGTGGCCAATGTTAACAACGAGAGGTGATAACTATGTATTCTAGTAGGTAAGATAAGGAGGTGTATTGTTGCTGGTCTGGCGTGGTGAGTGAGAGGCTAGAGAGTGAGCGCGGTGTCATGCTTGGCATGAGACCTGTCTAGAAAAGGGTAATATTGGTATAATCCGGCATTGTAGTAACTAACAAGCCGGCCGTCCGCTTAGCCCAACCCTAAATGTGACGCATTGTTCGATATCTGGCATGAGGTCGTGTTGACAATACTGGGTTGGGCCACCTTCGTAGTGATATACCGCAACGACGGCAGGTAGATAATGTCGAGGGAAATCGGAACACTCGACTCGCAAATCACAATGATCGGTGCTTATAAAGGTGTCACAGAGGATTGGGCAAGTGTTGTCCCTCGTATATTTGCTGGGAGACGCGAGTGTAGTGCAGGACCAACTGCCGGGGCAAAGCAACCGGATGTCAACAATAGCTGTATCGCGTGTGATAAAGCGCCACGCAAAACAAGGTGTTATTCTGCGTTTTGCCAAGTATCATGTGGGCGACAATCGCTCCAAAAATTACTGTCTTTACTCTGCAGTTGGTTGATGAACAATACTTGAAGGGTATGCTTTCGATGCAGCTCGCCCGGTTCCGGGTATACCAGAGGCCGTTCAAGACTAGCTATTGCAGCCGCCGACCGATGGGACAATTCCTCTGCTGACTGGATACGAATAAAGATGGGCGGTGACAAGTGGCGATCTACGGTCCCAACCTCCGACAGGTGGTTCGGTATGACGGCATTATGAGACTTGGAGGAGGGTGGAAGATGGCAGTGACCCACGCTCCAATTGCAAACATCGCGAATGAGAAACAAAAACACCCGGAATAACTGCTGATCTCTGGTTGCAAAACAAAAGATGGTAGATAAATGCTGCTGAGCAGCAGAGTAACGTCCTTCAAGTCGCACACGTCAGTAGCGAGTAAAACATGGCCATACCTACATCAGCACTAGAAATGGCAATGACTTGATCTAGATACGATACTAGACGCCGATTGTGCGCTTTCGAGGCCCAAGTTTTCGGGTTAGACTACGACTCCAGGGTAGATGGTGGCCTCGGAAACAAGGACGTCAGTCTCTGCGACAAAAAAGGCCGGCAAAGGTCCATTTTGCTCCGAGTGATGCTAATATCAAGGATATGGATTTTTAAGTAATTATGACGCACATGTTCGGATGCAAGTAACTAGGTGGTATCAAATATCAAAGCCGAAACTGGAGAGATATTGTACTATGTGTTGCCTACAATGTAGTCACTCAGCTCTACGCCTCAAAGTAACGGTCGCACGTAGCCATAGCTTGTGCCCTGATTTTCGAGTCTGACTTGCAGCTTCAACACATTTAGCTCTTCATTTTCATTTGCTGGGGAGCCCGCATTTCCCAATGCTGCTATGCACAATAGACTGCCTGAGTTTGAACGTTCTCGTCAACATGCGGCTGTCAAGAAAGAGAGGGAAAAGTAAGTCAACTAAAGCACCTTCCGTCTCATAACATGAGAGGTAGTCTGGAGAGTCTTTCGGGTGCCAAGTGTGCGAGCGATGTCTTCACAAAAACGGCTGGAGTGCACAACACACCCCCTCCCGGAAGAGACTGTTTGGTGGCGTTGCTGGCTAGCACACAAGCAAGGTTTTCCGACGGGTTGTTCTTTAATACGAGATGGTGGCTTTCCATGAGCATTTTGGCCCTTTCAGACACAGCTAGAGGCTCACAGATGGAGTCATGTCAGAGTGACTATGAGGCTAGTTGGCCAGATGACCCGCCAGCATCCCACCGGAAATGACGAGACTGACAGTTTTTACTTTGCCCACTTTGGAGTTATTGCCGCTGGACGAGGCTGCCTCTAAGGAGATAGGAAATAGCTCCGGTGGAGGATATCACGGTTGGCAGGCAGCTGGGGTTACGAATGCTACGCGTCTGCTCGGGTACATTTTGGATGCGTATTTACTAATTCGAGGGCCAGGCATGGTCCTCAGAGTCTAGATGTCGTTCACCGTCAGCTAAATCATGTTGCAGATTAGAATTCCAGATGGAATTTGCAAGGATAATACTGACTGTTCACGCAGTCGCGCAAGTGCTCCTGGCAAGGAACCTCGTGAGCTCATTGCCTCGACGGATCTGCTGCAAGTGCAGCAAACTAACCAGTCTGTGATGGACAACCAAGTGACCCTGGGATCGACTTGGCATGACATCAGACTGAAAATCCCATCTTATTCTCCGTCCTAGCAGTTGGCTAGATTGCAAAGCTTCTCTGCCCGAAATTGATGGGACGTGGGACGATTCAACCAGAAAGCTACTTGGAAGCTTCAAATCGAGAGCAGGCCGTATTTTACACATTGCTTGCCAAAGATGCTGGGCGATCGCCCAGCTTGATGCCTCGGCCGGCCCAATCCCAAAGCAGCAGTTCGTTGGTGGCGCCTGCCTTCCCTTGTCTCGGCGTCCCACACACACTACGTTGTATGGTGCCTCGTGGTCCATCATGACCTCATGGTGGGTGAGGTTGGAGATTTCTTTGCGAGTAGCGCCTGTTGGTCGAAAGGAGTATGAGGTGGTGGGGGGTTTATACGTGATGAGAAGATGTTGTCCCTCACCGGTGACCAAAACAACTGGTCTGGCTCCTACAATTGAGCTAACGCACGAATTGGAGATTCTTTGTGAAGCATATGTATATGTATGGATAGGCACATGGACTCGGGAAAAGCTGGTGCATGGTGGCGCGCCAGCCCGTTGCGGTTTGGAGCAGGTGCTTGCATCGGTACGGGGTAGAAACATCAGAGCATGTGAGCGAGTGGTTTGTTGTAGCCTTGTCCGGATGGTAATTGCCCGAATCCTTTAATAATATAAATTGTTACACCCCGAACTAACAAGTTTTGACGCTAGCCGGGACAATGTCTTCCCTTTTGGTGTGACGTGTGTGTGTAGTGTGTGTCTCGAAGCAAGAGAGAGTTATTTGGGGACACGCTGTAGGAGCAGCACAGCAATCAATTTACTTTTTGTCGTTTAATTGCTAGTTATCATTTGAAGCTAAAACGTCTAAAACAAGTACGGTAGGAGACGGAAATAAAATCTGCGAGGTTTCATGGGCAGAAAGCAAAGACCAGAGAGTGCGCGACGCTTTATGCAGGGGAGCACACCAAAAGTCAGGCAGCCCACTTGGTTACTTGGTTGGAGGAGCAAAGGAGCCAACGTGCCTCGCATCCTGATTCCTACCTTGGTAGCGCCATACGGTGGCCGGGTCGACTCGAAGGAGCCAGGGATGGATACCACATGGCTCTGTGGAAATGCTGGAAGGCAGGTCAGAGGTGGTGAGGTATTTGTGGCTGGTTGCCTCCGCAGTAGGGTAGTGAGTGTGCCAAGGTAAGAATAGTAAGAATAGTCAACTAATTAATATGACGGCTGTCACATTGCGTTTGCCTGCACATCGATAGTGTTACTCGGGGAAGTGCATGAGGGTTGTTGCAGATTTCATCTGTCATTTGGGAGACGACGATGCGAAGGTTGCTCCGGACAAGGGCGATCGATACGCAGTGGTGGTGGGACGACTGCTGTCAAGGAAGATGAATCCGAACTTTGATGCCAAAAAAAGAAAAAGAGGGTTGCTGCTTGTGCGTATCAGTCAGCTAGGGCTTCGGGACGCGCGTGGGAGATGGAATTGAGTTTTTCGGCGTTGACCTGGCGGTCGGTAGCTCGGTAGGTATCAGGTAGGAGAAGTCAATTGCGCACGAGCGGCGAGGGAGGAGTACCCTAGCATTTCATGAAGATTGGTATTAATAATAAATAAATAAAAAGATGGAAAAAAAGATTTTAAAAAAAAAAACACAGTAAAAAGAACGGCGGTTCTTGGCTCGATGCAGGAACAGAACCAACCAAGCTGGACAACCCAACCTCAACATTCCACATTCCATGGGCAAATGTGACACTATTAGCTAGTATTAGGTAGTATCGATGACGGGAGCCCACCCACACACCACTCAAACTCTACGAAAGGACAATCTTCATCTTGCCATGTTTGCTGGCAGCTGGTCGCAGGCTGGCTGGCTGGGGAGGCGTGTAGCTTTGTCGGTGGACTGGGCGCTTTGCCTGTGCCGTCTAACCATGGTGGTGTGGAGGATGGGCAGCGTCGGAAGAATACAGGATTACAGGGGGGGGATTTAGCCAGCCTCCGGGACCTGCAGAGGGAAAGAAGAGACAAGTCGTCACCAAGATGAGAAGATGAGAAATCATATAATTGGTAGAGACGCTGAGCCTTTTGTACCACAAAGCCTTGCACTGAAAATCGTACCACAATACGGAGTAGACAGCACTGGAACATTTCGAAACACCACGCGCGGCCAAATGACTGGGCAATTAAGAATGGAGCATTCCGGTGCCGACGAGTACGCTGATGAGGGAGAGTTGGAACGTGAGGCTATTTTAAGCCCCATCTTGTTTGTCTAGTCAAGGATAGTCAAGGATGTGTCGGTTGGAGCCGGTGTCAGTATCATGATTTCAAGCGACGCCGTTGGATCATCCCAACCTCGTCTCTGGTAATTGTCGTCGAGATTGGCGTAAAAACGGCTGCATAAATTACTGGTCGAAAAAGGAACGGCGAAAAACGGCGCAAGAGCAAAGTTTACTCCCATTTTTTTTTAGCCTCGCAGATGCACCGGGATAGATTACCTGCCTAGGTGAGCAGGTTCCACAGGGAAAGGGGAGACGAATTGGACAAGTTGACGAGCTATCAGTCGCCGGAGCACAATGGGCGCTATACTTTCGGCAGAAAAGAGAAGAGAAGAGCGAGAGGTCGAGAGAGCACCTTGATTTGCATGTCCGTCCCCAATATTACTTGTGGCTCGACCCAACAAGGTTTGGGTGAAGATGCGCGTTTGTGCGTGTGCTGCTCCGCCAACAACCCACGAAGCTGTAGAAAGCGAGGAAAATGGGGGGATGCACATTCTTGAAGCTCTCCCATCCCTATAAATTCATCTGTTTATCTTCAATCAAAGCCATTGGCCAACGTGCCTGCCGACACGATCAAGCTGTTGTTTTTGTCCAGCTTCTTCACAGCACCATTGTTGCCCTGTCCCCGATCTGAGGGCCCAAACGCCAAGGCCCGACCGAGCAAGGACAAGAAACAGGCCCAGTGGCTCCCCGCACGATCCCATCGCCGAGCAGCGAGCAGCCGAGCGTACCTACAGGGGGCAGCCACCTAGCACCGAGCACACAACATGTACCTTTGTACCTTGTAACGTTAAAACTCTAGAGCCCCTGAGCCGGCAAAACCATTCCAGATCTCATTTAAATGGATGGAAAGAAGCATACTTTTTTTTTCTCGATATCCTTTCCTTCATCTGCCGGCGTACCTACCTATAGAACCAGAGATCTGGTCGGCAGAGTACCTTGCGTCCATGTAGTGCATCCCTCCCTCGCACCGCAGCGCCCAATGTGGGCTTCGAAGGCCCCCCCCTGGCGGGAGCGGCGGAAATGGTCCTGGGTCTGACAGTTCCATGTTACATGCCCATGGCCGAGCCCGTCGTTTGCCAGCTGTTGCCAGCTGTTGCCAGCTGCCTTTTCCCCTTCCGTTTGCTCGCTACCAGCCCCCAACATGGTGCACCGCAGCTGGCAGGCCTTGGCGCGCGCCCAACCACCCCTGCACCTGCACTGCTGCAAGCCCGTCGTTGTGGACCCGTGCCAGGGTTCCCCATATTTTCAAGCCAACGCGTGCAATGTAGTTGTGGCCCTCCCGCCTCCTGGGCTTGCTGGTCCCGGAGCCTGGATCCGCTGCCAAAAGCGATGGACGCCACAGCCAGAAGTCGCTATGCCCACCGTTTTTCCCCGTTTCTACCAATCCTTCGGTCTGGCACTAGTTAATAGTACCTAGTTGAACAGTTTTGTTATCGTCTTTTCTCACAACACCAACATTAGTCCGTTTGTCCAGTCCACCACAACCACGGTTCACACCCATTATCGTCTCGCCTCTTCTCTTCTGCACGCTCCCCTCCCAAGCCACGTCCCCCATTGATTTCTTCTTTCGCTGTTTGCCAATTGGCTTCCACAATGCCCTCAATCCTCGCCTCGCCTTGCCTCGCCGTCTCAACCAGACCAAACCCACATGCTGCCGCTACCTTCATCCGACTATCCAGAAACCGGGGCTCTCTTCTAGTCTGCGGGCCTTATTGCTGAGTACCTAGGTAGTTGTTTAGTTCGTCTCCTTCCGTCCAGGCCTGTGATCCTAAGCCTGGGTTCTGGGTTCTGGCAACTTTGGTGGCCTCTTTCACGCCCCCTTCCCACCCTCCTATCCACACCAAAAGAACCACGCCCCCCGTCCAAGGTTTCCCACCAAACAGCCGAACAATGCTCCTAGACAACATGGACCCAGCACCATGAGACTTGAGAATATATGTACCCAACCTGATCCCTTCTCTCCACCCTTCTGATCTTTTCCTTTTCCACCTCACATCCTGTTCCTTGTTTGTGCACTCGCAGCTTCTACCTTCGCTCATCGGACGATATTCTTCTTGTTTCCACCCATCGTTTTGGCAAACAAGATTTCGACTTTCGCCATCCCGTCGCTGATTCGCATTACTTCCTTCGCTTTCACAACTTAATCTAATACAACCGGTACGTCGTCCGTTGTCCGTTGCCCAGCGCCCAGTCCTCAATTTGCCTTTTACCGTGCTGGACCGATCGAATCACATGCACATGCTCGTCTATTTGCGAGCCGCCTTTTGGAATGCCCTTGTCCAACCTCGCACACAGTTTCACACAATGCCGCCTCGGCACCGAAAGTGGTCTCTGAACACCTCGCTAATTTCTCCTATAGACATCATGAAGTGGACTGCTGCCGCTCTTGGCCTCGCTGCCACCGTCGCCGCTGTTCCCCAGGGCGCTGCCTCCGGCCTTAAGCCCGATGGCTCTGCCCCCGAAGGCTGCACCGGTACCTACAACGGCAAGTTTGAGGTCAGCATCTTCAAGCTTGGCGCCAGCAAGCGCTCCATCGAGGTATGTAAATATGCGCGCTGCCCTGTACAATGAGCTAGATGAGATACAAATGCTAACGACCGCACAGAAGCGTGACTGCTCTGGCGACCAGTCCCTCGTCCTTGACCTCAAGGACGGTGTCCTGACTGACAGCAAGGGACGCATTGGTTCCATCGTCGCCAACTACCAGTTCCAGTTTGACGGCCCTCCCGCCCAGGCTGGTGCCCTCTACACTGCTGGTTTCTCCACCTGCCAGAACGGCTCCCTGGCCATCGGTTCCTCTACCGTCTTCTACCAGTGCCGCTCTGGTGACTTCTACAACCTCTACGACCGCCACTGGGCCGAGCAGTGTGAGGCCGTCGAGATTGTCGCCATGCCCTGCAGCGCCCAGAAGAGCAACGGTGGCAGCCCCATGCAGTCCCCCATCGCCACTAGCATGGCCGTCACCACCATTGTCGCTGCTCTCTCCGACGGCCAGCCCCAGGTCAAGACGACCACCATCCCTGTCCCCATGTGCCAGATTGGCGATGGTCAGGTCCAGGCTCACAGCACCCCTTGTGATCAGGCCCCCGGTGCCCCCGTCTCTCAGATCTCCGACGGCCAGATCCAGGCTCCCACCAACCTGCCTCCTGTTTCTCAGATCTCGGATGGCCAGATTCAGGTTCCCACCGGCGCCCCCCGTCTCTCAGATCTCCGACGGCCAGGTTCAGGCCCCCTCTGCCACTGGTGCTCCCGTCACCCAGATCTCGGATGGCCAGGTTCAGGCCCCCTCTGCCACTGGTGGCGCCAAGGTTACCCAGATCTCTGACGGCCAGGTCCAGGCTCCCACCACCACCGCCGCAACTATCCCCGTCGCTGCTGCTGGCAAGGCCATCCCCGGCCTCGCCGCTGCTGGTCTCGCCGCTGCTCTCTTCTTGTAAGCGCCTTGAAATTATAGGCCGCTAGCGGATGGAGGAGCTAAGGCGCTGTCATTTGGCTGGGGCGAACTCGGCCTTTGATATCCTTGCCTCTTGAAATGTTGGCTATCTGCACCCACGAATTTTACGTTTTGAATTGACCACGCGTTTCGGAACGAAACGGTTCAGTGGCTCTAGTATTTGGATGGAACTGCTGTTTGTCGCCACGGTTTTTGGTGACCCTAATGTGGTTGTGGAATTGTTCTTTTCTGTCGCATTTATGGCGGAGGCCCTCGCATGGTGCGTGGGCATTAATATATAGCACACACATGGTCATAGGTACAAATGGGATAGAGGATTGACTGTCCTCAAATTTTGTAAACGATTTCGTCTTGAAAATGCGTATTTGTTAGCGTAATAAGGCTGTGGCTACCGTGCTGGTTCTGCTGACATAATCGTAAAATGGGCAGCCAGAGGACAAGCTTGTGACAACTTTTTGGGCACGTCTTGTTGACACACCCACCACGCCAAAGTTCGGCGTCACGACTCAATCATGTCGGAATACTGGAAATCCACTCCGCGGTACTGGTGCAAGTACTGCGCCGTCTACGTGCGCGACACCAAACTTGAGCGCGCAAACCACGACTCGACCGCGAGGCATCAAGGCGCGCTCAAGCGTTCCCTGCGCGACCTGCACCGCAGCCATGACCGAAACGAACGAGACAAGGAGCGCGCCAAGCGCGAGATTGACCGGCTTAATGGCGTGGTCGCCGGTGAAAGCTCTTCTGCGGGCGCCGCCCCCGGGCCCTCCAGATCAACGCCATTCTCCTCTCACAAGCCAGCGTCGGCGCCGCCGCCCATGACGTCCGAGGCGTCGCTGAAGAAGCAGCGCGAGCAGCTCGCCGAGCTGGGGGTTGCGATACCAGGAAGCTTCCGCCCCGAGATGGCCATGCCGGGCGAGTGGACGGTCACGAGCACGCGCGTGATTGAGACGCGGCGGACAAACGGCGAGCAGGAGGGCAAGGTCGAGGCGCGGGCATCGGGCGTGCGCAAGCGAGAGGAGAATGAGGAGGAAAAAGAGGAGGAGGCGGCGGTGCGCGGGCTGTTCAAGAAGTCAAGGCGCTGGGGGCGTGATGCGAAAGCGATGCCAGACGACCAGGAGGCGGAGCTGGACGCGCTGCTGAACGGGTCGCTGGTCAAGAAGCAGCCTGCGGCTGAGGATGGTATCAAGAAAGAAGAGCAGACAGTCAAGGAAGAGAGACAAGAGGCCGAGGATGGCGTGGGTGCGAAGCTGGAGCCTGCTGTCAAGGAGGAGCCTGAGACGGCAACGGGCGGCATCGCAGAAACGCCAGCCAAGTCTGAGGATGCAGACTCGGCCGTGGGGGCTGTGGTGTTCAAAAAAAGGAAACCAAAGGGATTACGAACAAAATAGGCATTTCTTCGTTCATTTTCTAACATGTATACATGTTTGCATACAGCATTGGTAGGAGAGTATAGGTTTACATGATACCCCAACAGAGACCCGCAGACACAGACTGCACAATTTGCTTTTCAAACCGCTGCCGCCTTGTTTCATTTGCTGATGAACGAGAAGAGACTATCAAATTTTGAGACGCAAATGCTTGTCTCAATATTCCCACTGCTCCTGGAGCCGAAGTCGGCGCTCACACGTTCCGTGCCCCGTTGGGATCTCAACTCCGCTCAACTCCGGGAGCGCGACTTCTTGCTCCGGTATTAGTCTCCGCCGGAAGCATCGGCCACGGAACGGGCTTAACACCGGCCCGTGGTCCATGAGAAAAGAGGACTAAATGGAATTAAGCCAACGGTTGTAGCTGCGCAGTGCACAATGTAACAAAGTCAAGTGAAATAAGAAACAGCTTCACAAATACGTGCTGAATGAAGAGGCCAATGGGATACTGACACATTGCTCATTGCCAGGGCTGACTGCGCCTGGTATATATTTTTTTTGCCAGAGTCGGCGCCGAACCTGGCGAAGATGCCAAGTCTGCCCCGCGACGGACCAACTAGAGTTGACCTATTGGATTGCCGACAATATGAAGTCCCATTTTAGGAGGATACTAATTTGAAATAGCCCCAATTTGAACGGCTCTAGGCGCCGAAGATGAGCTTTCTACCGTTCAGTAGGTAACTCGCTATCCTATTACACGTCGTCATCTCAGTTCAGGAGGGGTAGCGTTGGCGTCACCCATCACCAAGCTTCCGTGCATTCTTCGCGACCAGCTCATTGGGTTTCCACTGCCTCGGGCCGCAGAGGGTAGAAATGGCTTTTGGGGGGTATCAAAGCGGACAAAAAAAAGGGTGGCTGAGACAAGTAGAAGGACATTTATTAGTAAAGCTAGAGCAAGATAAAAGGCATCCAAGCCCACGTCACTGCCCTAACAGGATACCTTCTTAGCTACCTAGGTAGCTATTGACTCAACTTGGACTACAGACTGACCACTTGCAACCTGCAACAACACAACCAACGCACATTCACCATGGCTTCTAACCCACCGGCCCGCTGCTGTACCATGGGATCGCTCCACGAGTGAGTTTACTACTGCCCTTGCCCCTCGTCTACACCGAGCTTCGCAAGAAACCCATCGGGAGACAAGCCAGAAGAGCTACCCCGCCACGACAAGAAGTTGCCAACCATGGCAGCCTACGCAGGACACGCCAGCACCACCGGCAAAAAGACAGGGCGAAAGCTCGAAATGAGATATAATGACTAACATGAAGGTAGGGGCGACCCCAAGGGCAAAATCATCAAAATTGACAACACCATCGAGGCCTACGTCGCCACGCCGGTCGACAAGACGGCGCGCGCCGACGTTGGCATCCTGTACCTGCCCGACGTTATCGGCATATGGCAGAACAGCAAGCTCATGGCAGATGCCTTTGCCGAGCGCGGCTACCTGACAGTCGTGGTCGACCTCTTCAACGGCGATCCCGTGCTGCTGAACCGCCCCGAGGGCTTTGAGCTCGCAAAGTGGCTCGCGCACGGCAGCACGGGCGACAATCCGCACACCAAGGAGGCCGTCGACCCCATCGTCATCAAGGCCATCGAGGCTATGCGTGGTATGGGCGTCAAGCATATTGGCGCGGTGGGCTACTGTTTCGGTGCCAAGGTACGCCCCCCGTACTCCTGATTCCTCCCGTTTGGAAAGTAGACGAGCGAGACAGAAAGGAAGAGAGGCTAACAAATTCGACCCAACAGTACGTCGTTCGCCACTACAAGGACGGTATCGAGGTTGGCTACGCCGCGCACCCCTCGTTTGTCGACGAGGACGAGCTCGCCGCCATCACAGGCCCGTTTGCCATTTCGGCCGCTGAGACCGACTCCATCTTCCCGGCCGAGAAGCGCCACAAGTCGGAGGAGATTCTAGCCAAGACCAAGCAGCCCTATCAGATTAACCTCTTTTCCAACACAGTGCACGGCTTCGCGGTCCGCGGCGACGTGGGTGACAAGCAGCAAAAGTTTGCCAAGGAGCAGGCCTTTCTGCAGGCCGTCACCTGGTTCGACAACTACTTGGGCTGACTGCATGGCGGTCATGGCACCAAACTGTGAAGCGATGGCGCCTCACAAAGCGTAAAAACGGAAAGCAAACACCTTGCTCCAGATACCAATGAAACTAAAAGAATTACTCTTCGTATTGGATTGCATCTTTGCGTAAAGTACATGTGTCTAGCTTCTTCTGACCCACACCTGTTTGGCTGTCTCACTGGGGCGTTTGCGCCAACTGGGAAGCTAAAACAACCAGTTGGCATCATCAGCCACCACCCTGTCAAGTGCGATCCTTTCCCCTTGATATAAATTCCCATCCTACACCCATCCGATCCTGCGATTCTGCGAGCGCACCCGCCAGAAAACATGCTGCCCGAAATCTAACAATGGCCTTCACCGCTGATCCAATCAGCCCGCGGCTGTCGTCGCCGCACCTGTCTCCTTCGCCTGACGGCACCCCGACGACGCTCGTCCTCCCCGATCCCGCGACGCGGACGGGCGAACCGCCACAGCTCATAGCACCAACACCCAGCCTCGACGGGCGCTCACGGACAGCCAGCAGTCCCGTACGGACATGGACAGAGCAGCAGAAACAGCAGCAACTCCTCCTGGGCGGCGGCAGCTTGAAGAACGGCGCCGTCCCAGACCGCGGCCGAAGCGACACACCTCGTCCGGCCACGGAATACGCATTCCCCCAACAGCAGCCCACACCACCGCCGTACGACGACGAAGAGCCGCCCCCTCTTCCGCCGCCCGTCCAGACCAAGTCGCGACGCGGGAGCTCCAATGCCAAAACCGGCTCTGCGGATAACGTCCCTCGGCTGCCCGCCGCGGAGATGCAGGAGCTCATGGCCTCACCACTGTCGCTGCCAATTGGGCCCGCGCCGCCCGGCCCCATGCGACTGTCCTTTGACCATGGCAAGTTCTCGCAGCAAAAGGAGGAGATCCGGCAGTCGCTACTCGCGCAGCCGGAGCTGCGCACTTCCCTGCGAGATGGGGCCACTGGCGGCCATCACCACCACGACCACCACAACCACTACCACCTGGCCAATGGGCTGGGAATCTACGAGGGGCGCGGCGCAGAGGCTCGCAACGCGCGCACCGAGGCGCCGCGACCAGCGTGCCCGCGTACCGTGTCGACGCCCCCAACCGGACGCGGAAAACTCTTTGAGCTCCCGCCGTACTCAACCGTCATGCCTCGATCCGCGGTACCGCCGCCGCCGCAGCGTCTGCCGTCGCTCAGCTTGCACGTAGACGACGCGGGCTCCGAGAAGCGTACACACAGCATGCTACCCTCGCCGGCCATACCAGCCGGGTCGACGCCCGTCACCACGGAGACCAAGGCATCGGGTGGTAGCCGCGCGCCGTCGCCGATGCCTCCCTTAATTCCGCTGCCGCCTATGTCCCTGCCGACGCACTTGCAGCTCGAGCTCGCCGGGCAGCGGCCGAGCCCTCTCTACATCCACCACTCCCATACTAGCGACATCCCGTACGAATCGAGCGCGGTCAAGTTTGAGCGGCTGCTCAACGTGATTCTCCTCCCCGCCTACCTCGAGCGAACGCTCTACTTTGGTGCGCTCGCTTGCCTAGACGCCTGGTTGCACACGTTCACCATTCTGCCGATTCGGTTCTTCATGGCGATTGGGGTGCTGGTGCGCTGGTGGTTGTACGTCGTCGGCAAGGAGACGAGGTTTCTGCTGGGCTTTGTCTGGGACGGCATCGGCCGGCTGTGGCGCCGAGGCCGAACGACTAGGGGACGCACGGTCAGCGGGTCGACAGCCGGGGACCGGTCGCGCAGTATCAGCCGCGCAAGCGAACCGGCGAGTGCGATAGGCGTAGATGGACTGGCAGACACACTCAGAACCGCCACGCAGCGGCGTACCTCTGCGCAGCACCGCGAGAAAGGTCCCGGTCCCAAGTCTGGCTCCTTTCGCCATCGCCGCACCAAGTCCATGCCATCCAACCTCTCCACCTACCACAAGGCCGATTTGTTGCAGGGTGCCGTCATCCTGTGCAGCTCCTTTGCGCTGATGCGGCTCGACGCCAGCCGCATGTACCATTTTATCCGGGCCCAGTCGGCCATTAAGCTCTACGTCATCTTCAACATCCTCGAGGTTGCCGACCGCCTGCTCTCGGCCATAGGCCAAGACATTCTCGAGTGCCTCTTTAGCGCCGAGACGCTGTCGCGCAACGCGTCTGGCCGCTCCAAGATTCTGCTGCCGCTCGGCATGTTCCTGCTCGCGCTGGCGTACAACTGCCTGCACTCCATTGCGCTCTACTACCAGGTCATCACGCTCAACGTGGCCGTCAACTCGTACTCGAACGCGCTGCTAACGCTGCTACTCTCCAACCAGTTTGTCGAGATCAAAAGCACCGTCTTCAAGCGCTTCGAAAAGGACAACCTGTTCCAGCTGACGTGCGCTGACGTTGTCGAGCGCTTTCAACTCTGGATTATGCTCCTCATCATTGCCATGCGCAACATTGTCGAGGTCGGCGGCTTCTCCGTCCCCGGCGCGGGCGTCGGCGAGATGGACATTGACGGCAACGGAAGCGGCGTGCCGCTGCACCACCCGTCCAGCCTGCCGCACAGCTTCACGGCGCTGCCATCCTGGCTGTGGTCTGGCGAGGTTCTTTCTCCGTTCCTGATTGTGGTCGGTAGTGAGATGCTGGTGGATACCATCAAGCACGCCTACGTCACCAAGTTCAACAACATTAAGCCTCACTTTTACTCGCGCACGCTGGATATCCTGTGCAAGGATTACTACACTCATGTAAGTCTCGGCTCTCCAACCCTCCAAAATTGGCCCCTTCTCTAACGTACCCGACTAGGCCTTTGCCAGCCCTTCCCTCACTCGTCGTCTTGGCCTCGCCGTTATCCCGTTGTCATGCCTCTTCATCCGTGCTTCGGTTCAAACGTACCACATGTTCCTCGCTTCCTACCTCCCTATGCCGCTCCCGCAGTCGACGCAGACGTCTCTGGCCGAGGAGTCGGCGCGGCCCTCGTCGCCGGCCATGATGGCGGCGCTGAACCGCTTCGATGCGCTGATCCGGGACTCGCTCGGGCGCGCAACCTACGGCCCCCCGACGGGGTCGGCGTTTCACCACACAGTGCGGCCCTGGTACGCGTGGACATCGGACGACCTCATCGCCGCGCTGACCATGGTCGTCGTCTTCTTCATCGCCTTTCTCGTGCTGCTCATCCTCAAGCTACTCCTCGGCATGGCGCTACTCAAGTACGCCCGCGGGCGCTACGCCGCCATGAAGCGCAAGGAGCAGCTCGTCGCCCGCGGCGTCATCGAGCGCGAATCGTACGACGCCAAGGGCCGTCGCGCGGGCGGCCACGGCGATATCGAGCTCTCGGATGACCGCCAGCGCTGGATCCACGCCGACAAGACCGAGGGTCTCAAGGGTGGCAAGGGCCCGAGCGGCCGGCGTCCGGGCGAGGACAAGAAGGCGCCGGAGCTGGATTACAACGGCGTGTTTCGCTACGATATGGTGAATAAGCGCATTTGGTAAAGGGCGGTCCCCTTGGGCAGCCGCAACGAGTATCATGGACTGCATGAGTGAGAGGTGTATATCATTCTTCATCTACATATTGTTCTTGTCAAGACTTTGTCAAGGTTGAGAGGTGTACAATTGCTGCTCTCGACTTATTGTACTGTAGCTTTGCATGGGTCTGGCGTAAAATAGCCCGTTTTGCTCAATTACCTCCTATGTCACTTTAATCACCAATGAAATGAAAATGAAATGAAATGCAGGTTGGCATTGTGATGGCCTCTGTGGATGAGTAGAGCAGGATCATCATACGGTCACCCTGTCTGGGTTGTTGGTGAACATGTTATATTGACTGGAGAGGACGGCCGCATAGTGCCGCCGGCATAGTATTCCATGACAAAGTCAATGCATGATTGAACATGCACTTCCTGCACCCCAACTTCAAACACGGATGGTTCTTGTGGCGTGGCTTCGGCAAACCTCTCTGCAAATCTGGTACAGCTTTCAAATACTACTTGGCGCTCACCTGCTATAATTAGAACCGTGCGAACAACAGGTCGTCTTCTGTTGGTTTCCGTAAATGCTTGTAGAAAAACGGCATGTCCGTCTGGCGCATGAAAAGGCTCCGACCAAAGCTTCTGCGACAAGACATGATACGCCTCATCGGCGCCCCCCCGTACGCACCCGCCGGCGCCAAGTCCGGCCAAGGTGAGATAAAAAATGACGGATTCAAGCTGCTGGTCTTGCTGATTGGCGGCCGCGACTCGAGCGCATGGCTGTTCAGCGTTCGCGACCAGGCCGGACGCATTGTCACCTGGCAGGACCAAATACCAAGGCAGCAGTTCCTGGCTGAATAGATGAGCTGCGAGCTGGTCGGGGGACTGCAAGCTTGCCCAGGGTATATTCCGACAAGACTAACTAGTTCTTTTTCCTGGCATAAATTGGCCATGTGCAACGCTCTGAATGTGGCAGTCTTCAATCGGTGCAGCCCGTGGATAAACAACACTGTTAGACGGTAATTAATGAGCAGCGCCCGCGCCCACACGCTAAACAAAGTGTAAACAGAACGGCGGAAACGTGTTGGGCGCAATACTCTGGGAGGGGAGCAAGGGAGGAATCAAAAGGGCCGTTTGGATAGAGGTGGTGGCTTGCGGTCGGCGCGCCTTTGGCTGCCGATCGTGCTAATGCGGGTCTGTCTGGCCAGCCACGCAACGCATCACCGGATCATGGTGCAAACAACATGTCTTCTTCATCAATCCCTTGAGGGGTCAACTTAAAGAGCTATGTATCCTTTCAATACAATACTCGTCGATTAAATGCACAAATCCTTCTTTCCATCATCAACAGGAAGGGTCTACCGTCAAGCTCAACCAACGCACACCGAGCCAGTCGCTCTTCCAGCCAGACTTGCCCACGTAGGACTCACCTTGACCGATGTGCATCCTCCTGCAGCTCCTTGCGCTAACTAGTGTGCATCTGGCAGGTGGTACCAGCTCACAGTCTGCAGCGAGTCCCATGGTCATGTTCTCGGAGTCAAGATATATAAACAGCCGATGGTGGTGATTTTGCGTGGCCGACATGTCATCCCTCGCTACCACCTCCTTGGCGTTACTGCACGGGCAATTGGCACAAGTCCCCATCGTCGCTGAAATGAAGGCCTCGGGCGTCATCGCAGCAGCTTTGCTGTCCGGTGTTGGAAGCGCTACATCCAGTCCGGATTTCACCACCAACCCGGCCGGAAATCCATTTGTCCAAGGCTGGTACGCGGACCCGGACAACGAATTCTACAACGGAGAGTACTGGGTATACCCTACCTACTCGCACGAGTATGACGCCCAGACATTTCTGGACGCCTTTTCCTCGCCTGATCTCATCAACTGGACCAAGCATCCCGACATCTTAAACACGACCAATTTCCCGTGGGCAAAGCGCGCTGTCTGGGCGCCGGCGACCATTGCGCGCAACGGGAAATACTACCTCTACTTTGGTGCCAATGACATTCAGACGAATGACGAGTACGGCGGCATCGGTGTGGGCGTGGCAGACCGCCCCGAGGGCCCGTACCTGGACCCTATTGGCAAGCCTCTCATCGGCCAGTTCTACAATGGTGCCCAGCCGATTGACCAAGACGTTTTTATCGACGACGACGGCCAGGCGTACATTTACTACGGCGGTCACGGCCATGCCAACGTCGCCCGCATCAACGAGGACATGGTTAGCGTCGGTACCTTTCCTGACGGCGACCAGTTCAAGGAGATTACGCCAGAAAACTACGTCGAGGGCCCCCAGATGTTCAAGCGCAAGGGCAAGTATTATCTCTTCTGGAGCGAGGGCGGCTGGACCGGTCCTGACTATGCCGTGTCCTACGGCATCGCTGACAACCCGACCGGCCCATTTAAGCGCTTGGACAAGATTCTCCAGCAAGACTCGTCGGTGGCCACAGGATCAGGCCACAATGCTGTCATTACCGTGCCTGGCACCGACATTCACTACATCGTCTACCACCGGCACCCGCTCGGCAGCACCGATGGCAACGACCGCCACCTCGCCTACGACCGCCTCTACTTCCGCGACGACGGCACCATTAAGCCTGTCGTCATGGGCGTCCAGCACAACTTCAAGGACGGCAAAATGATTGGCTGGAGGACCTACGGCGGCGCCTGGGACACGAGCTCCCGCAAGCTCAAGACGACCGTCTCGGACGGGGCCAAGGCGGCCATCAACACCAACTTTGCCGACCAGTACTTTGCCGTAGACGTGGCTATTCCCAGCCAGAACGATGGCGATGCGGGCCTCATCTTCCGTGCCGCAAACCTGCAGGAGGGCGCGCATGCGTATCGCGGGTACTATCTGGGCATTGGCACGAGCGGCAAGATTGTCATTGGCCGTGCCGACAATGGATGGACCCCGATTAAGACGGTCAGCGTGCCCATTCATACCAATAGGGTCTATAATGTTGCTGTTCGCGCCATTGGCAGTAAGTTTGACTGCAAGGTGATGCACGGCCACGACGTCATTGCCAGTTTTACCGTGTCGGATGACAAGTTTCAGCACGGCACCAATGGCGTGCGCGCGTTCCAGACCAAGGCGACCTTTGACAACCTCGAGGTCCGACATGTTTGATGAGTCAGTTATGTGTATTTGTATTTCAATATTTTACAAAATACCCTTATTGTGCTCCATGTCAAGATTCCCCTCATTCCCCACTCAGTGATGGTGGCTGACGACTGGCAAACTTCTTTATTGCTACTTGCACATAGACACATCAAAACTCCCAAATCATTTACTGTCTCAAGGCCTAATTTGTGGCGGGTAAAGACACTTCTTCGGCTAGGGGCCACCATTGCGACCACGCACCTTGCTCATCTAGATTGCTGCTCACTTCTGCTAACAGCTGTGTCAGAAGCGTATTCGTATCGACCTCTGGTACGATTCCGTGGATCGATTGCCTCTGAGCCTCTGAATGTCTGGATATATCTGCTTCATCAATCTCTTGGGTATGCTGATCCGATCGGTCGATGCCGCGGAACTCGTGAATCGACTGATGCAGCACGTCAAAGTCGGTTCTCGTTCTGCCTTGGTATCGCGACCGATTCTCCACGGCGCGGGAGTACAAGAGCGAGGCGTGCTGAATAGTTTTGATCTGTGGGCGTCAAGTCAGAAATGCAAACCGGTGGCAGCCAGGACAAGAAAAGAAACGCACCCATCCGTCGGCAATGGTCCAGATTTTTCGAAACTCGTAGAGGTAGTCGAGGCACATGTCCATGCACGCCTTTGCTTGCGGGCTCCGGCCTAGATTCATCCGCGGAAAATGGTAGACGTATAGGTTCAGGTAGCCGGCCGAAAAGGCACAGAAGCCGGCAAACGGCGTCATTAGATGCACGCCGCACTCGGAGGATTCGTGGAGAATCTTTGCCAGGTTCTCCGCCGCGCCGAACAAGATCCGAGCACTTTCATCCCACCACCCGTCCGGGGCGGTCGCCTCGAGCATGGGATGATCAACAGGGCCTTGTGGCGTGGACTCGAGCGTCGGTAGGAAAGGGAAATACTCTCGATGGAGCATCAAGGTGCTACCCCAACGGCTCATTAACAACATGAATCTCTTCTGGGTAGGTGTGAGCATCCTTACCTGACATAATATAATAGATTCAGATACGCAAACGTCTCACCATATCCAAGGGTCATGTGCACAGCGACCGAGTTGTTCGGATAATAGAGCTTGCGATGCTGATTTGCCCTCCAGTTCTCCAGCTGGTCGCGCGTGACAAACCACGGCGACCCAGGCACCCATGGGCAATTTAGAGGGGCACACATGCCCGGCGCTCGCCGGCCATCCTGAAAGATGAATGCCATCAGCTGTGTCCAGATGTCGAACCCAGCGACCAGAATCTCAAAGCCCTGCGTGATGTCGAGAATCCCCGTGGTATGGTTGGCGTAGGACTCGTCGCTGCGCGGCCCTCGGCAGGACGGATCTGGGCCAAAGGCAAATTCGACAACACCAACAGGTCGGGGAATCTTGAGCTTGATCATCTCCGACATTGGTATCATCGGTGGATTGTAAGTGCCCGAGTTGACCATGCAGTCCATGATGAAGCACGCCCAGTAGGTGCGTGTCTCAATGGCCACGGAGGTGGCGTCGGTTTTCCTTTCAGAGGTCAAATCCAAAGGATATGGCGCGACCCTAAGGCTGTGCAGCGCTTGCATTATTCGGACAGCGACGCCTGGAGAGTGTATTAGTACTTGCAGGACTCAACAACACAGCGTCGCCTCTTACCACAATAGACCCACGCTTTGTGGAAATCTCTCGTGCCCCATTCATGAAGAGTAACAATGAGCAGGGCTTGCACCACCTGTATGTTGGGCGGCTGCAAGATGAGATCCTTCAAGAGATCCTTGGCGTACAGGGCATAGTGCTCGCGTTGCAGGAGGTCTTCTCCCCAGGACGCATGCAGGACGCTAGGTTGAGAGCGCGTCACTGCCAAGACTGCGCTCAAGAGGCAGGTTGCTTCTTTGGAGCCGCGCGAGCGGAGCTCTGCAATGAAGCTGGGCAGGTGCAGAATAGCCAGCTCGGGAAACTTGTTCGTAAAGATGTTGAGACACTTCATCACCGTGCCCGCCGGCAAGCGGGAGATGTGACTCTGCACAGACTCTTTATCGTAGGGGCCCGTTGAGTCATGGACAGATGAGCTCCTTCGTCTCTGAAGACTACCAGAAAAGCCTCTATTACTTGTGCTCTGCAAAACGGGCGCCTCGCGCTGCTGCGGGGTGTTGGTCCAGGTTACTTCGCTCTGGACATCAGAAGGTGTGCTCTGCTGCGTTCTCTTGCGCTTCAATTTTCCGACCGGCGTCCTCGGGAGCATGAGTGCACAGCCGTCCAAGTTTGACCGGCGGCATCGTTGGCATGGCGGCGTTCCTGTGTGAAGGCACTTGACCTTGGACGCCCTGGGCTCACTCAGCGCCTGCGATTGGGGACAAAGGATGCGGCACTCACCGGCAATTGTCGCAGGATAAGCTGGTACGCATGGCAAAACGACGGCCAATCGGCTTATAGCGACAACATAGTATGAGATACGTCGGAAATGATAATGTGAGTTGCACTCGGGAATGGATGTCGCTTCTCGGGAAAGGGTTTTGTAGTCTTTTCCGAAGCCGGCCATGGGTGGGTCGTCGGCGTTGGTCGCGACGAGCCGAGCTCGGGTGATGAAAGAAGTCGCCAGAGGACCTTGACTAATAGTTATAGTTGAAAAAAAAGACGCGAGTGAATAAAATAATAAATATAGAGAGAATTAATAACAAAAATATCATAAAGAAGGTGGTAATGATAACCTTGAGAAAGAGTAACGTTAATGTTATTTTAGTCTATTATCTACGGTACTAAAAGATCAAATACCAACCCGCCCTCCTCCAAGCCTCACATGTACACCTGTTCCTGAACCGTTATCGCAGCCTTCACCACGCCTATAATGGTATCCAACTCGTCCTCCGTCACGGTAAACGGCGGTGCTAGCAAGATATGATCACCTCTCTTGCCATCCACGGTTGTCCAGCCAGGATAAACGGCCACGCCAGCCTCGAACGCCGTCTGCTGAACCTTGATGCCGAATTTGATGCGAGGATCAAATGTTTCCTTGCTCGTTTTATCCTTGACAAACTCCACCGCCCAGAAAAGGCCGCGGCCCCGAATGTCGCCGACCGAAGGGCACGCGCCGAGCTCCGCGCGCAGCTTCGCCTCGAGGAGCTTGCCCATGGCGGCGCATCGCGCCACGAGGCCATCTCGGCGCACAATCTGCTGCACCGCCAGTGCGGTCGCGCATGCGATTGGGTGTGCCTGGTAGGTGTGCCCGTGGTTGAACGAGCTCGTTCCGCGCCGGAGAACGTCCACGACTCTCTTGTGAGCAAGAACGGCGGCAATCGAGCAGTAGCCGCCACCGAGGCCCTTGGCCACCGTCACAAGATCGGGTACGACGTCGTCTTGCTCAAAGGCGAAATACGTTCCGCAGCGGCCCGTGCCGCACATAATCTCATCCAGGATCAGAAGAATGCCGTACCGATCGCACACGGCCCGAACGCCGCGAAGGTACCCCGGTGGCGGCGGTACACATCCTGCAGTGGCACCGCCAACGGATTCGGCAACAAAGGCAATGACTCTGGAGGGTCCGACTTTCAGGAACTCGTTTTCAAGCTCTTCCAGAAGACGGGCAGTAAAGTCGGCCATGGTTTCCTCGTCTCGCTTATACCGATAAGCGTAGGCGGGCGAAACATGCGACACGTGTTGATATCCGAAATCTTGGTATGGTACCTTGCGGGCCAGGTTCGAAGAAACAGAGAGCGACCCCATGGTATTCCCATGGTAGCTCTGCTTGCGAGAGACAAAGTGTACGCGATCCGTCTCGCCCTTTTCGAAAAAGTACTGCCGCGCCAACTTGAGCGCCGACTCAACGGCTTCGCTGCCGCTGGAGACGAAGAAGGCCTTTTCCAGCCCGTGCGGGCTTCCTTCGAGCATGAAATTGGCCAGATCCTCGGCTGCCGGTGTAGTGTATGCTTGCGTGTGCACGTAGCTGACTTTGCCGGCTTGGCGAATCATGGCCTGGGTCACTTCTTCGTTGCCATGGCCGATGATGGCCACGGCCGCGCCGCCGCACGCATCCAGTACGGTGCGTCCATTGGAGAGATGTAGCTCAAGACCCTTGGCGGACTCGACCATGGCGGGTTCGACCTTGAGTGACCGATGCATCAGATGCGTGCCTTCCACGGTTCGCTTCCCCATCGGGGGAGGTGTGGGCGTGTCGGCATTGCTGTGCGGAGACATGGTGTAAGCTGGAAGTTTTAATATATGTTTGTAAAATGAATTGTATATCTTCTTTTCAAAGACATCTCTGGATCTAGTTGGTGACTTGGTATTTATGTTGCTGTAACTAGTCGTACTCTGAGATCCGAAACCCGACAGCGGTATCGGCATTATCTTCATGACACAGACCTTGTCCACCAAAGGGCGTATAGATGACAAAAAATGGAGTTGGATTTTGAGCTATCAAGTGAATTCTCTTTTAGCGCCATGACGATCTTTCTGATAGACTGGGCGTCCCTATTGTAATAGACGGGAAACCCACCATCAAGATCGCGTCTCGGCTTTGAATGCACGTCAGAGCCGACAGGGCAGGACATCGACCTCGACTCCGTACTATTACAGTGGATTCAATATATATACATGGTTGGGGAAATTCTCTTCATTTCTCCTCTTCTTCGTAACTCATCTTTGCACGGGCTGGTTATAATGTCTAACGAAAGGTCTTCAGGTCGGCCAGAGCCGTTTGAACGCGCAGTACAGCAATCCGACGAGGAGAGTGGTCCCGAGACCAATCACGATTTAAAAGATGAGCACTTGGACAGCTGGCGTGGATGGATCGTTGTCACAGCATCGGCCTCTTCCCTCTTCGTCTTCATGGGCGTGATTTACTCCTGGGGCATCTTGCAGGCAGACTTGGCGCACAAATCCAACATGTCCTTGACCACGCTGACATTCGTCGGCTCCTTGGCAACATCATTCATGACTTCCATATGCATCTTTGTCGGAAAGTCTGTTCGGAAATTTGGTTATAGAGAGACAGCCATTGCCGGGGCAATCTTGCTTGGCCTGGGAGAATTTGCTTCGAGTTGGGTGACGCATCATCTCGGCGCGCTCTTTGTTACGCACGGTGTTATATTCGGCGTCGGAGGTGGATTGACGATATTGGTAAGACGAAACGCATCATTTGCTGCCAGTGGCTTCTCTAACTCCGTCTAGCCGTGCTCTACAGCACCTCTGCAGTGGTTTCGAAAGCGCCGCGGTCTCGCAACAGGCGTCGTCTTTGGTGGCGGCAGTCTCGGCGCCGCTGTCATGGGCGTGGCGACGAATAGTATGGTCGGCCGCATCGGCGCACCTTGGACCTTTCGAATCTTGGGATTCATGCTGTGGGCAGTGTGTCTTCCGGCGGCCTGCTTGATGAAACAACCGGCTTCTACGCAAAACGCGATGCCGAAGCTCCAATGGTAAAAAGCTTGACACAAATTCAACGATCCTCGATGCTAACAGACCTAGGCATCGGTTTAAAGAAGTCGACTTCCTCATCATCTTCTTCGGGTCCGCCCTAGCTTGCTTCCCGCTCTTCATCCCTCCTTACTTCATCCCCATCTTTGCTCGCTCAATCAACCAATCTGGGAATACCGCCATCATTGGCTTGACGATTTGGAACATTGCCTCTACGGTGGGACGAGTCTGCGCTGGATATACTGCCGATTCTCTACTGGGTCCTCTGAACAGCTTTCTCATCTCACTGATTTGCTGTGCAGTGAGCTCGCTTGCTATTTGGCCCTTTTCCTCCAGTATGGGGACTCTTGCTGTCTTTGCCGTGATCAACGGCATCGGCTGCGGGTCCTTCTTCAGCTTATTCCCTACAGTTCTTGGCTCTGTCTTTGGTCAAGAAAACACCATGGGAGTACTGCCCATCATGTGGGGAGGGTGGTTCTTTGGGTTCTTCTTCGTAGGTTTCGAATTTGCCGTTCAATTCATCATTTCACTAACAAAGATCTAGGGAACTCCCATTGCTGCACAGCTCTATACATTGGCAGGGACGAGGACTGATACAGCCGCATATCGACCCGCGGCGTACTATGCAGGGGCAATGTCGGTCGCCGGATTCGTTTTCTTTGTCGTCTTGCGCATGCGAAAAACAAGAACATTGTTTACAAAACTATGATGTTGTTTCGGAAAGCATCCGTCTTCGTATGTCAGCACAGTGACAGCCGGCAAGGTGTTAGGCTCAGAGAGTGTGGCCCAAGGGCATGGCAGTGGCCGGGGGGAGACACGTAAACCAAATTACAGCGGTTGCATTTGCATAGCAGTACATAATTATTTTCAATAAGCATATCTTTCATTCAGTACTGATGATTCGCACGAGTGCTGTTCCCAATGTTGACGGTTAAAGCTCCACCTCGAAGGTATGCGGCAACCCACATCAACAAGCGTCTTGCAAAGAGGAAAAACGCAGAGAAAGAATATAGGGTCATAGATGTTACTCATTTGGAGCCACGTTTTTTTCAAGCCCAGTTAAAGATAATAGCTGGCCTAGTGTATATCGGGTGGCTACGCATCTACTGCTAATGTCCCGCCCCAGAACGAAAAAAAGTCCATCACATACAACCCAAATAAAATCGTTACTATACAAACGCCAAACAAAGCAGTAGAGATTTTACGTCGATGAGCCTTTCCCTTTGAAACGCGAGATGAGCTTATCAAGCTTCAGCTTCAGCGCCGACGGCGCAACCTCATTCGCGCCCACCATGCGGCGTACAATGATGTTATACAGGCCACCAAAGGCGAGTGCGATGGCGGTCGACGTCAGGATGATAACGTTGTACGGCATGCTGAAATCCGGCGTGGGCAAGTAGAGAAGCAGACCGGTGGTGCGCAGGCTCATGGCCTTGGGCCGCAACGTAGTGATGACAGCGGCGGCAACGTCGAAGCCGCGATTCGCGTCGGGGGGGTATTCCGTGTATCGCAGGATGGACTTTTCAAAGTCGTAGGTGAGGAAGACGGTGCAGCGAGGTGGAATCTGCACGAGGAGCTCCAGCTGCGTTCCGCGCTCGCGATCGAGCGCCGGGCGGTAGTAAATCTCCTTGATTATGTCGCTGGCGTTGTTACCTGCGGGCATGGCGCCAGTAGATGATATCCGCGTGGACAGTGTGTGGAGGTATATGCGCATGAACCAGGGCAGCGACTCCATGTAGACAAACTCGACTTCCTCGTCGCTGGGATTGGTGAGGATGGCCTGCACGCCGCCATGTTCCTGCCCATAGCCATTGAGACTACGCTCAGCAAACAGTATCGGCGTCTCGGGCGCATTGACCTCGAGGCCTTTGCCGTCCACGACATCCGGCTGCGTCAAAACGAGGGTGAACTCGCCCTCGGCAGGAATGCTGTAGCATCGCTTGGGTGTTTCGGCGTCTTTGATCTCGTGCGACCCTTCTGAGGAGTACACGCTTCGCGAGTGGGGAACGTGCAGGCATACGGGAGGCACAGAATCGTCGGTCAGCGGGCACGCTCCCTGCATTGGCCGGCCAAAAACTTGTGATAACGTCCAGTCCTGGCCGAGCATATGATCGGCAGGGAAGCAGGTGTCCTCCGCGTGGTAAGGCTTGGACGTGTCGCACACAAGCTCATCCTGATTCGGCGGTCGCGGGATCGGGTTGTCTGGCGACTTTTTGTCAGCGTACTTGTCGATACAAGCATAGGCACAGGCGTCTACATACCTCTGGGTCGCTTTGATCGGTTCACGTCGAGGACCATGTCAATCGTTTCTTCCATCTGCAAGACGCACTTGCCCTCGGCGTCACAAATCGGTTTCACATCAATGGCCATGCTTTGAAAGGAGGCATCAAACAGCTTGTGGCCGTCTAGCAAGCTCGCAATGCCAGCCTTGCCTTTGCAGGGAAGCAGCTTCAAGAACGGCGTCAAGTTCTCCGTACAAACAACCTCGTGCGGTAACACCCCGTGCAATAACCGCGTGTTGGCGAGTATGGCATCCGAGTGATCGCCTTCGGGCTGGAACGACATGACGGGGCGGATGGTTCTGGTTCCGTCGATGAAGTTGAGACTAGCACAAAACAGCCCGGAGAGTGCATTCGTGAGAATCAGCCATTTCTTGTCTGCCTCAGCGTCTGACTGCGCATCCAGCCACGCCCAGAGCTCGACGCCTTGTCCGCCCTCCTTGCGCCCATCCCACGGCCGGGCACCCCATGTTTCCGTGTCCCAGCGCCCGAGTGCGAATCGCAAGTGTAGCTCGCGCGTCCCAGCGTATTGCAGGATTTGCGCAAGGGATCTGGGGAATATTCTAAAGTTTTTCGTTTCAAAGTCGTCGAGGGTAATGTTGGCTCGAAAGTTGAAGCTCGCAAGCAAGCCCGACAGGGGCAATGGGCGTAGATTCAGCTGCTCATGGTAGTCGGTAGAAGCTGAGGCCAGGACAGCGGAGAAAAGGAAAACAAGGAGTGACAGGAGCCGCGTCATTGTGCAAAAGAAGAGTATCAATCTTCCGCGCTCAGTGCGGCAGAAATGACATCTCAATCCGATAAAATGGCTGACGATTTAAAGGGAGAACAACGCATCAAAAGTGTAGCTCCTCCGCTACCTAGCTTGCCGCTATCTCGGCTCTGTAGGGGACGTGGCGGTGCCTGTACCTATTGAAGCAACGGTGGGGGCGATGGCAGGCGGTCGGATGTGGCAAAATTTAGCCTGCTCTGTAGGTTTTGGCGTCGGACCAGAGCTTCGAGCTGGCCTGCCATCACTCGCTGTACGTGCCGAACATTGACTCTTCGTACCGTTTAATCTTCGTATAATAGTCCATCGGATTGGCCGTCTACGCGCATAGGCTGCATACGACCTCACGCAGACACACAACCGTGACGCGACAATGGCCGCCGAACAGCGAAAGCTGCTTGAGCAGCTCATGGGCGCATCCGCGACGTCGCAAGCCGCCAAAGTCTCCTTCTCCGATCCCAAACTATGCCGCTCGTATATCGCCGGCACGTGTCCGCATATTCTCTTCACCAATACGAAGCAGGACTTGGGTCCTTGCCTAAAAATTCACTCTGAAGCCCTCAAGACCGAGTACGATGCCATGTCGGAACGCGAGAAGAGCAAGCTCGGTTTCGAATACGATTACATTCGACATTTACACCAATACATTGACGAGTGTAACAGGGGTATCGAGGCTGCTCAACGGCGCTTGAAGAAGACCCCAGAAGAGATTCGCCAGACCAACATCATGGTGGGAGCCTGCTCTTGTCCAACCCCAAATTCTGGCCAAAATTTGCTAACCTGTCGCTTTTCGCGTCGCAGTTGAAAGAGATTACCGATTTAAACACGTCGATCCACAACGGTCTCCTCGAAGTCGAAATACTCGGCTCCATGTCAGAGGTCTCGCGCGCGCAGGATGAGCTGTTCCGCGTGCGCCAAGCCATGCAGGCCAAGGCAGAAAAGGAAAGGGAGCTCAAGGCACTCGCCGACACCTCTGGCCCGTCGGGCCACCAGAAGCTGCAAGTCTGCGACGTCTGCGGCGCGTACCTCAGCCGCCTGGACAACGACCGCCGCCTGGCGGATCACTTTTACGGCAAGATGCACCTGGGCTTTGCGCAGATGCGCAAGACGTATGATGCCTTCCCGCGGGAGATGAGGTCCAGAGCCAGGACCATGCACGACGACGACGGGCCTGGCGGCGGCGGCCCGCGGGGACCAAGAGGTCATGGGGGAGGGGGGGGGAGGAGGAGGATACAGAGGCAGAGGTGGTCGTGGTTACCGCGGCGGATGGTAGATTATGCTCAAGACTTGGACATGCGGGAAAATGCATGCAAATTGGTGTCGATGGTGTTATGGGTGTTTTGTTGATTTACGGAGATCTTTACATATATTGGAGTCCACTAGGAGTTTCAAAGTCTTTATATAATTGCATACCCTTCTGAACATTTTCCCTTCCTGACGAGGTTCGTTGCGTGACAACAAATCAAATGCTGTAAATTTAGGAGAAACCTAAACTGAGTGTGTGCGCTGGGAAACACTATTTCCAAAACAGTTGCATCGTCGCGTCGTGCAAGATGCCAAAATAATTATACAAAAAATAAATAAAGCCGAGTCCCGTTGTAACAGTCTGGTTGCCATGTCCTCATATGTGTTACCTTCATAATTCTCCGACGTCACACCATCATATCCAATAAATTACTTCTTCGAAGCGGTGGAGTTCATTTCCTCTACGAACTCCATCTCATCGTCCCACTTGCCAATAGCTGGTGCGAACCGTGGCAAAGGCGCCAGGATGGCAGGTTTCGGTGCGCCCTGCACCGGCTCCTTTTGCGAGTCCGAGTTGGCTGGCAGCGACGGAAAGTCATCGTTTCTGGGCAGGGGAGCCGCTGGCTGGCTGCGCTCGTCGCCGGCGGCGCCGCCACGGCCCCCTCGTCCACCTCGTGCTCCCCGGCCGCCACGCCCTTCGCCTCGGTTGCCTCTCCCACGTCCGCCGCGACGAGGTCGCTCGTCAACCGACCTGTCGGTATCTGTGCGGTCCGGTGTGGTTGCCTTTTCTCCTTCGCTTGAGTCTCGCGCGAAACGGCTCCCACGCAGACCCAAGGAGTGTACGCTTTTTGACCCACGAATACCACCATTAGCGGCACGAGCCGGCCGGCGCGACTCTTCCTCCGCCATGACTTCTTTTCCTTCATCCCACCCGCCCTGCTTGGTGCTGATAGCTTTTAGCTTGCGCTCTCGGTTCTTTGTGCGCTCCTCTTCGAGACGGCGACGCTGCTCCTCGTGCTGTCGCCGCTTCTCTGCAGTCTCGGCACGCTGGCGTCGCGCCTCCTCCATTCCACGTGCATAGGATTCCGCGTGTTGTTTCTGGTCCTTTTCAGCCTTTTCGAATTTGAGCGTCTTCTCAGCTGACAGGAGCTTCATCTTGTCCAATTTGGCAGTTAGCTCTTCCTCTGTCAACTTTTGGCGAGGGTTTGCGCCAGACTGGGCGCGCGCATTTGTGGAAGACTCGGTAGGTTGTGCCTGGTTTTTTGTATGACTTCGCCTGTCCCGATAAGCTGGAGCGTTAGCTGCGGCAGTGCTGGAGCTGATGTCGTCACTCGTCTGGTCTTGGCTAGTAGTCGCTGAGGATGACTTTGGTGGTTGTGGTTCGGAGAGTTGCTGTCGCTGTTTCTGAGGAGGCGTCTCTGTCGGTTTGTCTGCGAATCTAGATTGTGCAAGACCTCCTCGTGGTGGTGGTGGAGGCTGCTGCTGCTTGGGAGACCTGGACTTGCGTCGTCGACGAGCCTTCTTTTTGCCTGCTTCTGCAGCCGCCGCCGCCGCAGCCAGAGGCGCAAGGGCAGACTCGAGATCTGCGGGGTGTGGGACTAGGTCTGAATGTGTGATGTATCTTGAAGAAATCGCGATCGGCACCTCGTCATGCACAATAGTCGTGACACCATCGACGGGCTCAAAATCGTCGTCGTAGAACAAGTCGTCGTCGGTGCGGCCACCAAACTGGTCCTCCATCTTGGTGGGAAGGCTTTTGCGCGGGGCAACGGAGAGCGGATATCAGGCAGTATGTGGTGAAGAAAAATAAGAAAAATACGGTGGTGATGGACAGCGGCGCAGGAGGTATATTTCTGATAATAGGGGCTGGAGAATGAGTTGATGACAGGTTATTGTGACAAGAGAGCGGTGGAATGGGCGGCGCAAACAGAAAAGAGCTTGGCCAACTCCAGTTAACATTGGCAGTCACGCGAAAAGCAGGTGGCGGGGAAACGCATCTACTCAAATCGCGCCGAAGGCAGCAGCCAGCAGACGTTTGCATTTTACATTGTCAAAGAAGACAGGCGTAGTTTTGCCCAATTTTGCAGCTTCTTGCAGTCATTTAGCTGTGCACTTCAAAGCTTGCTATATTGCCGTTGAATCGCGCTACCTAGTTAGCTAGTTGAACTCGGCAGTCGCCTCGCAAAATCGCAAACTGGCGAGCATCGAGTAAGACGCCATTTTTCTCCAAGCACGCTCTACGGAGACCCTCCTCTCGAAATCCAGCTTTGAAAAGCACCCTCGCACTCGCAGGATTCGTGGAAAAGACGCTGGCTTCGAGTCGCGCAAGTCGTGGCCACGTCTCAAATACCCAGTCTCTGAGTCCTGTCACAGCTTCCGCCGCAAAGCCTCGACCCCAAACTTCTGGTGTCAAGGCGTAGCCTAGCGACCATGTCCTGTAAGCCATGTCCTTCCCAGCATGCGCAACCATGCTCCCAATAAGTCGTGGCTCGGGGGAAGAATTGTCGACCGTGTTGGGTTTGATGCAGACGGCGACAGATCTAGGGTAGGGAGCGGTGAGTTGATTGTCCTGCTCTGACGGAAACGACAATGAAATGGCAGTCTCCGCGTCGGACACTGTGAAAGGATACCTGAAGCGGTCGCTCAACTGGGCGACTACTTCTTTGTGATTCAAGGCGGCAGCGAGGCTCGGGGCATCCGTCACGAGGAAACGCCGAATGACCAGACGGCTGGTCTCAAACAAGACAGCCCCGGCTTCTGTAGTTGGGCGCTCATTTGAGTCTAAAAAGTGTAGTGGCATGGACATGTTGAAGGAGGTTTGAGATGAAAGTTTTTGCATGCGTGTTTTACCAAAGTGAGTTATTGAAGATTTATTACCGGATTGCACTGAGACGTCGTGTTTTGTGACTCACTGTCGCTAGCGCACCGAGAATAGCCAGGCTGCGATGGCTGTCTGATTCGACAGGCAGCGAATATTGGTTCTAGGATAAAGATGTCATTTTCATTGACCAGACTTTTTCATCTTTCAACTGAGTTTGGTACTTCAACCATTGTCAAATAGCAGGGCTTACTTATTATTGGCGGACTGCTCCTCCGCAACAACCCCCAGGGAACCAGGAGCAGATCACTTTGGACTTTACAAAATTAGACCTCAAAAATGGTGGATTTGAAACCAAAATGCTTTGCTAACATGAGAGCACTAAAAATCTCTTTGATCAACTCGCCCGGCTGTGGTCCATAAGCAGAGTGCAGTAGGGTTCAAGGTTGTTTGGTGGACAAAGGGCCAGCCAGCCTGGACCAGGACACGGAGCGCCAAGTACAAGCAATCATAGACGACGAGTTTCGTGACTGTACTGTCATCACCGTATCGTATTAACTAGCCGCTATAACCTGTCGAGACTTTTGTAGAAATGGCTGATAGTAAAGCAGAAATTATCCCGTCTCACTGGTGCAGTGCACAGCGGCCGGCGGCCGAGGGCAGTGACTAAGTTGTGGCAACTTTACAACGTTTTGTAATTTCACATTTACATGTATAGCATCTACTTTGCAACTTCAATCAGAATATTCAGTATTGACTTGCTCATAGAAGGATGATAGCGGACATGTCATCGGCTTCTTTTCATTAACATGCTCACCTGCCTGCGTTATTGAAGCGGGCCGAATCTGTAGCATGTCCTTGCCGATCTGAGGAATGCTCCGTCTGAAATGGGCCATAAAATGGTACATACTCTATTTCACTTGGCGATGTTCCGGATTATTGGTTGTTGTATTGATCATGGGGTGTGCCGTGCCGCCTCTCGACCTCGATAGCCGCGGGACTTGTGCTGTGGTGTAGGGGCAAGGGAGTGAGCGTGATGGCAGCGCGTGGACAGTTGTAACGGCAAGTAGTCTCATGCTTAATTATAGCAACAAGGGAGGAAGTTGAAGATGCGCCCGGGTTCTTGGCACACTGCAAGAGGAAGTTGAAATGTCCGGATGGCGAATGTTGTGCATATGGCATCAGATGGCCGGTAGATGACAGTGGATTACACCGGGTGTAGGCAACCATGGTACTTTTGTCACGGCGTACAAGGTCGAGAGCAGATGACCGGGACACGTACACAGTGTACGGCAGCAGAAGAAGAGAAAGGGGGGGGGATGAGAAGAAAAATAAGAAAAAAGAAACACGAAGAAGAAAAAAGTAAAGAAAAGCTCGTTGAACAAGTCGTTGTATCTTTTCCCTGCCACGTCCCATCGGCTGCTTGTTCCCGACGGCCCCCAGGCCCCCAGGGGTGGGTGCGGGGAAGTACAGGTGGCTCTAGCGGGATCTCTAGTGGATGAACGCTGCAGCGGGGAACATCGGCCACAGCCACCTTGTTATTGTTCAGCAAGGCACTCCGTCCGTTGCAAATACCAGTGACAAAAAAAATCGGGGGAGAATCCAATTCATCTTCAACATCATGTAATGACTCTCTACATTTCAATATATTTTATTCTTGCTCTTTCTTCTTCCACACCGAGGTTCAACATGGCGGGTAATTTTCTTGTCCTAGCACAGGACCCCATGATCGCCGCCCCCCCCTCTCAACAATGGAGAACTGAAGCAGCTGCCCCCCTCTCTCTCTCAAGCCCTCTCTCAAGCCCCCTCCCTACCCAGCAACTACAAGGCTATTCGTCTGCTGACAACCCTGCTCTGGGACAACTGCAACCCGGCATCAAATGACATTCGTATTCTCTCTCAATGTCTTAACCTTGATTTACGGATAAAGAAGGTTGATGGCATGATCAACGGTGGGCATCATCCGGCACGTAACAAAACATTCTTTCCTATATAAATACAGGCCCTTGGTCCGCTGTTCGAGGTGGCCATCTTCTTACCTCTACAACCCCAGACAAGGACATCTTGTTTGTCTTGACCATATTCTTATTCTTTCACAAAATCACAACCTCAACTGACCTCGTCGCATCGCCTCACCTTGTGCCGGCATGACGGAAGCCCATCTGTTCCCGGGTACCCTCCCGGACTGGAGCAACCTCAACGTCATCCACCGCAACACGCTCTACCCCAGAAGCCATTTCTACTTGTACAGCAAAGAAGAGGACGCCTTGACCCGAGACCTGAGCAAGGCAAAAGTCCAATGCCTCTCCGGTACCTGGAAATTTGCCGTTGCCAAGTCCCCCTTTGAGGGACCCCGCAACTTTTATCAGAAGCACTTTGACACGTATGGCTTCTCCGACATCACTGTCCCAAGCCACTGGCAGCTCCAGGGTTATGGAAAGGGTCCTCACTACACCAATTTCGACTATCCCTGGCCCTGTGATCCTCCCAATGTCCCCTACCAAGACAATGAATGCGGCCGCTACGTGACACGCTTCCACGTGGGAGACCACTTTGACCAACACCAACTGCGTCTTCGCTTTGAAGGTGTTGACTCTGCCTTCACCGTCTGGGTCAATGGCGAGGAAGTCGGCTACTCCCAGGGTGCACGAAACCCGAGCGAGTTTGATGTGACCAAGCTCATTGAGACGGGCCGCGAAAATGTACTTGCTGTGGAGGTGTACCAGCGCAGTGATGGTAGTTACCTCGAGGACCAGGACGAGTGGTGGCTGAGCGGCATCTTCCGCGACGTTTACCTTCATGCGTTTCCCAAGGTCCATCCAACCGACATCTTTGTCACGACTGACTTGGATGACAAGTTCAAGGATGCCACACTCAACGTCAAGGTGGATACAAGCGCATCCTCGCGCGTCGAGCTGAAGCTTCTCGACCATACAGGGCATTGCGTCGTGTCCGAGTCTAAGCTCGTCGACACTTCTGGAAAGTTCTCCCTAGCTGTCAAAGATCCTCAGAAATGGACGGCTGAGACTCCATATCTGTACACCGTCGTTCTCAACTTCCTCGACGGACAAGGCTGCACCCTGGCCCAGAGAGTCGGGTTCAGAGTCGCTGGCTTGATTGATGGTATCTTCTGTGTCAACGGCAAGCCGGTCAAGTTTCGCGGCACGAACAGGCATGAGCACCACCCCGACCATGGTCGGGCTGTCCCCTACGAATTCATGCGGCATGATTTGCTCACCATGAAGCGCCACAATCTCAATGCCATTCGTACCTCCCATCAGATTAACGACCCTAGACTCTACGACGTCGCTGATGAGCTTGGTCTCTGGATTCTCAATGAAGCAGATCTGGAATGCCATGGCATGTTCCGGCTCAAAGACAATCTCCTGTCTGACAGCCCAGAATGGACCGAAGCCTACGTCGATCGCGCAAGACAAATGGTGTGTCGAGACAAGAACCACCCATCCATCCTCATTTGGTCCTTGGGCAATGAGGCTTTCTATGGAAGGAACCAGCAAGCCATGTACGACTATATCAAGAGCGTCGACAAGACGCGTCTCGTCCACTACGAAGGTGACCAACAAGCCAAAACGGTCGACATCTTTAGCCGCATGTACTCCGGAGTCGATTGGATTGAAGAATTTGCCAAGGAGCGGGATTGGGTCAAGCCCCTTGTCATTTGCGAGTTCTTGCATGCCATGGGCAACTCTTGCGGCAACGCCAAAGAGTATGTTGATGCATTTTACAAGCACCCTCGCGTCATGGGTGGCTTTGTGTGGGAATGGAGCAACCACGTACGTTGTGAATCAACTCGCTGTACATCTACTGTGTGCTATTATTAACAGTTCTCAGGGCCTACGCACAAGAAGCAAGGATGGGGAAGAGTACATGGCTTATGGAGGTGACTTTGGGGACCAGCCAAACGACAAGAACTTTGTCATGGACGGCATGATGTGGTCAGACCACGTCCGGGGCCCGAATTTGATTGAGTATGCGAAAGCCATTGAGCCGGTGCAGGCCGTTTCGTTGGAAGGCAATGTCCTCACTATTATCAATCGATACGACTTCATTGGCCTAGAGCATATCGAGGCGAGTTGGGAAATGAGAGTCGATGGAATGAGGAGCCTCGCGAGCGGCAACGTTGCTATTCCGACCAGTACGTTGTGGTCCCTAAATTGTTGTCAATGCAGTACTAATGAGAGTATAGGCGTCAAACCTCATGGTCAAGCCGCCATCACTCTGGAGGGCTACAACACCGAGGCCGTCAAGAAGCTAGGTGTCGAGTCGTACGTCTTCGTCGCGTTCAAACTTCGGGACGACACGAGCTGGGCAAAGGCAGGGCATCAAGTAGCATTTGGAGAGTTTCAAATCGCGAAGCCGGCGAGTCTTTCGGAGTCACTTCCGATGCAGCTCAGTTCGGCTAAAACGCATGTTCTAAAGACATCGGATACAAGGCTCCAAATCACCTCGGCAAGCGGTGCTACCAAATGGGGGTTCGACCTCGTGCACGGTACCCTCAACGGTTGGAACAGATCAAGCCAGCCAGGCTTGAATCTGCTTTCAGAGGGGTTCACCATGGACTTTTACCGTGCTCAGACAGACAACGACAGCCATGGTCATGGCAGGAGATGGGGGGATAGTCGTCTTCACCAGACGACGATGAACGTGCGGCAGGCCAAGTGGATGCCCGTCTCTGGCGGAACTCAAGTTCAGGTGACTGCCCGGATTGCACCGCCGGTGCTCGCCTGGGCCGTCGACACCGTCTTCACGTACACGTTCCGGGGCGACGCCGTCCTCTTGCACGTACACGGCAAGGCGCACGGCAACGACCTGCCCGACACGTTTGCCCGCTACGGCATTTCGGCCGGAGTGCAGGGCGTTACGCGGGTGAAGTGGTGGGGGCGCGGCCCCGGCGAGTCGTACCGCGACAAGAAGCTGTCGCAGTCTGTCGGCAACTGGTCGTCGAGCGTCGACGACCTGTTCGTCGACTACGAGTACCCGCAGGACGGCGGCAACCGCACCGACGTGCGGCAGGTGGCGCTGCACGGCGACAACGGGCGGATTCTCCGGGCCAGCTTCGGCGCGCAGGACGGCGCGAGCTTCAACGCGCTGCGCTACGCGACGGCCGACGTCGACGCCGCGCAGCACCCGTACGAGCTGCGCCGCAAGAAGAGGCGCGACTGCGTGGTCAGGCTGGACTGGCTGCACCACGGCCTTGGCGGCGCGTCCTGCGGTCCATGGACGCTGCCCAAGTACTGCTTGTACACGAACCGCGAGTTTGACTTTGAGGTCTTGCTGGACTAGGGCAGGAAGAGAGGGCTGGTTATGCCGGAACCGATATGATTTTTATGGCCGCTTTTGTTGTAATTAGGATCTAGGATACGTAGTAATGCCACGGGCTTGCGCTGATTTGTTGGCTGCGATAACGTGCTGATGACGCAAGTTGTTCTTCCAGTGACCTTGCAGGGGAGCATGCATGGCAACATGCAGTTTCCCCCTGGCCCCCTTGCTGAGAGCCCTTTTTTCTTCTTCTCGTACGCGCGCCACGTATGTACACATTGGGACAGGCAGGCTGCTCACCGATCTTTTCCTAGCTGTACGACGGAGGGCTTGCATAGGTAGCTTCTGCAGGGACCCGATGTGTCTTGTATCTGGTACAATAAATATCCCTGAGGCTTGCAGAGTCACAGGCCATTCCGCCCGGTACCCGAATCTGGGCTATAAAGTGTTGACAATTCGCTCACTCTGTCAGGCGGCCAAAATAATAAAATCGACTCACAGGTTTCGACCCTTTTTTTTGGTACAGAATAAACAACGTGGCCATCATGGCTCCTCCGGGCATTCTGCGCAGCGACACTGGCGGCGAGTCGGCACTCACTGCTGCTGTGAGCATTGACTTGTCCAACTGTGATGGATGCGTCAAGATTGCCGAGGCAGAACATCTTTTGCGTAGGAGTCTGACTCCAGAGGATGGTGAGTAGAATGATTTTTTCGTTGGTTTTTTTTCTTTGATTTTCCAGTTACCATCCATTGCCTTTGCTCTGTGACTCAGTCCAACGGTCCCTGCCAATCTCCACTAAAAATCGCAATGACACAATTCCAGCACATCATCGTCGGTGCGGTGCTGTATCGGCCCAGCACAGCTACCCAGCTTCATTTCACTGGCGAACTCTATCCTTTCGTCTACCTTGTTTGCAATTTTATTCTCACCCTTTACAGTATCACATATCCCATTCACCTAGATCTCCAACGCGGACAGTTGTAGATTCTGCTGCCCGGCTCGACCTCCCCCCGCACATGCCACCTCATCCGTCCCCTCTCTGATTCTGGCAACTCCACGCGATCACACAGAGCTCGGGGCTCTCGTCCCCCATCGCAACGCACATGATGGCATCGCTTACACCTGACGCAGTCGTCTCTACCGCCGCCGCCTCCCTGGGCGCCCCCCCGTCCGAGGCCGCGCCCGCGAGCACGCCGCTGCTGCTGCACAGCCTCAAGCACAGCAGTGCCATCCTCGCCCTCGCCGCGAGCCCCGAGCACGACACCATCTACGCCGGCACCCAGGACGGCGAAATCGTCACCTGGTCCCTCTCGACCTTTCATCAGCTCCGACACGTCCAGGCCCACAAGCGCACCATCCTCTCCCTCTTCCTCTCCCCCGACGGCGCCCTCCTCTTCTCCAGCGCCGGCGACCCCATCATCAACGTCTGGTGCCCGCGTACCCTGCGCCACCTCTACGAAATCTACGGCACCTACGATGTCGGCGACGTCTTCAGCACCGCCTATAGCACCCGCCACGACACGCTCTACCTCGGCGCCCAAAACACCTCGATCCAGTGGGTGCGCCTCGGCGACCCGGCCGCCGTCGTGCCCGCCGGCTCCCAGAAGCACCCCGACCGCCGAAATCACAGATTCTTCGACTCAAAGGCCGTCGGCGGCGGCGGCTCCACCCCCCGCCGCAACGAGGACCGCTGGGCCCTGATCCCCCGCGCCAGCACCGTGCTCGAGATGGACAGCGGCTCCATTCGCAACTTCGCCCACAACGGCTACGTGTACTGCATGCTCATGGCCAAGGGACCAACGGTTCTGGTGGACGAGGACGACGATGTCTTGATTTCGGGCGCCGGCGATGGTACCATTAAGCTCTGGGCGCTCGGCCATGGCACGCGCGAGGGCCTGGACGAGGATGAGCCTGATCGTGGCACACTGGAAGAGATTATGACCCTCGGAACGGATGATGCAGAGTCTGTGCTCTCACTGGCCATTGATGGGTCCTTTTTGTACTCTGGAAAGCTGGATGGCATCGTTGAGCTGTGGGATCTCGACACCGCCCAGAAGCTACGAGTCATCAAGGCCGGCGAGTCGAATATTATGGCTCTGCAAATGGCCTGTGGCTTCCTCTGGACTGGGTCTACAGATGGGTTTGCAAGCGTAAGTGCTACCTCGGATAATAATGCGCTGTGCCCCGACTTATCTCTGTAACAGAAATTCAGTACCGTGCACTATGGCAAATACCAACATCCCACGGACAAAATTGCCCAAAAGTACCGATGCCTCGGTCGCTGGAAGGCTCACCATGGCAAGATTTTGGCTTCTACAGTGGTCAACTACCGTAACGACCAGTTTTACATTACTGGAGCCAACGATGATAATATCCGCATCTGGGGGGTCACAGGCTCAGACACCACTGCCGCGGAAACGGCAGAAGGTGGAGTTGACCCTCTGCTGTCCACGCTGGTGGACTTTGTCTCCTACAAAACCGTCTCATCCAAGCCGGAATTTGCAGAAGATTGCCGCCGGGGTGCGACATTTCTCGGCGCTCTATTCAAGCGCTTGGGCGGTGATGTTGAGATGCTGAGCACGGAAAAGGGACACAACCCCGTCGTGTATGCCAAATTTTCGGCAAAACAGGAGTCTAACAAGACGCGGAAACGCAAACGTATCCTGTTTTACGGACATTACGATGTCGTCGCTGCTGACAATGAGACGGGCAAATGGGCGACAGACCCATTTACAGTGACGGGCATCAATGGATACATATATGGACGAGGTGTCAGCGACAACAAAGGTCCCATCATAGCCGCGCTATACGCTGTCACGGACTTGATGCAAGCCAAGCAGCTGGATAATGACATCATCTTTCTTATTGAGGGCGAAGAAGAGTATGGATCCCGGGGCTTTAAGGAGGCTGTGCGGCAAAACAAGGATCGCATCGGCGACATTGACTATATTTTACTGGCCAACAGTTACTGGTTGGACGAAGAGGTACCCTGCCTGACTTACGGCCTTCGTGGTGTCCTCCACGCAACTGTCTGTGTTGATTCGCCGCGACCAGACACCCACTCTGGAGTGGATGGATCTTTTATGATGAATGAGCCGCTTTCGGACTTGACATGCATCATTTCCAAGCTCAAGGGCGCAGGCAATCGAGTGCAGATCCGGGGATTCTACAACGGCATCCCAGCCCTGACACCCGCCGAAGAAGCGCGATACGATGACATTGTATCTATCCTGAAGCGCGGTCGCTCGGACAACATCTCAGAAGAAACTCTCAAACGGTCGCTGATGGCGCGATGGCGCGAGCCCAACCTGACTGTTCACAGCTACAAGGTGTCCGGTCCGGACGGCAGCCTGGTCAGCAGCCACGCCAACTCGCACATTAGCCTGCGTCTCGTACCCGGCCAAGAGGTCAATGCCGTGGCCGACCTACTCACCGAGTTCCTGGTGCAGCAGTTTGCCAGTCTCGAATCACAGAACCAGCTGAGCATCAGCATCGACAACAAGGCCGAGCCCTGGCTCGGCGACACCACCAACAGCATCTTCCGCATCCTCGAGCAGGCCATCATCGAAGCCTGGCCTGATTCATTCGACGCCGATGCAAGGACCGCGTCCGGCGCCAAGAACAAGACCGCCAAGCCGCGCGGTCCCCTCTACATCAGAGAAGGCGGCTCCATCCCCGCCATCCGGTTCCTGGAGAAGGAGTTCAAGGCGCCGGCCGCGCATTTCCCGTGCGGTCGCGCGAGCGACGCGGCGCACTTGAGCAACGAGCGCATGAGCGTGGTCAATTTGTTAAAGGCACGCGAGATTATGGGCAAGGTGTTTCGGCGTCTGTAAAATAAAAAAGACAGCATAGATCATAGGAGCGCGTGATACCCTCATTGGCCGTAGTAGTTTCGTACAGAGTTGTACTGGGGAAAAAAATAGAGTAACAAAGAAGTGTAATAGTATAGAAGTACAGCAGTATGATTAACTCGAAATGTCCAAATCTTGCCTTGCTTGTCAGTGGTGTCATTCTGTAGTGTGGGGGGGCGGCTGGCTTACAGTTAACACTCTACGCGTACTTTGAGCCCCGCGACGCGTCTCCCAGATTCACACCTTTCATCCACCACCACATACAAACGCCCCTCCAGAATGACGCAGCTAAAAGCCCACGAGGAGCACCAATATCTCGATCTCGTCCGCGAGATTCTCGAAAATGGAGAGCATAGACCCGACCGGTACGCCGCTCACCAACAACCACCACCCACCCCACGTACAAAGCTAACCAACAACAACTCCAGCACCGGCACCGGCACCGTCTCTATATTCGCCCCGCGGCCGCTCAAGTTTGCCCTGCACAAGGACGGCGTGCCGATCCTGCCGCTGCTGACGACGAAGCGGGTATTTCTGCGAGCCGTGGTTGCGGAGCTGCTGTGGTTCGTGGCGGGCAGCACCTCGTCGCTGCCGCTCAGCGAGGCGGGCGTCAAGATCTGGGACGGCAACGGCTCGCGGGCGTTCCTGGACGCGGCGGGGCTGGGGCACCGCGCGGTCGGCGACCTCGGCCCCGTGTACGGCTTCCAGTGGCGGCACTTTGGCGCCGACTACGTCGACGCCGCGACCGACTACGCCGGCCAGGGCGTCGACCAGCTCGCCGACGTCGTCGACAAGCTGCGCCGCACCCCGTACGACCGCCGCATCATCCTGTCGGCGTGGAACCCGCGCGATCTGAAGCTCATGGCGCTGCCGCCGTGCCACATGTTTGCCCAGTTTTACGTGTCGTACCCGCGCGGGGCGGTTGAGGGAGAGCCCACCACCAAGGGACACCTGCACTGCCAGCTGTACCAGCGCTCGTGCGACATGGGCCTCGGCGTGCCGTTCAACATTGCGAGCTATGCCCTGCTGACGCACATGCTCGCCCACGTGTGCGATCTCGTCCCCGGCTCGCTGACGCAGGTCATGGGCGACGCCCACGTCTACCTCGACCACGTCGACGCCCTCAAGGTCCAGCTCGAGAGGGAGCCGCGCGACTTTCCGACGCTGGAGATTGCAAGGGACAAGGGCGGCAGCATCGACGGGTGGGCCGCCGAGGACTTTGTCGTCAAGGGCTACGACCCCCACAAGACGATTGCGATGAAGATGTCGGTCTAGAAGAGTCGGTGCTGGAGGAGTGGGACGAGGGACATGTATTACTATTGGGCATATATGGCACGCCACATCAACTGTTGGTCTACTTTGCGATGAATTACTCTAGAAAGCAATGATTTTTTTAAAGCAACATGATCAGCGAAGCGACAAGGACGCTCCGTCACCACCCCGTTTGTGCTTGAAAGCGATCTGCTCGTACATCCATGTATGGGCCCCAACTATATACTCGTCTCGTGGCGGCTCCTTTTCCGAATCCGTTCGCCATAGATCCAGAAACACCATGGGATCGGCGCCATGACGAGCGCCACGCCGCCCAGCAGCGGCTGTCGCCCAGCCGACCCCCATCACCTCGAACATTCGCAAGCGCAAACAGCGGAAAAAGCCGCCGAGAGAAATGTCCAGCGCCAGCCGCCGCCCGCGTGCACGAGGAAGCCGCCGACCAGCGGGCCGAGCGAGGCGCCGAGCGACGGCACGGTATAGTAGACGGCGAGGGCGACACCGCGCCAGCGCGTGGGCCGTATCATGTCGAGCATCGTCGCGGGGTGCGTTGTTGATGAGCGGCGCGGCGAAAGAACGCAGAAGCGGCAGGCGACAAAGAGAGGCCCGCGAACCGACGTGGCCAAGGGCGCCGCCGAGGACGAACAGCATCAAGACCGGCGCGGTGCCGAGGACCACGGCCCCGCCGCCCGTACGTCTCGGAGAGCGGGCCGGCCCCGCACGCGAGCCCCAGGTTGTACAGCGACAAGCGGCAGCACGGCGAACCTCGCGGGGGAAACGTGCAGGGATGCGGCGACGGCCTCTTCCGCCGGCAGGTACAGCGCGCCCCCACGACGGTTCCGACTATGGCGAGGAGCGTCAGCGCGGCCGTGGCGCGCTCGCGCACGCCCAGGTCCGACGGGGCAGTCCAGTCCCAGGCTGCCCCCCCGGTGGACATCGAGATCGTTGTGTTTTGTTCGTGGATGGTCGTGCTGTGCGGTGGTTCTTGGCCGGGCATCGTCTTGGCGCGCCGTCGCTGGCAGCCCGCGGGCGGAGTTGCCCGGCGCTGGTGTGCGGGGCGCCGCCGGCAGTGCGGACGCACGTGTGCGGTCCCTCTCCGGGGGGACCTCTGTCATTTCTGGCAATTTGGGTCCTTGCGAGGCCATGTTCAGAATGCACAGTTTCTTGTGCAATCATACTGCCAAAAATGGGGGAGGAGCTTCGTGATATGGGCGAGGAGAAGCAAGATAGCTTCAAGTGTTGGCCGGTCTTTGCTGCCTGGTCGTGCAGTCCCGATGCAGTGTCTAATCCTCTTTGGTTATATGGTGGTGTGGCTCCGCGTGTGGTAATAGAGGCAAGATCATGGAAGCGGATTCGTTAATTGAAATATTTTGGGCACTTGGTTGTGAAAAGATTCAAGAATTACACACCAAGACGCCGAATAAAGTAATACCGCCTCGTTGCACCCTAGTGGTGTGTTGGTAGTCTCCGCTCCGGGCGCGGCCGAAAACACCCCGGGATGTGGATTGTCAAGTAGCCCTAGAATTGGGGAAGCGTTGTAATTGAAAGTCAAATGGGTATGATTATTTTGCAACAGCTGTATATATGTAGATATAGCTACATCAACGACATCCTCCTTAAATCCAAACAACCGTTCCATTTTCATAACTATGCTCCTAGTGTTCCAAGTCCGCAGCCTTGCTCACGCCGGGCTGGTTTTGGCCGACGTACTCGGACTTCTTGAGCATGTTCCACTTGTCTTCCTCGGCATCGAGATGGCGGAAGCAGAACCAGAAGGCAACACCCCCCATTAACGAGATGACGGAAATGGTAGTGTAGTTCCAGACGAGAAGAGGGTCGCCCGATAGAGGAGTGAAGGCCTGACCAATGGCAGCAGACACGGCACTCATGAAGAGGTTGACACTCATTACCAGCGACTTCATGTTCTCGGGTGCCTTGGAGAAAGCGTACTCGTACGAAGTGACGTTGGTGAGAAGTTCGGCAATGCCGATAAAGATGTAAGGAAGGCACTGGGCCCAGACGTTGATATCGGCAGGAGGGCAGTTGACCTCCTCTCCAGCAGCGTTGGTGATTGTGCCGTTGGCGTGCCAGCCGCAAGGGCTCTTCTGGTAGATGTAGTACTGCATGACCGCAGAGGCAACCATAGACAGGGTAGCCATGAAGAAACCAGCAGTCATTCTCTTGATGGGGGTGAAGGGAAGTCCAACGCGGCGGAGAAGAGGGTAGAGACCATGATCAAAGATGGGAATCATGATGACAATAGAGATGGGGTTCAGGTTCTGAATAATGTCGTTGGGGACTCCGTGTAACATCATGGTACTGGCCTGGGTGGTCAGGTTACCAGTCATCTGATTGTAGGCGAGGAAGAAGACTGGCAGGAAAAGGAAAACCTTGCAGGCCATCAGACCACGGCGGACTTCGTCAACCCAAGCATCATCATAAGTCATCCAAGATGGGCGCTCAGCGACGGCAACCTTGGAGGGACGGGCAACGTCCCAGTTGAAGTGGAAACTGGAGGAAGACCTCTTGCGAACGTAGAACCACATCTTGATGAACTTTTCGAGTAGAGATCCCGTGGGTGGTGTGAGCTTGTAGTTCTTCTTCTGGGACCAGAGGACGAAGGGGGCGACAAGGAAGAGGGCGGTGGGGATGAGGAAAGCGAGCCAGAAGCCGACATATTTCTCAACGTAGACCATGCCAATCTGGCCAGTAAGGGAGCCAATGTTGATGCAAAGGTAGAAGTATAGGAAGATACGCGTGTTGGTGATTGCAGGGTCGACGATGACGAGTTCGCCCTTGCGCTCTTCGAGTCGCATGCGGGTGTCTTCGTTTTGCTCGGCCAGGAGTGGCGAGACGTTGGCCTTGAAAAAACCTGTGCCGACACAGAGGCAGAGGAGGCCGATGATGAAGGCGGCGAAGGAAGAGTCACGGTGAACAATGACACCAGGAGCAGAAGCAGCGACAAGGATGACGTGGGCAATGGTAGAAATACCAATGGCCAGATGGAGAGTCCAGAAACGGCCCATGCGAGCATCAGCAATCCAGGCACTTTAAGACACCGTGTTAGTAAGGATCAATGAAGTAGGATTTTCGAGAAAATACGCACCCAAGAAGAGGCATGATGTAGGCGAAGAACTGATTGAAGAGACTCAGGCCCTGAGCAGCCTTGGGGCCCATGCCAAGGGCACCAGCTTGTGGGTGAGGGTCGCCGGGGAGAGGAGCACCAGTGACAGAGCCGTTGGGCAGCTTGTGGTTGACAAAGTTGGTGTAAAGGACAGCGGATCCGTAGTAAGAGAAACGCTCGCACAATTCCACAAAGGCAATTGTCCACATCGCCCACTTGATCTTGCCAGAGACACGGCGCAGAGTGCGCACCTGCTCTTCTGTGGGCTTGTCGGGGTAGTCATTGTCGTCAGTGGCGACGCTGTGCCGGTCAACGCCAAAGTCGTTTTGGTGCTTCTCGTCTATAAAGGCTTCCTGGCGCTTCTCATCGTCAATCTGGTGGATGCCGTGATGTTCGGGGTCCACAAGACCGGCGCGCGCGATAGCGTCGTTGTCGAGGTTGACGGTGGTCGTCATGGTCAAGTACCCTCAGAGTGCGAGGTTGTCTTGGTCAATGTGATCGACGTATGCTTATACCAAGTACAAGCTGGATTTGGAAAAGAGAAGGCGGACGAAGTAAGCTCTCACACAGAGAAGAGAAGAAGTAGGGAATCACAACGGGGGGGCTGCGTGTCTATTAAATATGTAAATGGAATACTGTAGCCGGCCTGTCCCCATGTTGGAGACATGATAAGCACTCCGGGGAAGAAGGGTCCAGCGTTTGGGGGGCGAGGCTTGACAGAGGTGCCTTCGAAGCTGCGTGTTGAGAGTCCAATCGTCCGAGGGGCCAAGACTGAAGCGGCGGAGGGCATGCCTATTCGAGACTGGTGGCATGGTGGCTGAACAAAAGAACCTGCAGAGAAGAGGAAGGCTCGAGGAATGGAAAGACAGGGAGGGAATCCTTGCTGTGGAGAGTGCCGAGACTTGAAGCGGGTCTTGGTTGAATTCAGTTAGCGATTTGGAACAGAATATGGTTTTGCGGAGGAGATGGTGTGCAGCCAGCAACCTAGTCATGCTGTTAGCTTGAGACAGGATGGTGGTTGGGGCGTTGTGATGGTCGCGCAGCCACTTGGTCTACTAGTGGCGTGAAAAAATCTTGATACTTTTTTCCTTGATCTTCTTTTCGTATTCTAGAAAAACGGCGTTGTCCGAGGTACGGTGGTGTTCTTTCTCGACGAAAAGAGGCATGGCGTTGATGATCTTCGTAGTTCAGCTTTTGAACGTCGAAGATGGAGGAGGAGGGAGGAGAGAAGGGGACCGAGACAGGGCAACTTTTTTGGTCAGGCGAGGCGAGCCAGATAGTACTAATTAAGGGTACGGGGCCTGGGGGCCTAACAGCAGGCGAGATAGCATTCTGAGGCCTGCTGGGGCCTGCTGGGGCCTGCTGGGGCGGCTGCAGCAACGATATCGCTGGAGCCCACAGCCTGCCGTTGGTCCTCTTCCTTCATCTAACTTTATAGTTACCTAATGTTGCATCGACATGAACGAACCGTGCCACTTCTTTGCTTTTTCCCCCGTATTCCAGAGTCCGCCGACTTTGCGTATTCGCCCGTCTGGTTGTGCTCCAGATTCGTCCCCAGCCGAGACTTTACACTGTCACCTTTCACTGCGTTGTCGTGACAAACAGCAGGTGCCGGCGTCATCATGGCGTTGCCACTCTCTTGGAAAATTTGCCCGTAGGGCACACATCTGGTTATCTTGTTGTCATTAATATTAGCTAACAACCTTGCTAGGCCGTTACTTAAGCTCCAACACATTTCGCACTCGCGCTAGCCAAACACATGGCTTGCATTGTAATTCCCCAGACCCACGCCAGAAATATCATCGAGCAACCGTCGCGTGTCAGAAGACATGCACTAGACTGGTTTCGCACATACATACAACTGGTATGCGGTGGTGGGATTGCCGGCCGCCATCTCGAAACGGCGACGGCGAGCGCCAAACGGTCGAGTCGTGGTGGCAACACTCACTTTGCCCGAAGTAGCGAAGCGCCGCCTCTCGGGTGATGCTTGCCAGTGGCACTTTTCCTCCGAAGCCACCAGAGTGGAAACAGACATGGCTTGGGCGGCGCGCGATGGGTTGTCGATTCCAAGGCGACGCCACCTGTTTCGCCTGGTCTAGTTAGCCTCGTACCTAGGTAGGTATGTAGGTGTGTATACATCCGTATACCACTCCGGGATGTCAAGAGGCAGAGGCGTTTTTGTCTGATGCTGCTGAGCGCGCCATTTAGCATCGACTGCACTCCATATTCACATGCGCAGCAAACATTCGTTCACCATACTCTCAGAGGGAGCGATACTTTTCCGCGAGTCTCACTCTGTCCCCCACTCAGCTCAGACGCCCATCATTCCGACGGAGGTCAACGCTTAAAGGCCCACTGAACTGCTAACTAAACGTCAAGCTTAAAAGCTAAAATACAGGGCTGCCCAGCGCTAGTCTGGTGATAATTTTAGCCGTCCCTCGTCGTCGTCGTCGCCTTGTCCGGAGGCTGCCGAGACAAAGAGTGCATGGTCCGCGGTTACACGCATCGACTCGATCTTGTGTTACGACGTACAGATCATGCATCCTTATGCAGGAATCGCTGTTGACTAACACTGAATCATCTGTGTACTGAGTTCCTCTGAGTCCCTATCACCGTCTTTTGTGTGGGCTTGTTCGCGCACACCATAAAACCCCCGCCAGTTACGGGGCACTTGAGAAAACTGAGAGATAAGACCACTGCAGAGCATGAAAGTGCCTGTACGTTATCCATTTCGCGTTTGATTTGGTATTACGAAGTACAAGCGCCCTTGCCTGGTACTGTGGCGCGCGTTCCTTGCATGGCGCTTTCCATTCATGTTGACTGTTCAGAAATCATACGCCATGTTGCTTCAGCTCAGCCTCAAAAAGCTGATGCACTGGTTCGTCTCAGTTCGCTGATCAGGCTAAATGCAGCCTGGCCAAGACCCAGGGGGGGTTCCCATCGTGGCCGTCTTGCCGTCGCTCACCATGATAACCGCTTGCTTGGCAGGCTCACCAATGGGCCGTTAGTAGGATACAGTGCCAATGCTAAACCCGTGCGCCAAATCCGATTGGTGGCAACTGCTGCTTCCCAGGTGCCACCTGTCACTGCGCCGCACAATCATCAACTACCTACATAGTTATGGCGGCGCAGCGTGTGGCAGAACAAATATCATTCAAGAACCGAAATCGCTCGTCCTTGCAGATATGGCACTAAATTCAGCTGGGGCGAGGCGCCTTGAGTGACATGCTAATATAAGTGAGTACATAATGATAATCGGCCAAAATATTCATCTATCACAATCTATCACGCAGCAAGGGTCATCTGCCGTGTTTCCATTACTCAATAATTTCCACTAAACACGGCATTTTCATCGTCCAATGTATCTCGGGTCCTGGCTGCCCATGGGGAAGCCTCCGCGACAGCTTCAACCAGGTAACTAGCCCTGTTTAGTCTCTGTGATGTCAGTAAATGGTGCTCATCTCTCATATTCTCCATTCCGCCACCCCATTGTGAGTCGGGCAGCAGCGGGTAGAGGAGGCCTTTGCCAGCCTCAGCTGGACGCCTCGTAGTGCGCCATCCCAAGCCAGCTCAGCAGTCGCGGCAGCAATCCTATGCCTCATCAGAACCAACTGCGTCTCAGACCATGGAAGGGCTATCAGCCACCAAGCAAAAGGCCGGGTAAGGTACCCAGGCAACTACCCCCAGACGTACGATTAGCAGCATTTGTATTGCTCATGCCAAGCAAAATAGGCTGGCTGCGAAGAATCGTTCAACAGCCAGCACTGACCAGCACTAACCAAGGGAGGAGTGTAGGCGCTAGCCCGGGAGGTACCTCGGTACTATTACAGCACCCATAGGGCTTGGTCTGGGGTCGTTCTCGACCCCGCATCGAGACATCGTCGAGTCTATGTACTCGCAACACCAAGCAATCAGGCTCGCCAGTCTGAAGTGTCAAGCCCCCGAGCGCCACTTTTTGCCGTCTTATTCAACGTTGAAAGCCACCAGAAGGCCCCCGAGACCCGACGCAGGCAAGAGGCTAGATGAGACAGGCTTTGAAGATTGTGTCTTGACGATGACTGGTCGAGCTGGTGTCTTGGAACTGGTGTACGGAATGATTCGGAAAAGAGGTCGGGCTGCCGCGTTTTTTCTTGTCTTCATTTCAAGTATTAACATGTGGTACAGCGATTTGCCGTCTAGTCTGCAAAGTAGGAAATTCCACCAGTGCCTCCCTTCACAGCCCTAGATCAACTACCGCCATTATCTTGCGTAATGCCAATTGCGAACAGTAAAACTATTGAAAGCGTACTGGTAAAGAGGCTGGTCCCTCTTTACCCCAATTTCGCCTTCCTCAAATGCCCAGAAATCGGGCGCGGACCCCTGTCAGCATGGCCAGAAAGTAGGTCGGGCCCTCGTCCTCGAGCGCCGGCCCGGCGCCGCGGACCTCGAACCGCTCGAGCAGTCTCACGACACACTTGAGCACAATCATTTCGGCCACGTGCCTTCCAGGACACGTCCGCGAACCGCCACCCCAGTTGAGGCTGTAACGCTCCAGCGCGCGGACGCGTGCCTCGTCGTCGCTGCTGCCAGCGGCGAGCCAGCGGCGAGGGTCGAACGCGTCCGGGTTCGGGCCGCAAATGTCCGGGTTGCGGTGCAGCGAAACGGGGTTGCAGCCCACGGTGGCACCGGGCGGTATGTGGAAGCCGTGGAGCTGCAGCCCGCCGTCGCGAAGGGGCACCACACGCGGCAGGCCCATGCTAATGACGGGGTAGAGCCGCATCGCCTCCCGGATGACGGCGCGAGTATACACGAGTTCCAGCGCGTCCGTGTAGCTGATGATTGTTTCTGATTTTTGTGGTTTTTCTGCCTTTTGTGATTTCTCCGCCTTGTAAAAACGGATTTCTTGTCTTGCGGTCGCTTGCACGTCTGGATGTGTTCCCAGCATGGTCATGACGGCCGTGAGGGTCGACGCAAGTGTCTCATGCCCGGCACCAAAGTTGGTAATTGCCATTTTCCGCAGATACAACTCTGTGAACTCGGGCTTTTCCTGGTGCAAGCTGATCAAATCTGCGAGAAGATCTTCCTTCTGACTGGTCCTCGAATTCGACGCATTCTTGATTCGTCGCGCCACCTTTTTTGCCACGTCCTTGAACCGCTGGTTAGCAACGGTTTGGGAAAAGGGCCAGCATATAAATACCAGGCGCGAAAGAAACTTACGGGAAAGAAGGGTTTGAAACCCTTCGGGGTCTGGTATGTAATTCCCCAGAGCATGCCAAATATTCTTCCAATCCATCTATGGTTGACCTCGAGCTTGGTTATCAGAGGAAAAAGTCCGAATACTGACTTGCGGCGCCACCCAAGGTAGCTCTGGTTGCTCGTGTCGCGATCTGTTCCGGCTTTGATCATCCCTGGTGACCAAGATAGGACCACAGCGCCCAGTGACTCTACGGCGATGATGTGCATCCACTCCTTCAAATCAATATCAGCGCCATTGATGGAGTTGAACTTTTTGATCACATCATCCATGACTCTGTCGAGAGCTTGCTCATGGCGAACCGCATTGGCCGTCCGGTAGACTCGTCCGATGAGCCGACGTTGTAACCTATAGCGATGCATGTCTCTCTCAGAAAGTAGATCAAGATTATCTTGAAACTCAGCATTCAACCGGCGATCTATATGAGGTCGCGCAAGAGCCGTTGCCACTATCATGTGTTAGTGTACCGCGAGATACGTCACCGCTACCTGGGTCACTTACAGTAGAAGTCTGACTTTTCATACCCACGGATACCTGCACCTATATATCGTTAGCCTTGCGTTTCCAAGCGATGGTATATGGATCATTCAAGTACTCACTGTAAATCTGATCGAAAGCCTCTTTCGTATCAAACCACACTTCTGTCGGCCCAACTCTCACAACCGGGCCGTATCGCCGGTGTAGCTTTTTAGCCATGGCAGCAGTGGCCCCATTTCTTGTATGATAGGCGAACCATATATTTGACACAGCAGCCAATCTTGGTCCGGGTATGCGAGAGAAAGGATCAAAGAATAAGCGGTGGGTGATGACTGTAATAAGCAGGGCCATGAGCGCCATGCCCATGGCCCCTAGAACATGGGAAAGAAACCAGAGGCTGTTTATCGCCACATCTAGCAGCTTTTTTTCCATGACGGTCCAATCTCGTGGACATTGTCCGGGTGGCTGTTGTCCGAGCCTCGTGGGGGTAGCGCTAAAGGCGAAAAGTTTTGTCGTTTCCACACCACTGACTTGTCGCAACTATGCCGGGATAAACCCCTCCAGGTGAGGTTTTGAGCTTCGATAATATAGGATGCTGGAAAACGGTGGCCAGTATGCTGCCTCTCTCAGGTCTCTGAACACAGGTTGCGAAGCCAACAGCTGCACCAGCATCGTGTTTGTGGAAAATTGGGTCGTGTAGTTGCTCAGCCCGCCGTCACTAAGGATTAGTGCGATAATTCGGTGGCCAAAGCCGAGGCGAGGGATTGCCAAGTGGGAAGAAAAAGAACAACTCTCCTCTAATGGTATATATGCAAATATGAGACTATTCTATGTATGCCTTTTCAAGGCCAAGTTTCCCTCATAACTCATCTATGTTCCCTTCTTCTGCATTTGCCTCCATTTCATGCCCTTCAGCGCCAGCAAAGCCAGCGGTGTAAGACAGATGAAGAACAGGCTTCCTACAATCGAGAATGCTTTTCCGACGCCAATTGCTCTTTCCAGCGGCACAATAGCTGCTGTGGCCCCAGCACCGACAAGACACCTTGTGAGGTTATTCGCCGCCGTCGCAGTGCCTGCCTTTCCTGGGTGCATATCAACCAGGAGCACATTCATCGAATTGGTCATCCCAATCAGTCCAATCCCGAGAAAGACCATGATGACACATAGAACCGCGATATGGGCATGAAAGTGCACCGCCCAGCCCCAGGCGATGAGGCACGCCCCTGCGAGCAGCATCAACGGGATACCGATTTCGAGACGTGCGCGCTCAATGGGAAAATTGGTCATGTCCATCTGGCGGCTGCGATCAAACGAGACTCCGGCCATGGTGCAGTGCCGCTTGTAGTTCCACGTCATGCCCCGGCCGACGACCAGCGCCGCGATGATGGAGCCTCCCGCAATGGGCAGATACATGAGGCCAACCTGCGTCTCGTTGAAGTGGTAGCGTTTGTGGAAGAGGACAGGCATCGCGGCTGCGATGCAGTAGAATCCGGCAAAGATGACGCTGCTGGACCACAGCAAAAGGCCTGATGACCGGCGGAAGAGCATCCTGACCGCCTCGAGGACGTTTGGCGGCTTGAATTTGAACTTGTTTTCGCCAGCTGCCGCGGTTGTTTCCAACCCGCTTTCAATGTACTGTTCTTCATCAGCCTTGCGATTCTCCTTGCGCAGGCGTATTGTCTGGAGAAGGGAACGATACATTGGCGGTGGCGCAACGGATCCGTCCCCCACAATGCGTCGGCAGGTTTCAGGGAAGAATGCGAGAACCAAGAGCAGAGTCACGCCGCTAGAGATGGCCAGGAACCAGAATATCGACCGCCAGCCAAGGTACTGCGAGAGTACACCTCCCAGCACCGGGCCCAGGGAAGGGGCCAGAACAGAGGGGAGGACGGTGAAGCCGATATACTGCCCTCTTTCCGCAGAGGTGACCACATCGGCAACAACGGCAGTGCACAGAGCGACGGTGCTGCTGGATCCAGCCGACTGCAGACAGCGCAGGGCGAGTACAGCAGCATAGTTGGGAGCCAGTGCCAGCCCAATGTTGGCAGCCAGGTAGATGACAAAGCACAAAATGTAAGCCGGCCGCCGGCCTCCTGCGTCGGCCAGCGAGCCGACAAACATGGGCGTGATGCCTTGCAAGACCATGTACGTGGTGATGGTGAGGTTGACCTTTGCGGCGCTCACATGGAGGCTCTTGGCGATGGGAATGAGCGCGGGCAGGTATATTTGGGCTGATATGGGCGAGAAGATGGCCGTACCCGCTGCTCCAAGTACCAACAAGCGCTTCACGTTTTTTGAGTGAACAGAGTAAGGTGCCCGCGAATTCGTGCGCTGGATGGGAAGCTTCTCCTCGTCGGCGGGAGAGGGCTGTGGCAATACTTCTTCCACCTCTGGCCGTTGCCGTTCGGTGTCTGTAGGAGTTGCTTCTCCCATCCTGTTGTCTTTTCAATTCGCAATCTCGATATGTTCTTTGGCTGCGTTCTCCTGTAGCTATATTCGTTGATGCTCTCTTCAGGCGGAGAGAATGACCAAGATGAACACTGTGGCTCAAATCCGAGCAGCAAGTCTGTGTTTTATATATGAGAGCCAGCGCAGTACTTGGATTGACACAATTCTCTCCCACAGGTCTGTTTTCCTATTCCATCATGGAGCAGTGCCACTGTATCGTCTGTGGAACGGTGACAAGGTCTCTTGTAGTCGGAGTTTGCGAGCCTGACGGAAGTGAGGGGAAGGGGTTCAGAAGGGGTGGTGATAGATAGACGTCTGACGGCTAGAATTGAGAGGCCGCATTCAACTGGGACGTTTAAAGGGTGAAGAAGGGAAAGAAATGTGGTTGAATGGAAATATTCACTGAAATAAGGGAGTTATTTCGGGGGCCTAAACACCTTCTAGCGCAACGGGGGCCCGTTGCCCGAATCGGCGCCGAGCTCGGCAGCCGGCAACCGGAACACCTTCAAATACGGCTGTATCAATGCAAGAAGCGCAATTTGATTAATTAAAGTCTTCATTGGAATTGAAAATGTCTCTAATCAGTATTAATATCTCGTAGCTCCCGGGCTAGGCGAGTTGCTTTTAGTTCTCCCACCGATGTTGTTCGCCAGCTGCTGGCGCATGTTGTTCCGCCAGAGTCGTAAAGCCTCAACAGGCGGGGGGGATTATTTCTTTGCTTAAATCTAATTAATTAAAGCAAAAAAGGTAAACCCCGAAATCTCCCTCGGTTGGCCGATCGGGAAGCTTCGAAATTCCAAACAGCGGTGAGCGCAAAGTGTGTGTTCGGCAAGGAGTCGTTGTTGGTTGAACAGCTTCGGCTGTAGGCAATCCGTCAACCCCGGGGGCGAACTGTATTCTGGAGATGACATTCGCAGCTTTAACAATTAAGTCCATGTTGTAACGCGGGCAGAACACTTTTTACATTGCAACATGCTGGTTCTCTCTTCTTTGGCCTCTGGGAATCATAATTTCCTGTGCTCTTGGGCTACCCTGCAGATACTTGAAGCAGTCATTCTTGTAGCACACCGTGGAATACGCTGTAGAGATACTTACGCTGGGGTCAAATATGAAAGGACTTCTAGTCGTACGTAAGAGTACGTAAAAACTCGGAAGCTCTCACCGCACATCTGACTTTGCCGTAAGGTGTGCAGCCGACGCGCCTCGGGCGAGTTACATCGTCCTCCGCCTTGGCAACCTTTGCACAATTCCAGCAAACCCCAGCCTGGAAACATTTCACGACAAAGAAACCAAGAAGCCAGAAACGAATCCAAATGTATTTTTTTTGTAGCTGTTGTAAGTGAGCATTGTACTATGCACAACCAAGGAGTGGGCGGGGTGACAATTTTCCGGCGCCGAACTAAGGTGGCCTCAACATGTGAAGCTCCAAGGTGCTCTACCTAGTCACTACCATAAACTGTATTATGGACTGAGCATTCTGGAGCCTGCTACCAGTGGTTAGTTTTCTGAACAAGAACGCACCATGGTAAGTTTCGAGCGCCGCATCTGGAAACCATATTTCCGCCTGGGCTATTTCTAATACCTTGAAGAATGTCGTGTACAACGCCGCCTTGCGGCAGAGCAAGTCCATCAACAACGAGCTCGCGAGCTTGCAGTCCAAAGGCGAAGCTTCCGCGGCCGACATTGGCAACGTGTCCGTGACGCTGGCCACCTTTGCCAAGGCCATCGACGAGTACAACAGCCTCGCGCGGCAGGAGATTGTCCCCAAGAAGCAGGGGGAGGCGTTTGAGCGCGTCAAGCGGTTCCGCGACGACCTTGCGGGGTTCCGCGGGCAGGTGGACAACCTCAAGACGGCGCGCGAGGAGGCGCAGTACCAGCACAACCGCACCGAGCTGCTCGGGCGGCGCCCCTACCACGCCAACGCGACGCCCGAGAACCCCTACGCCCACGCGAGCACGACCAGCACGTCGTCGACGTTCCAGCCCCGACACGGTCAGCAGCTGACGACGGGCGCGCAGGACGAGACGCGCGAGGCGCACGCGTTTCGCGAGCAGCACTTTTTTCAAAACACCAACCAGGCCCTCGACGACTACATTGCGCGCGGGCAGGCGGTCCTGGGCGACCTGGGCCAGCAGCGCGAGATGCTCAAGAACACGCAGAAGCGGCTGTACAGCGTCGCCAACACGCTGGGCATCAGCGGCGATACGATTCGCATGGTGGAGCGCCGCGCGCGCGAGGACAAGTGGATTTTTGCCGCGGGTGTCCTTGTCTTTTTTGCGTTTTGCTGGCTGGTGCTGCACTACCTGCGATGAGGCTGTCGCTGTGCGAGGAGGCATTGATCTTGGGAACATGGAGCGTGGCGTACAAGGTGCTTATTGGGAATAAAACATGGCATATACACAAATCACGGAAAGCGCCCACAGGGTTTCGTTTTTTTCTTCTTCGTCTTTCTTTTCCTACGTTCTTTCCGTAAATTTCGTTGATAATTCATCACAGTCGTCTCAACTGTCGTCCTCGCTGTCCACCTGTCGAAGTGCAATGGTAAAGAGCACATCCTTGGTCGTTTCAATCTCAATATGCTTGGTGCCGGGCAGGATGTGGTTGCTGGTGCTGATCTTGCCGCCAATCTGGCTCATCCAGTCGGTCACGTCCCACTCTAGGCCGCGGGTGGTGATGTGGCTGGGCTCGCGCAGAGGCACGATGCCGACGTGCTTGGCAAAGACGTCGTGCTCGCCGTCCTCGCGGACGTGGATGAGGTGGCGGCCCGTCTTGAGCAGAAACGTGAGGCTGGAGCCGGACAGCAGGAAGATGCGGCCCTCGTCGTAGCCGGTGCCGGGCTGGAAGAGGTACAGGTGGTGCAGCTGGCTGATGCCCTGGTCGACGCGGCCGCCGATGCCGCCGAGGGCGACAATGTCCATCTTGTACGAGTCGCGGATCCATTTGATGGCCTTGCCAAAATCGCTGCTCTCCTGGTCGCGGTCGTGGATGACCTGGGCGGGCTGCGGCTGCGACGAGTAAAATTCGCGGACGATGGGTGTCAGCGAGTCCAGGTCGCCGATGATGGCTTGTAGGTTGGACTGCGCCGGTGTTAGCTGCGGCACCGTGCTTGTTCACGGGGTAGGGAAAGGAAAGGCTTACGAATTTGCCTTGGAACGAGGAGAGCTCATATAAGCGGTTCGCACCGCCATCGGCAGCCACTCTCACTGATGCTGTTGTTGATATCGTGTTAACGCAAGTGGCGGTGCATACCAGTGGGCTGCACTCAGAATAATATACGAGACATGCTCAGGTAGACTCATTTTGTCGGATGAGTGGACTCACCATTATTCCATAGCTTTCGCAAGCTGGTGCCATTTTTCAGCGGCTGGTTGAGCACAAGCAAAGCAAAGTCGTCTGCCAAGTCACTGGCCTGCAGATACCTTGCAGGATGCCACTCAAATACTGGTGAGGAAGTCATGTTGTGTCGGCACAGTACCTCTAGGTACGGAGGAGTTGGGAGTAGGGAGTTGGGGGCTACTGCCGTTGGCAGGATAGCACAGAGCAAAGATGCAACGCAACCGTCGTCCCGGCTGCTGCTGGAGAGAATAAAAAACCAATCTCCGCGGATGCAAGATTTAACCTTCCAATCAGTCTCACCCTTTTCTTACACTCCCCTTTATTTATTTGGCAAGCTTTCGACTTGCATTAGTTGCGCTCCTGGGCGCCAACGGAAGCGGTGGTTAATCTTCGGCTTGGTTGTCGTGTGGGAAGCAAGCTTTGTCTGCCTTATAATTATGCCCGTAGCCTGGGCTCCAGCGCTCTTCTACGCACTCTTTGCGCGCTGACCAATCGAGCCCGGATTGCGCCCGAATTCTTTTTTCCCACTACAAACCCCATCGTCGCATCCCCCCTTCGTCTCTCCCGCGATACTGGTCTTTCCACTCTATTGTTACGCTGTCTGTGAGCTCAATTCATCACGGAGGCGCTTGTCATTTCCTTTTCATCTCCTCCCCCGCCTACAAATTGCGACTCAAAATGTACCGCACGACGCTGCGATCCGCTTCGCGACCAGCTGCGGCTGGCCTGCGAGCTCAAACCCTCCGATCCGCTCCGCGCCGATTTGCATCGACCTCGCCTGCCGACAAGTCAAGGTCCTGGAAGGGCTCCGCCGTGCGCTGGGCTCTCGCCGGCGGTGCCGTCTACTACTATAGCACCAGCACCGTCTTCGCCGAAGAGGCCATTCCTGGTAAGGACCGCTTGGCTAGCAATGCGGCCATTCCACGCGCCACTGCCGCTCGTTCGAGATCTGTACCCGCTGACACAAGGTCCCTACAGTTCGGCAGTTTTCTACTGCGCCACCCTCCTTCCCGGAAGCCACCGAGTCGACACAGCTCCCGACCGTCGAGTCCATAGTCGAAGAGAGAAAATCACAGGCTGCCGCCAAGGCCCAAAAGTCCGCCGAGCCCACACCAAAGAAGCCAGATGACAAGGAAGAGGCGGCCGCTGAACTCAACACCGCTGTAGCAGGATCACCGGCAGAGCTCGAGGAAGAGGCTGGCCAAGAGGCCGCTTTTAACCCCGAAACGGGCGAAATCAACTGGGACTGCCCCTGCCTCGGCGGCATGGCCCACGGCCCCTGCGGAGAGGAGTTCAAGACGGCGTTCAGCTGCTTTGTGTACTCGGAGGAAGAGCCTAAAGGCATGGAGTGCATTGACAAGTTCCAGTATGTCTAGCCAAACGCGATCCGCCGCCCGAGATGGTCTACTAACGAGGGGGCATCCAACAGGGGCATGCAAGAATGCTTCCGTAAATACCCAGAAATCTACGGCGCAGAGCTAGCCGAAGCCGATGACGCTGAAGACCTCCCCGCCGACCTCGAGCTACCATCCGATACGCAGACGCTCCGCGAAGGTCAAGCCGGTGAGAAGCAGACCCTTCCGGAAGGCGACTTGGCAACCGAGAAGCAGATCCACCATGCCCAGCCCAGTGACACAGATGGCCCAGCGGCCCCCGAGGAGAAGACAGAAAAGCCCGCCGAATCTGCCCCTGCAACTATCCCGGCCGTTCCCAAGCAAGAGACGGAGGAGAGACCTACCGAGTCCTCTGAGCCTGGCCCGGCAGCCATTCCCGAGGCTAGCATCAACACAACCTCAACGACTAGTACCTCAAACGGCCCCAAGTGGGAGGATGCCACTGACGCCAACAAGAAGTCGCCTGAAGCTTAAAAGGCTTAGAAAACGAAATAAAATGACCGGGAATGCCATGCATCATCCCATATTAGGATACGATGCCTTGGTAGTCTAATCCGGCAGCATCCCTTGTACTACTCTCATCACCCATTCCCATCGATTGGGCTCTGTACGAAAAGCAAAAAGAAGTCTTACGATGGCATATAGATAGATTCGGAAAAAGGCATGGGCTGGGATCCATTACTTTGTAAAAATAACTTCACATCTACCAACTTCACTTAGGAAAAACAAAAGAAACCATAATATGAGTCTGAGCAATTGTACAAGAAAGTGACCGTTTCTGAAGAAACATAATTCATTACTATTGAGTGCGAATGATACAAGCTTGCTTTGAGCAAACTACAGAAAGCGGAGTGTCAACAATGTGTGGTATCAATCAGAGCCTTTCCGCACCTTGCACCCCCATAAGACATCTTCTCACAGTCGCGGCCAATGCCGCCAGCGAAACCCTCTAGTTCTTCTTTCCGCGGTAGAGATAGCTCCCGACCACAGTGTGCGCGGCGCCTAGGCCGGCCAGGATACCGACACCGAGGCCGATCGCCTTGCCGTCGAGGCGGCCCTTTTCGTACAGGCCCCAGGCCTTGTAGCCAAGGTAGGAGCTGATGCCGACAAAGGTGGCGAGGTTACCGAGCGCGATGCGCGAGGCGGTGCCGTCCGAAAGCTGCGAGATCTGCTGGGTGAGCCACGAGTCGGCCTTCTTTGCCTTGGCTAGGGTCTCCTTGCGCGCGCGCTCGGCCTTGGCCTTGGCGGCCTGGGCCTCGCGGTCGAGGCGGCTCGCTTGCGTCTCCGTCTGGACGTCCTGCTCCAAGAAGTCGGACGGCACCGTGTGCACGCTGGGCATGTCGACGTCGATGAGGGACGACGTCGAGGCCGACTCGTTGGGGATGATTTCGGGCACAGGAGGGGCGGCAGCCTGAAGAGAAGAGAAGGCAGAAGTTAGCGGATGGGTGAGACGGCTGGATGAGCATGGTGAGTGAACCTACCTCGGCGGGGGTCTGCTTGGGGCCCTTGGCGGCGGCGCTGGCGTATGACACTGTTTAAACAATCAGTACGCTTCCAATGCCATTGATCCTGAAGTCAGTCGACATACTGTTGATTGTTATGAGCTGTAGTGGTACAGCAAAGGAATTCCGCGTGGTGTGTGCTGTCTCTTGCGGAAGTGAGAGAGTTCAATGGAGGGGTAGTTTTCAAGTAGAAAGGGATTGTGGTAGTGCGCGACGATCAGGTACAGCGTAAACTTGGATGAAGAAGGAGCAAAAAGTATCGTAGCAACCAGGAACGTACGGCAGATCGCGATGTTTTAAGAAGGCTGTGCAACGTCGGGGCTAGAGCTCGAGGACGCGGGTGGGCAGAAGCTGGCGGGAAAGCTTGCAGGTCATGACGTAACGATCGCCCCATGCCCCCTGTTCTGGGACCACCCCATTTATGCGTCGAACCTGCGATTTGTTCAGCCTGGCCAGTTTTGTCGGGGTCTGCGATGATGCGTTTTTGGCGCAAGATTACATGGCAGCGTTTGATGAAATGGCATGTGAATGTGTATTGATTCCCTCTGACACGATTTTCATCAGTTACATGGCGCTGTTGAATGATACCTACTGAATAGATTAGTAGGTACCTACCACATTCCCTCCGTCTAAGCTTAGCGCCTAGGGCTCACCAGTTCAAATTATAATTTAGCCTCAACGGCCCATCAGCAAGTTTGATCAAAAAATGACGACTAAATACAGGGTCTCTCGAATCACTGTTACGCTGAACAGCTATCGTGTGGCAAGGGCAACTGACAACAGCACCATGGCGCGCGGTAGAATGATCAACGATAATACACGGCCCGGTGGACCAAATCTTATTATATATCCCGACTACATAGGATGGATATGCGGCCATTGATCTCCCCTCTGTTCTTGAAACGACGCTGACCCAAAATGTTTCATGCTTCTTCAACAAGCGTAGATGGCATTAGAAAATGGTTACCCGACAATAGCGCCATTCAAAACCCAGATAAAAAAAACAAACAAATTTCCGGCCAAATCATCACCCAGAATCCGCAGTACTCCCCCTGATCATATGCCGTATTTAAAAAAGATCAGTAACGAACAACAAGGCAGAAAAAAAAACACAAAATTATTCCAAATGTAAAAATACACAATGGACGCGGGCGAGAGAGAGCATCATTTGTGCGTTAGCGTAGGGTGCTGCGAAGGGTTCGGACCCAGTGCTCGCGCACCTGGCACGGCATTTTGCAAAAGACCATGGCCGTGTGCTCGTTGCTGAGCAGTTCATGCGGAATCCTGACCTGCAGGTCTAGCTCTTCCGCCGCGAAATCCCTGTAGAACAGATCGACAGCCTTCTCACGCCACTGGCCGGTGCTGCCGCCCCGCGCTCTCGTGCATGTCACGTCCTGCACGCCGCGCACGCTGCCGCTGTCGGTGTCCTGCGCGGCGGCCCGGCCCCCGCCCCGTGTCGTCCGCGGCGTGGACATGTCTGCAAGGGTCTCGATGGCAAGGGGGAGCCCTTCGTCTTCGGCGGCGGAGAAACGGATGCGCTTTTCAAAGGAGGCGGCGGCCTGCGCGGGATCGAGCCGCGACGGCGTGTTTTCGGCCGACAGGGAGCCTTCCAGGTCTGCGGTGGCGAGGCTGCGCTTCTTGGTCAATACCGTCGTGTCCTCCGGGGGCGTCAGGGCGATGCCTTGTGTAGTCGTCGAGGTGGGGGCGGAAGACGGTGTTGTGTTGCCCGGCTGGCTAGAGCTTGTGTTGAGCGCAGACTGCGTGCTGGGGCTCTCCAAGCCTGACGGCTGGCTCGTCATGGCCTGATCAGTCGATAGCATGGAGGCGTTCGGGCCAAGCAGCTCAGAATCGTCACCCGGCTGTCCGTCTCGGCGCTTTGGCTTCATTATCCTCTTTGGCGCACCTCCGGAGCCAATAACATCGGGGTACAACGTCTCCATGTAGTCTTCGTGATCAAAGGGCCGTCCTCTCAGTGCTCGCGATAACGGCTCTCGCTGCGCAAAATTACTAGCATTAGTAAAGAAAACCTCCACAGTGAACTGCAATTCCAAATCATACCTCTATGTGTGCCCGCCATGCCTCCTCCGTCGCCGTCACGGTCCTGGCTTTGGGATTGTACACAAAGTCGGGATCCTCCCGCAAGCCCCGCCACAGCCTGAAACGCTTCCGCGCATTATCGCTCTTGTTGATGAGGTGGTTCTTGGTCGGGAAGGCGCTGTGGCTTTCCTGGAGGGCCAGGGCGGCGCGCTCCCACGCCTCGGCCTTGAAGCTGCTGTTCTCGCGCATGCCCAGCTGGACGCTCTCGCAGAGACTGCGGAAAAAGGTCGCCTCGTACGCCGGAGTCCAGCTGAACCGGGGCGCGCGGCGATCGCGGTCGACCTTACCGGGGCCCTGGCCATCGGCGGCCAGCATGTCTACATCATCTTCCGACATGATTGGGGGGGCAGCAACGTGTTGGGCGCGCCACGGCCTCTGAACGCTGTGTGATGTCTCTAGGTGTCGTGACGATTTCCTCGCTGAAGGGGGAGCGGAAGGCGGATATAGGCCTCCCCCCCTCGTTGCGCGCAAGCAGTTACCAAGGGATCCTGGGATGAGCCTGTTTTCGGTGATGGTCTGCAATCGACGCCGCAAAGGCAAGATCTTCGTGAGGCTGCGAGCAGCACTGGGACAGCAGCACGCCTCTCGCTTTTTCCCCCAGTTACGGCAGCCTATAGGTGAGTTATCGCCAAATCCCAATTCACACCTAGTATACAGTTAGATACGAAATAATACATACATAAGTAGGCTATTATATTTTTTAAATATATATTATCCTTATAATAAATATAGGTTATTCTTATATCTAAATATAGCTACCCTATTTAGTATATTTTAGTTTTATTTTATATAATATATTATATAAACCTTTCTTTCTTCTCTTTAATTATTAATTCTATTAATCCCCCCCCCCTTCCTATATATATATATATATATAT